TTTAATTTCGACGCAAAAAAATTGAACACAAATGAAGACGTTGTAATGAATAGTATCAACCAAACATTGATGACCCACTCAGAAGCTTTCGGAATCATCTTTAAACATATTGAGAATTTCTCAAAAACATTGGACGGATTATCTAACCACATCAATAATCGGAAACAAAAGGTAAAGTCAGTTAAATTAGTCTCCGACAGCAACCAACCAATTAAACCTAAACAACCTCTTCCTCCAAAAACAACACTCATAGAACAAACTCCATCCCCTGCACATCCTTATCGAACTGATGGACCATCAAACCAAATATCTAAAATCAAAAATATTACACATCCAACAAACAAATCGAAAATCAACAATCAAAATAAGACAACAAACTTCATCACCAACACAAACCTCACCAAACCAATTGAAACAACTTCAAAGCCCCAAAGTCAACCCCAGCTTCAATCTAAGAGCCCACCTATCAACACCAGCTTCAACCTGAATGAATCGCAATCGTCATACTTGCAAATAGCCAAGACAGCCAAGAACATTACATTTGATCCAACAAAAAAAACTCCGCAAATCAAATCCTACAATACAACAACAACCATGTACCCTCCTGCTAAAAGAGCTAAAACAATTAACTATTCTCACTGTGTATCTATTTACCTCAGTAAGCATATCGACTCAGACATCACTGAATTTATTACAGATGCAGTCAAAGAAAAACTTACATCATGGTACATACCTAACGACAAGACGCACGTACTCCAACTTGTCTGTAACAATCATGAAGATTATGTATCAACCTTGGGAATTTTAAACTCACAATCAACAAGAGACTCCAGTCCATTCAAATACGTTGTGACTCCTATGAATTTCTCACCAGCTGAACACACCCTCAAATATCATACTTCATCATATGACGAGATGATGAAGTATACTACACACATTATCAAAAATTTTTGGAAAAGAACTAATGGAGTTAAAGAAACTAATACCAGTTATGACAGAGTCCAAAAGCTTTATAAAATCAGAATAGCAGTTGAATCTCTTGAAGATAAAGAATATTTTATGGCAAGGAAATATTCTGAATACCGATCCATTGACCAGATCATAACAGAATCTAAGCTTAACTGCTCTTGCAATTTTTCATCCCTCTACACAGAGAAAGATATCAAAACTGCGATACAAAAGATGGTGGAAAAAAGCAACTGTGTCTTCCAATCAAACCACTTAGAGATTATTAACAAACCTAGCCCATATCGCCCTTAATATTATTATATAGCCAATTACAAAGCAACTAATGTTGCAGAATTGGAAAAAATTACAAAATTCCCAACAAGTATCACTCCACCAAATGGCACAAAACCAACCTCAAAAAAACTCATATCTACAACCAAATATTTGGTAGAAAAATTCAAAAAACAACAAGAAAACGAAGTGACTGGTGCAACCAATAATTTCCAATTCAATAATGACCTCTCAGCATTAGAAAAGAATCACAAATCACTTCAAGTAGAATGTACTGAAAACTCAATCAAACTGGAATCACATTCTAAACAAATACAAAACATCACCAATACACTAACAGACCACACAAAATCCATACAGACCATTTTTGAAAAACTCAACGAAATAGCTTCCAAAATGGAAAATATTGAATTACATTTGACAAAACCGTACCATCAATTAATTCATGAATCCAAGGATGATGTAGAAGATGAAGATGATGAATCTTATCACCCAAAACCAAATGAAAATAGTGATGATGAAATGGAATATGACGAAGAAGAAGATATAGTAGAACCTAGAAGAGGTGATAAACCTCTTGGAAATAAGAACAATTAAGTCACCAAAATGTAATTTGAAAATTGGCTGTTTTAACTGCAACGGGCTCATAAAGACAGCCACAAAAGAAATATTGACAAATGAAATCAAAGGGATGTGCTACAATCATAACATCCAAATCATGTCAATTACTGAAACACACTTAAAAACATATGAAGATCAAAAAGAAGCCTATAACAAAGGGAATGGAAGTATCTTCTTTAATTCACTATTTGGAGCAAGAAAAGCTCAAAAGGGAACAGCTCTCTTCCATATTCTTAACAACAAAAGAAAACGATTCATATCCAACGAAAATCTAATACAAGGAAAACTTCAATGGACAAGGTTTTTCTCTAGAAACAAACCTATTAACATCATTACGGTTTATGCTTCATCTGATGGTGAAGATGATGATGAAATAATCAACATTATTATTCACCTTCTACTAAAATGTGAAAATGAATTCAACATTGTGCTAGGAGATTTCAATATCAACACAAGGAAACCACAAAATTCGAGAGAAAAAGAATGGAAAGAACTTATTGAGTGTTTCCAACTCAAAGAACTAATCATCCCAGAGAATTACACATACGTCAGAAAAGTCATCAACTCAGTTCAAAAATCACGACCTGATCATATCTTCGTTTCTAACAACATCAGAATAATCAGAGAAGTTATTTTGCCACCAATATCCAAAAATGATCATCTACCGTTCTATATTGACATTGAGTTCGAAACAGACTATTGTTGGAGAAACTTCATCTCTAGGAAAGATATGAATCAAATCTCAACAACATTGAACGAATCACACTATGATTCATTTGATGCACTTCAGAAAGACATATCAGAAATGGTTAACAAATTTTCTTTCAAAGACGATAAGACCAATCTCAAATACATTAACACAATCAATAAGAAAGAAATCAAAACCAAAGAAATAGAACTCCTCCATCTTGTAACACAAGGAAAAGGTCAAAATATCGAGGAAATTGAAAAACTAAGAAATAATATCAAAGTACTATACAAGGAAACTGGAGCTGATATCAAAGCAAAACTAAGTGAAAATTTCAACAAACATGACAGCTCAATGATTTACCAGTTTGACAAACATCTAAAAGAAAAATCAATAGATTGGAAAAATATCCAATTCTCTGAAGAAGAAATTGTGCATCATTTTGAAACAAAATTTACCTCAGTATCCAAATCATCAGACTTTGAAAATCCACCATCAACCGTCAAGAAAGGACCGAAAATACCACAAATAAGCCTTAAAACAATTAAAGAGGCGATATCGAGAATGAAATCCAACACACCCGGTCTAGACTCAATATCCTTCCAAATTATACGTAATCTCAAAGACGAACATCTACAACTTATTGCTGACCAATTTGAAAACTGCATTCAACAAGGTAATATCCCTGAAGAATGGAAATCTGGTTGGATTAAATTACTCCCTAAAAGAGACATTCAAAAACTAAACGATATTAGACCCATAACCATTCTCCCAATATACTACAGAATACTTTTCAACATAATTGCATACGAATTAAGACAATGGGCTTCCAAACACATCAACTTAAGGCAACAAGCATTTATTTCACACAGAAACACAATGAATCACGGATTATTACTTTCATCTCTAGCCAAAAAGAACAAGTCGTCATTCCTTTTGGTAAACTTAGACATCGAAGGCGCCTATGATTCCGTTGAAGATCATATCATTGAAAAAGCTCTCACTCATTGTAAGTTTCCAGATGAGTTGAAAACTTTTATACTAAACTCATACAAGAGTCAAATATTACAGCTAGAAATTGATCACCATCTCTCTAGACCATTCACAAAAACAAGAGGAATACCACAAGGATGCCCTTTAGCTCCTCTTATATATGATTGTATTACTCAACTCATCATTGACAAATGCATACAACAATGGAAAATTTCAATCAAACCAACCAAGCTTAATATTAACGATATTGGTTTGCTCTGCTTTGCTGATGACATTAATTTAGTTTCAAACAGATACTGCAATTATAACGAAAGACTTGATAATATCTCTAAATGGCTCGGCCAATTAAGTCTAAAAATTAATCCTTCAAAATCCATGGCAACCACTCTCCCAACTAAAAAGCAAAATGAAGCCAATGATAGACGGTACTATTATACCAAGATTCAAAAACCTTCGAGTACTTGGACACTATCCTTGGGATGACTCTACTTTAAATGAAGATATTGAAAAAAGAATCCTCCAATTTCAACTCTCACTCAAATATATTCCACTGAAAAGAATGGAGATAACAAACATTAAGAAAGTAATTTTTGCCAAATGCACTAGCTTATTTACACACATTTTACGAACAAATTACATTCCTGAATCACTTGTTGATAGAATTAACATTGAAGTAAGAAAAGCAATAAGAAAGAAAATTTTCATGCATAATGCTAGTCCAACAAACTATTTTCACCTCCCAATCACCTATGGCGGACTTGGTATTCCAAGATTCGATATCTTTGCAGATGAAATTCGAATCAAAACAGCCCTGTATCTTATTAACAATGATAATGAACTTCTTAGAGAAGTATATTCAGAAGGAATCAAACACGAAAATTCGATTTTTAAGGAAATGAACAGATCAATGAAGAAATACAAGATCAGACCTCAACAATTTAACAATGACGAAATCTTTCCAAAACTCAAAGGAAAGAATTTTACTATTTACACTGACGGATCAAATCTCAACAACTCAACAGGTTTCGGCTTTACCGCCAAAGTTAACAATTCCCAAGAAACCCAAGATTTCTCATACAAAATTAACAGCGAATACTCACATAACGTTGCTGAATTATCAGCAATACTCACATCACTAAAGATACTTCCACCTAAATCTAAGGCAAAAATTCACACAGATAGTGAAATATCCATCCACGTTTTGAAAAACAAAGCCTATAACGGAATTTTTAACTGCTTCAAGCATGAATATCAACAGGTCATTCAACAATCCAATCTAAATATTCAACTAATCAAAGTTAAAGGTCATGTCAACAAAGGAAACATCAAAGCTGACGAATTAGCTAAGAAAGGAGCTCAAGAGCACAACTATTTTGACATTAAGAAGCTATTTTCGAACCAAACCATCCTTGCCACATCTAATACCATTATTTTCGACATCAAAAAATCCATACAAAAGAAAAGATATGATGTAATGTTTAGCCAATTTGATAGAGATAATTCCAGTCTACACCTTACCAAGAACTGGTCATCTATCAATCTAAAATTCATCAAATCTAAAATTGACACAAATACTAAGTGGTCAATCTGGAGAAACTTAACAAGCAACCATATCAAACAACATAAGGAAAGACAATGCGCTCACTGTAAATGCCCCGGAACTCTAAAACATTTCATATACTATTGCCCTAATACTCAATGCTTTAGGGATTTTTTCTACACTAAATTCCTAGATATTACATCAATGCAATGTATCCTCAACGATTATCAAGAATCAAGATACTGTGAAAGAAGGAAAGTTTTCATTATTCATCATGACGGAGTAATGATTCGAGATACTCAAATGCCCAACTTTAAAAATTTACCAAATATTTACCAAAATTGGCCTGAAATCCAAACAATTCTCACCCTACTAGTTGGTAAATGTCACACCAAGTATTATGAAAACTCAAGGTTTAAAAAACCAATTCAAAAACAAACCCCAATCCTCACGGATTTACCAGCACCAGTGGTGCTAACAATAAACTAATTAGATTTTTTTTTAATTTGAATTCCAAAATAAACGGATCTTCCTTCTTAACTCTGATTGAGTTGAAAGGTTGTGCATTATTCAATCAAAAGGTTGAAAGGTGGACCAAGTTGTTGTTGGTAAATTTGATCTTTCGAGAATTACCAAAGCCTTGTGTTATTCTCGAGGTGTGAGGTCATATTGAGCACTAATTGCGCAACATTTGTTTTTGCGCCACTCGGACGTCCTTAAGTTCATTTAAAGCTCTCGTGTGGCATTCTTCCAAAATTTCATCACAAAGAAAAATGTTAAATAACAACACCACTCACAGTAATAGCAACACATCACAAGGTGAAACTCACATCACCTATATGGAAACTAATACCCACGAGTCGTCGATCCCAAAAATCTGCATTCTTGGAGCATCAGGATTTACTGGTAAAGTTGTGGTTGAAATTTTGTTGGGCTACTCCAATTTCCAACTGACATTAGTGGGTAGAAGTGTCTCCAAACTTGAGCAAGTGACAGAGGAATTGCTAAGAAAGCATAATCATAAAATCAGAGACGACATTAACAAACAAAACGTTCGTGATAGAATTTCTCTGAAGGAGCTTGATGTTGAGAGATGTTTGACAGGATATCATGACAAACTCGAGGAAGCATTGAAGAACCACACAGTCCTCATCAACACTATACCTCCGTTCAGAGAAAAAGAAAAAACCTTAGCATTGGGAAGGATGATGATAAAGTTAGGTATTGACTACATAGACCCACATATGAATCCTGCAACATTGAGTATCTTTAAGGAGCTGCATTCTGAAGCAGTCAAAAGCAATACAACCATCATTAGTCAGTCTGGAATGTATCCAGGCCTCGAGGCTTTGTTGACACGACACACTCAAAAGTACATTCCACATTTAACTCATGCGAATGTAGTCATCATGACCAGGGAAGAAGGTGGTCTAGGTATCACAAGTGGAGTGGCAGATGTGGCTGATTTCATGAAAGTGACAGGTTCAAAGATCATGAAAGATGGCAAATGGCAAGAAGACAACTCTTTTTCGAAAAAGTTTCATCTTGTAACAGTTGACACAACTCTGAACTGTTATCCATTGGAGCTTGAAGAAATGAAGCAGCTTAATATTCCAACACTAAAGAATATGGGAGTATATGTTTCAGAGATGGGTCTCTTTGCAGATTCGGTGATGCTTGCTCTACAATTGAGCACAAAGTACTTGTCATGCCTTGCTGATCCATTGACAAATTTGCTCGCGTATGCAACAAGCAAAATAAGGGAGCCATTCGGTTCAGCAGTTCAAGTGGAGACAACTGATTGTGTGAGTGGAGAAAAGATCACTCTCTCATTATACCATGAAAAGACGTATTATTTGACGGCAGTTTCCATGATTGCTGTTGTAGAGCAATTGATTGAAAGTAGAAATGGAGTAAGAAATCCAGGAGTTCATTATGCATCAATCTATGCTGATCCAACCTTATTCATTGAATCATGCAAAAACAAGGGAGTAAGATATGACCACGTTTCGAAATAGAAAAATTTGCATCTATGTGTATTTACATCCTTAAATATGAATTCAAATCAGTTATTGATGGCTTACTTTTTCAAAAAATTAATGGATTTAATGAAATAATAATTTTGAATAAATTAATTTCTTCTTCCTTCCACAAGAACAATATGATATCCGTGTTCAGTCTTGAAGATTTTGCTGACCTCTCCTACAGGAGTATTAAAAGCAACCTATTCATGTAATAATTTTCACAACAAATAATAAGTGCAAATTTCAATTTTCAAACTGTCAACTTACATCTTGGAATGCTCCAACCATTTTTCCTGTACAATAACAAAGAACGGAATAATTATTATCGATTAGATGCCTTCAAGATATAAACATATACAAACCTCTTCCGAACCATCCCAAAGAGCCTCCTTTGTTCTTTGAGGAACAATCAGAATATTGTTCAGCAAGCTTTGCAAATTCGGATGGCGGGACTTTTTCATCTCTTGAAAGCCAGCCTTCTTGGAGCTATTGCGCATGATGAAATCGAATGATTAAATGATTGAATTAACGAAATTTCGTCATGATCAGAGAGATCATATGGAAAATCGTTGTATAAAACGAAATTTAGCAAGATCATGTATTTAATGAATGCAATGATTGTTTAAATAATCATCATTGTTCAAAATAAATTTCAATGTCGTGAATACGACCCAAAACATACCTTCTTCATGACTTCTTCAGCCTTTCCCATCTTCTCACACAAGATATGGCGAGCATTGACTTCTTTACATGTTCCGAGCTTTTGTGAGCCACCTCCTTTTTCACTACTTCCTCCTTTCTTATCACCACCTTTATCTTTGGATGAAGAACTGGATGCCTTCTTTGGAGCCATTTTTTATTGTTGTCTTTCAACTTCTTAATTTGAAAATTTACTTGATTTGATTTTCGTGGTTGAACGGAGTCTACCGCAATTAAATGTGTTTTGTGAAAGCTTAAGAACACATCTCCAAATACAACACCACCATTCTTATTATTATTAAAAACAAACAACACACAAAACCTCATTTTCACTCTCTCGGCATCAGTTGTTGATCATAACACAAGATGGCACAATCCAACAACAAGGATCAATACCGAGTGGATTATCTTCCCATTGATTCACACGGAATGATTGGTAATATGACCACCTGTGCACTCGTGGGCATTGAAGGAACCATCGATTGGTTTTGTTATCCTCAATTCAATTCAGAAAGCATCTTTGGAAGAATCTTGGATTGCCAGAAAGGAGGATCTTTTGCCATTCGAGCCCTCAACTACACAAAAAGTCAACAACATTATTGGCCTGATACGAACATTCTCATCACTCGATTCATGTCAAAAAGTGGAATTGGAGAATTGACTGATTTTATGCCATTTTCTGATAAGAAAAAGTTTTCAAATGTGTTGATTCGTAAAGTCACTTGTGTGCATGGAAAGATGACGTTTCGATTGTCGTGCTGTCCAGCTTTCAACTATGCTCGAGATACTCATCAATGTAAATTGGGAAAGGATCAAAAGTCAGCCCTCTTCACCTCACCTCATTTGAATATCATGTTAAAATGTGGAGGAGACGTGACATTGAAAGTCATTCCAATCTCATCCTCATCGACACCGTTATACAATACCAATCCTTATATTGACACAATCACTGGTGATGTGGTGGAGTGTGAATTCTCAATTGAAGAAGATGAAGAAGTCACTTTCATCATTGGCTCCGAGGAAGATTTAGCTCCCATTGCAAGTAAAGACATGAATGAGTTAAGCAATGAATGGATGAATGAAACCTTAGACTATTGGCATAACTGGTTGAAGGTTTGTAGTTTGAAAACATGAGCACCACTTGGTGTTGTTCCTAATGAGGCAATTTCACATGAACTCGAATCATTCGATATGTGTATGTCCTTTCTTGTTGTTATTCAAAGAAATGCACCTACAAAGGACGATGGAGAGAAACTGTGAGAAGAAGTGCACTAGCTCTCAAATTGCTTGTCTTTGAGAAAACAGGAGCTATCTTGGCTGCTCCTTCCACGTCGCTTCCGGAAGGTCTTGGAGGAGTGAGAAATTGGGATTATCGCTACACTTGGATACGTGATGCTTCCTTCACTCTGTACAGTTTCATGAGGTACGTTTCACTTGTCCAATATTCCAATATTTTGTGTGTGGTTCTTGAACCTTCAATCAACAAATAACAACAACACCACACTTCATCCAATGGCATTATATCACAGAATTGGGTTCATGGAAGAAGCTTCGAGATTTGTGCAATTCCTTGCTTCTAGAATTTCTGAAATGTCTCAACGACACAAACTCTCAGATGAGAAAGGTGCTCCTCCTCCCTTACAAGTCATGTATTCCATTGATGGAGAGCATGAATTGGATGAAATGACATTGGATCACTTGTCGGGATATATGAATTCAAAACCAGTGAGAATTGGTAATGGTGCTTACAATCAATTACAATTGGATATCTATGGTGAATTGATGGATTCCATGTATATATACAACAAGTATGGAACACCAATTTCTTATGACTTTTGGCAACATTTGAGATTTATCACGAATTGGGTCTGCAATAATTGGGATGAAAAAGATGGTAAGTGATTGTGTTCAAATGTTCTCAATTAAGGGGTTTGTTGGTTGTGAATTTTAAAACAACAACATGACAAAATTCCACACAATTCCTTACATGACGTTCTCTCCAAATATTACCAATTCTCCACATGGATTTGTTTTCACTCCATCCACAAAAAAGAGGGTATCTGGGAAGTGAGAGGAGGAAGACAAAACTTTGTCTACAGTCGAGTCATGTCTTGGGTTTGCTTGGATCGAGCTCTCAAAATTGCTCAATCTCGTTCCTTCCCAGCCGATACAGAACGATGGACCCAAGTGAGGAATGAAATCTTTGAACAAGTGATTGAGAAGGGTTACAATAAGGAGTTACAGAGTTTCACAAGTTTCTATGGCTCCGATACGTTGGATGCCTCTACACTGATCATTCCGTTGGTGAGCTTTTTATCACCTGCAGACACATTGGTGGTTTCAACATTGAAGGCCATTAATCGACCTCCAGAAGAGAATGGTCTTGTGAGTTCAAGTCTTGTATATCGATACATTGTGGAGAAGACAGACGATGGATTTGCTGGAGGAGAGGAAGGTAAGTATTGTCATAATGATGTATATTTTGAAACCACCAAATACAATTAATTACCACGTGATCTCTCTCTTCCATTAGGTACCTTCAACTTGTGTACATTCTGGTTAATTGAGGCAATTTCACGAGCATGTCGACATGGAGAATCTCATTATCTCCTTCAGGAAGCAAGGTAAGTTTTCATGGTTCATAAACTAGGACATTCATTCATTCGTATATGAATATATTCACATCATGATCATCACCAATCATGCACATACATCTAGAATGATGTTCGAACAAATGCTCACCTATGGCAATCATTTGTCTCTCTATTCAGAGGAGATGAGTTTCCATGGAGAAGCTTTAGGAAATTTTCCTCAAGCATTTACCTTCATTTCACTCATCTCCGCTGCTTTCAACTTAGATGCCACACTCAATATTGTCCAAAAGAACTTGACATGATTGTAGTGACTTGATAAGGATTGAAGGGATGTTGGGGAGCTCGAGTTCAAATTGTAGAAATAGTTGTTGTTGGCTTTCTATTTGGGAAAATCTTTGTCAAACTTTATAATAAATCGTGTGAAACATGTGGAATCAGATGTGTGGCTCCAAAATTGTGTTCATCTTGCGCTTTCAGCAATTAATTAGACTTTTCCTTCTTTGGTGCAATATATGAACGATAATAAAAGTAAATAAATTGCAAAATTAAAGTACCGTTGACAACATGGGAGAAAACCCCAGAATAGAATCCTCTAGTACATTCATTCTCCACTCTAATAAAGAACCAATAAGTGACAAGGAAGAAACCAGAGAATAATTGAATAATTTGTCCAGCAGTCAAAATGGTCTTCCATTTGAGAGTATATCCTTGAGCAGTTCTCAAGTAATAATAGTACATGATTGTGTGAATAATTGACTTTGATATAGCACAATCACATTCCAAAATCGTCCAAAGAAATTTTTTCAATCGTGACATTTTTGTTGAAAAATTAAGATATCATTGAGCTGATGTCAGCATCTCGGATATTTTGCAAAGAAGGGCTGACACTTACGTTAACCATCACGCACCACCATGAGCCAACAAGCCATGGATCCTTCATCCATGACCATGTAATCCAAATCATAATCAAATGATGATAAACATGAAGTAAAATCAATGGTTTCCTCTTGAAGACAATTAACATGGTATCCACCAATTCATAATACTTGGACAAGTGATAGATAAAAATCCAGAAAGCAACAGGTCCCGAGACCACAGGATGGTCATCTTGATTCGTTGCCGAGTCGAGAGGACAAATAGATCCTCGGAAAACTCCCAAAGTCTTTGAGCAGCAATTTTCAAATAAAGGAAGCATTTTCATGGGTGTGAGTTTCATAATTCCAATGACAAGTGTTGTTGAGGTCATCCATGAAGGAATGTTCACCAATTTTCGTCGTTTTGTGAAGGCAATGGAAAATTTTTCATGAATGCCATTTTTTGATGAATTTGAAATGTGTGAAGGTTCAAAGTATCACCACCATATTAGTTGTTAATTGTGCGATTTTGCAGAATTTATCATCACGACCAGTGTGAATTGAACAATGGTCAATGAACGAACATTCACACTTACCAGACTTCTTTGCACAATCTCATAGACAATACCGCACAACATGGAGAAGGACAACACAATTAAATTCACGTTATGCAATTGAGTGAAAAAGTACATGAGTAATCCATCCTTGCTCTTCTTATCGGTATTGTTGTTGTTGTTGGCCACACTTTTATCGGTGATCTTGGAGTTGAGAGGCTTTTCAGTTCCAAACACACTCTTTAATCCGTAAGAAAGAACCAAATAGACCACTGAGGCAATTAATGGATACTCCCAACGAAGCACCCATTCCACTTGCTTGATATTGAAATTGAGATAAAAGTCTTGAAGTTTCAGTAAAAAAGGTGAAAGGGATTCGAGTTGCATTTTTTTGTTTCTCACTCGTGGAATTATTTGTGCTCGTGTTGAAGATGATGATTCATGCAAACAACTGTGGAGCTTAAAGAGTCGTCTTCAAGGACTAAAAGGAAAACTCATGGATGAAAATTCTCCTGAATCACTTGTCAGAGAACATTAGCAATCTAGGAAAAATAGCCAAATTTTGGGGCGGGCTTGATGGGAAGTCAATTCTGAATGTTTCGAGCAAATCTTTAACAATGTTTCCTCATCACATGTCTTACTCGACAAGAAATTACGTTTAGTATTTATCTTAAACAACAGCAACTTATTTGATGTTAAGCTTGAGTGTAGAGAGATGATGATCCAACAATTGGCATACTCGCTCTCCCTCAATCTCGTCTGTTAGCAGCCAATTCACATTAATGTAGTTTGGTAAATCAAAGTTAATTTTGATACTTTTCAAAGAAATAGATTGAGGAGCGGAATAGGAGAGACAATCTTTTCCGAACTGTGTTTCCAAAAGATTTGAAATTATTTGATAGAGATTATCGGCAATGTCACTCTTGTGGTTGTTGCCACTCGAGGCAGAAATTGGGATTTTTCTAGTAAAGCTTAATGTGTGTTGTCTCAATCCGAGTTCTCTTGCTGCCTGTCCTGGTTCTAAGAGTGAGAGATCAGGTAAATTTGTATGTCCATTCGGTTTTGATATTAAAATGCCTTCAATCTTTTTACGTTTTTGGTTATCATTGTTAAACTCGTTCAACACAGATGATGAGGAATAGATGTCTGACATTGTACTCGATATAGGAGAGGAAATTTGAGAGGATGACGACGAAAGAGTTCTCTTCAATAAGTTCAAACTAACGTTCACTGAGGATACGTATGAATCAGTTTTGATCTTGATCGTACAACCATTAGGTGGATCGAAGCATGGTATTTTAAATTCTGATTCAATCTTCTTTTTGAAAAATGCCATCTTGTCACGCTCGCCATGAACTAACATGACGTTCTTAGGTTGAGCTGTACGAATAAGCTGAAGAATACCTTTTGCATCTGCATGAGCGCTGAAAGAGATTGGCTTCACTTCACATCTCATATCAACGGTTGTCCTCGAATCGATTTCAATCTTGGCATGCTTGTTGTCCTTATTACGTAGAACCTTATTTCCGACGGTGCCTTCAACACAATAACCAGGTAAAATTACCTTATTGTTCTCAGAAGAAGCCCACTTTTTAAATACCTCCAATGACATTCCAGCATGAAGCATTCCTGGAGTGGCAAACAATACCATTGGACCTGGCATGTCCATTAATGCTCTTTCAAATGGAAGGATGTTGTTAAAGTTAAATAGATTTCTCTTCTGATCGAATAGAGTTGTCTTAATTTTTTCATTTGTCCAATTAATATATAGTTGGTAGTAATAATTTGCTTTTTCCACCATACCAGCGGAGAAGTAAATAGGTACAGATTTTCCCAAGTTTTTTCTTTCCCAATATGTCTCTAATAGAATGCAAAGCTCTTGAACTCTTCCCAGAGCAAAAACTGGAATCAAAACTTTTCCCTTCTTATTTACAACAGTGTCATAAATTTGTTTACAAAAATCACGTTCTCTGCTACTCTTTGAATCTCTAATGGTTGTAGCATAGGTAGTTTCTGTAATTAACAGATCAGGTCTGCATCTATCAATCGTAGCACTTCCCAAATGTCTATCTGCCGTCATGTTATAATCACCTGTATATACAACACTTGCACCAGTCGCTAAATCCTTCACATAGAACATGGCTGCTCCTAAAACATGACCAGCATAATAGGGCTTAATTTCTAGTTCATCGTCTAATATTACAGTTTGATGTAAATTCAATGCCTGAACCTTTTTGATACAATTTTTAATATCCTCTGAGGAAAAGAACCCTTGATTAGATGTAATGTCACCCTTCCTATCTACCATCACTCTTCTATAATCCTCCAACAATATTGGTGCGATGGCCTTTGTTGGATAAGTCATATAAATCGGACCATCATAGCCGCATACTTCGGTAAAATACGGGAGGGCACCACAATGATCAAGATGAAAGTGGGAAATAATTACACAATCAATAGTTTGAGTAAATTGTCCATTCTTTGAAATAAATTTAAAATCAGGAAATCGTCTTTCATCATTATAACCCATATGCATTCCACAGTCAAACATGATGGTTTTTCTGCCAAGAGTAACGATCACACAACTCCGACCAACATCTTGACCAGCACCAAGAGGCACCACTTTGATATGATGCGATGATGAAGAAAGGGACATTTTTTATGTGTTTTCTTTAAAAATATTCAAATTGTTGGTATTTAAATTGATTTTCGCAATGGGTGAAATTGATAATGCACGATTCTATTCTCCAGTGTGGTTTGTTGCTCCGATGCAATTTTTAATAATGAATTATTCAATCAAACAAAAATTCCATTTCAATAACAAGTTGATTTCCAACATTTTGTTCTCACTTGAATCATCGTTCAAACCCGAATGGCGAATGGCGGTTGTTCCAACTACAAAAAAATGTGTCAATAATGGTGAGAACAAAACCCAGGTCTCCCAACCAACAACAACAACAAAGACAACGACATATTCCTCAAACGCAAACCAATGTAAAAATGAAAAAGGCACACGACAAGACAATATCAAAAAGTGCCTCTACAACTCATAGAAAGATCAATCATCATGAACATAACAATCCCGAACATGCCAACAATAATTCCAATTTCAACAACAAGCCTTCCTCAAGCCCTGTCTCAACAACTCATCATACAACAATATCAACGACATCTTCAAATGTAGCATCCAGTGATGTCAATACAACACGAAATCATCCCTTCTTCATGCAAGGAAAAGACGAACCTCTTCTCTCCGAATCTCTCCCGCCACTGGTGAGAGGCCAATGTCTTGGAGAGGTTTTTCTTTGCGTGCATTCCATAAAGTGGGTGTCACAGAAATATCAGAATTATTCAATACATCCTGTATGGTGGGGAAGTGAAGACAGAACAATTTCTTTACACCCACCAGAATTTGAGGAAAATTCTCATAAAGACGAGCTTTGCAAAATTGCAGTTAGATACCCCGTTAAAACTCCTGAGGATGTATTTAGGATGTATCTTTCCAGTAAGTATGAATATCTTGGAATAGTCAATTTCTTTTACCAGAATGGGTTTAGATTCAAAGGTTTTACCTCTGGTCATTGTTCAGAATGAAAATCAAGTAATTGCTGAAGCTTCAATCCCTGTTGTTCAAATATCTTCTTCAAATGCAATACAAAAAGAGTAAGTTTTGTTTTGAGTAATTGATCCTATGAAACACGTCATACGTATATACACTAGATGGTTCTCAGCGAAAAGAGGAACCGAGGTAATTGCAAACCTTTTAGTTACACTCGCTCTTGATTATTTTGTTCCCAACACTCCTCAATTAAATAATGTTAAAAAAGCGGTACACTTTGAGAATTCACCCTCAACACAGCTTAAAACAGACTCTGTCGCCAAAAAGGAGAACATGACCCCCCAACCATCCATTTCCAAACCTACTACCAACACTCCACCAACAACAAGCGAAGAACCTGTATTCCAAAATGATCCTCAAAAAAGTGCCAACCTTGACGGGCTTCTCCAACATGCACAACAACTGTCCAACGACGTAAATCAATTTCTTACTGAAGGAAATGTTCCTTTCATTGATTACAATGCATTTCGAGACATGAAAGACACAACAGACGACATACCTTTTTTCCTTAAAGACACTGAAGATGATGACAAGTAAGTACTATTATGTTAAGATTGTGATGTTGACATTGAAGAGAGTAGATTCAGTGCTTCAGTATCCACTATATCGCCAAGAGAAAGCTTTGAAATTGATCCAAAACAATCTGTGACATCAGAAATGCTAGAAATTGAGAATTCCTTGAACCAATTATCTGCTTACAACAAAAATGTTGCCAATCCAATGCCCTTCTATCCACCAAATTACCCTTTCTTTGTACCTCCGCCTATTCCTCCATCATCAACGCTACAACATACAACTCCCAAACCAACTACTGAAAAAGAGACCGATATGTATTTAAATCAAGAAAAAACCAGTGTAAATAGAGAAGAGCCCAGTAGTAGGAAAAAAGAAAGATCGCCTCCTGTCATTGCTCATCTCCATGCCCACATACATATGGACGAAAAGGAAGAGCAGAAAAAGCAAAGAGTAAGTATTTAAGTGAGTACTCTATTTTTTAAAACTGTCCATCTCCATTAGTTTGGTTTAATGCTCCATATTATCTCAGCAAAGCTAACTAAAAGAATAGGTGACAAAGACACTTGTAAAATTAAGGTGGATATCAAAATGCCATTTGGAAAACGGGGTAGTAGTGAACAGCAAATCATTGTTGTGTACAACCAAGACATTCGTGTCAACACGTATGAAGTGTTTTCCTTCTCGAATCAAAAAGTATTTCTTCCGAAATTTAGAGATTGTAGTCTAGTCCTTGAAATATTTGATGATTCTGACAATTTCTTAGGCCTTTCAATGTTTAGCTTGAACAATTTCTTTGAAGCTTTTTCCTTTGAACAGCCTCCCAAGTATTTATTTCCAGATAAAGAAGAACCCGTTATTGGACATTATGGCTCTTTCACTAGTACAAATCCAATTACTGATGAGGTTGTGCTTGAAATGAACTGTGTGTTAGCTTTTGGAACAGAAGCACAGGTGAAAGGGTTTGTTAACTCACAACGCGCAGCAATGACTATTCAAGATTTTGTAAGGTCATCACTCTCTAAATCTAAAGACAAAAATCATGTTGAGGAATATTCACAAGACGAAGAATATGACACTCAACATGAGAACTCAACTAAACCATTATCATCCACCGATCAGACACGTCCTAAGCAGAAATTGAAAATTGCTCACAATGGTGTGGAGCGCGACTACGAAGACCCTGAAATTGTTTTTGAAGAACAAGCCAACAGGAAAGAAGAAATTCCTCGCGAACATAGTCCACGCATACCCCAAATTCCAAAGTGTATACCTCTGCCAGTATTGTCATCATTGTTTATTCGTGTGAACAGAGCGAGTGGCCTCAAAGATGCAGCAATCAAGTGCGGTACGTATAATTCGCACATGAGAGCAGCAAGCCAAGTGGGAGTAAATCCATTTGTGGAGTTTGAAGACATTTCAAGTGGAAAACAAATTCAAACGCCTGTGCTTGCCTCCACATTTTGTCCAGTTTGGGACTATGAGTATGTGACTGAATTTTTATTAGATGAAGCCATGTATCATAATGTTAACCACGGCGAGTTGGTGTTTTGCGTTTTTCACAGGATCCCTCAGTCAAGAATTACCAGCAACAGTGCCTCAAGTACTGTTGAGCTTGGAAAAGTAATGGTTCCTCTTAGAACACTGTTGTCAAACAAGCAAGGAATATCTGGGTGGTTTGATATTCACTCTCATGACGATACCGTAGTTGGTACCATTGATCTGGAAGTGTTTTTCGACGATCAAACCGTTCGAAGTTTATTTGTGAATGATCCAAAAAAAAAGGTGTTACGGCAACCATACCCATATCCTATTTGTAGATTTACTCTAATCATTGAGGAAACAAATATTCCAACTCAAGTGTTGGAAGAATTAGTTCCATTTTATATGTTAGAAGAAAATCAATCCATTCCATGCTATCTGTTTGTTACGTATCGATTCTATGGAGAGCAAAATTTCACAGAAAGTAGACATTACAAATCTTCCACATCCATTTCAAAGACAATTATGCATCATAGCTGTGAATTTAAGAAAGTTTTAGATCCAAATCTCAAAAACACGATAGAGCAAGAAAAACTTGCCATTCATGTGTATTGCTCAGTTGATAATGGAAGAGATCAAAATGAAACTTCCATAAGAAAGAGAGCAAAGCTTATAGGTTCTGCATACGTTGACATTAACAATCTGATTGCTCATTCTGATTCTTCAAAAACCCTGTTTATCAGTGGTCTGTATAATATTGTGAACACCGAATCGGATATTCTTAATCACGGAAATGTGAAGATCAAGGTGAGCAGTGAGAGGATTAATTTTGGTGTTTCAGCAACAATGAACACACTCCATCAGAAACCACACATTCGAAGCAGTGGAACCCAGGCAAATATTGATATTTCTCTTCAATCCGACGATGAATGTTGCAGTAGCAATGATACCAAACAAGAAAATTTAATCAAAGAGCCTGAAATGACGTTGGAAGAAAAGGAGCTGCAAATAGCACAAGATGATGATGTACTGATCAAACAACCAAAAACACCTTCAAGAAAAAGAGTTGCAATAGAAACTACCTTCTCTCCTAATCAATCTCTCATTTCAAACTTGGTTGAAGAGCAATCAGTTGTGGAATCGCCTCTCTTACTTGATATGTCAAAACGACCTCTTAATTACTTGAATATTTCGATAGAAGAGGCAAAATTGACAAAGATTTTTCATTTTCACGGTATAAAGCCAGTCAATCCAAGCCCCTATGTGAAAATTATTTCTCCTAACCAACAAACGCATGAACAATCTGAGGATAAGGCTGTTGTCACAAGTGTGGTGCCAAATGAAAACGGGTTAATGCCATCATGGAATGAACGTTTTCGAGTTCCCATTTACTCTCAAATAGAATTTGTTTCCCTTCAGGTGTGGTCAAGAAACCAAGACCAGTTCGGACCAACCTTAGACACATTGATTGGATTTGCCAAGGTTGACATCTCAAGCTTGTGGTATGGTTTGAGAATTATAGACGGCTGGTACAACATTGAAGATGTAGAAAAGTCAAAGATAGTGGGACAGATCAAAATAGCCATTTCCCTTGACTCTCCAACCAAAGTTTCCTCTCCTCAGATTCGACACTCCAGCGAAATGGTGAAAGCCGAAAGATTTATGATGAAGAGTTTTGACAAGCACATTATGACTATAACGAACTCTCAGCCACCATCACTTCAACAACAACCAGAAGAAAACTTTTGTGGTGATCTTGTTGCTCCAAATGATTTGTTTTATTCGAGCATTGACTTGGAGAACGAAAAAGCAAAGCTTAAAAATTGCTTGAGCGACCTAGAAAACATGATTAACAATCATTAAATAAACTCTCAGCGACCAAAATGTAAAGCTTGTCTTGAGGTGTGTAACAGCATTAGACTACCATTACAAAAAGAACCAGACACAAACAACAAAGAAGAATCTCCAAGATGCCAGCAGTGGTGAAACACTGTCACCACTCCTGATACCTTGGACACCCTTCTTTGTTACTTGTTACTGAAGAGTGGGGTGTCATGGGAAGAGAAACTTGCCAATTAATTACACTAGATTGGTGAACGAGAAACTAGTTAGCCAAGAGTTGTCATCACAAGTGGTGTAGCTAATAGCAGGGGAAGTGTTGTGAGGAGATGATGGGTTTCTTCCGAAAAGCTGAAGATTTGGAGTGTGCTTTTCGAAAGGATTTGGAGTGTGGGAGTTAGTGGAGAGTCTACTAATTTGTTTTGGAGGAGTTCTTGGAGGAGAGGATGGTGTTTGTTTCTTTGGAATAGAAGCCAATCTATTTCCAGTCTTAAACTTGGATACCCATTGTTGAAGATCGGAAAGGAATGGCTTGACAGGCCAGAAATTTCCTCTTGCTTGCTTCTTAATGATATCAGCAATGTTGAACCAAGCAATTTGAGAAATTTCCTTTCTGGTTTGGGTTAAGAACTTGGTAGAAGAAGGGACAAAAGGAGCAATGAAGAGCTTGACCAGTTGTTCATTGAATCGTCCTTCCAGAAATTGGTCTTTCAAAAGATATGGAGAGCAATCGAAACCAACTTCCTCTCTGCCTTCTCTAATTGCGCAAGCAAACTCTTCTTCATCCTGGTTAATCTTTCCTCTCGGGAAGGACCAAGACTTGGAGTTGTAACCCTTAACGAGAAGGATGTTCTCCAAAGTTTCATCGAGAAGAATAACGCCGCAAACAGGAACACTAGTCTTGTAACTGATGAAGGATTGAATGTGTTCATCAACGCTCTTGCGGAAAGGCTGGAGATGAGGACAAACAAGGAATACTTGGTCAGCGAATTGGTTGAGATTGAATTTTGGAAGGGATGGGTTTTGTTCTCTATAAAAGTCGAGATAAAACCAAAAGGCTTCTTCGATCTGGAAGAATAAACGATCAAAGTTTTCGTGCTCTTCCTCAGGGCAATTCATGATGAATTTAACAACGAGTTCGAGAATAATATCGTCCAAAGACTTGGTCTCATTGGCAACGTTGTTGGGTTTCATCTTTTCATCTCTAGAGCCTCTTCTTGGAGATTTTCTTGATGGCGACTTTCTAGGGTTGGAGTGGTTGTTGTTGGTGCTGTTGTTGTAGGACATGATGATCAAGTGGTGTTGTAGTTAGTGATAATATTATATATAAACCGAAGATGAACAACGCATAAACTAAGAGAATGGGATGGTGGTTGGTAGAGAACAATATAAAAAACCAATGTTAAACTGGGATGGTTGTGATGATGATGGAGAGAAAGTATGGATAGTGGCGGTTGGTCGTAATAAAACTGCTACGAGCAAAAATATTGCGCAGATGCTCTTCTAACAACAAATAGGACGCAGGGATGGTCAGGTTGGAAAATTTTTTGAATATGGTTTTGTTCCTTGTGCGCCGCTTTGACTCGTTTAAATTGTATTCTTCAACCATCATCAAGACCACCGATGATGGGGAGAGAGCGAATCCCACAGTGCGATAAAAATAGATTGATGGGGATGTTTCGGTTGATCCTCCAGACAGCAAAACACAACTTCATCATGGAGCGCTTCTTGAAAATGATTTGAAAGAACAAGATTGAAATGCAAATTCGGTGTTCGGTTGCCTGTATTAGGAATTAAGGAATGAAGTGCCAAAACACGTGTTGAAGATTATTTTGAGGAGAGAGATTGTTGTTTGATGATGTTTGTATAACAACGATGATTGGAGAGAATGAGGAAAATCGACAGGTGCATGGTGAGAACAAATTCCCTTTCAGAATTCACGAATTCGAAATGGCATGCAAAAAATCCATTTTAGTCACTATGAATCTTGTATACAATCGTCGTTGTCCTCTTTTAACAAGAGTATTTATTAGTGATTTAGAAAATTGAAGCACTTTTAGGAAGAATACTACTATAGAGTTGTTGTGATCTCAATCAACCTGTTGTCGCATCAAAAGTGTACACTCCCAACCATGGACACAATCACAGAGCCAAATGTTTTGGTACTAATACTCCAGCCCACTCACAATGATGGAATGAGAGGTTACCTTCGAGTGATAGGATTGTGCCATTTCAACTCTCGTCAACTGGCCAAGTACAGCCAACAACTTTTGAGAGACAACATCGTTCGGGTTCTTGGAGAGATAACACTCCAGTTTGACGGTTGCACTAGTCAAAGCATCCTCGTATTCAAGTTGTGAAAGGTTTGGCTTGAAAAGGTCAAACACGCTGTGGAGATTGTTGCAATTCTCATTTTCGTTTTTGGCCTTTTCCAGCGTTTTTAATGATATTCAAAAGTAATGATTATCCAAGTTGAGAACTCAATTCACTGGTTACTTACCTGTAACTCGTACAACCATTCATCACTCTCGACGAAACTTTCCTTAATAAGATGATAAACAGTTGAAATTGAAGGAACAGTCTTGGACGAATAGACACTCTTTTCAAAAAGAATTCGATCTACAGGTCTTGTGATGAAACTCTTTCTGCATTCATTTTGAGTTCTTTCATCGATCAAAATGTGGACCTTCAATTGACTTGCAAGGAAACTCAAATTCTTTGCATTTTCACATGCTTGAGAAATACATGAGAAAAAACGAACTGAACTCGTTCCTAAATTACCAACGAATGAAGAACTTGTGGCTACTCCAATATAATACGAAAAGGATGGTGTGTATTGTTGAGCCATCAATGCATTCGCAATTTCAAGACCTTTAACTATTTTTAAGGCACATTCTTGAGCGACATAGGTGACAGGCTTTTGGGCATTTCTTTTGCTTTCTATTACAATCTTGAATTCCGAATTGGACACAATTTGAAGATTGCCATGAAATATCTTTGAAACAGAGCTGAGTGCAGAAATAATTTTGGGAAATGAATTACTAATTTCCTCATGTGAATAGAGAAGCAAGTAATCTGGAAGTGTAATGTACAACACACTGCATTCCTTGTTGGTGAGACCCATTTTGAAAACACCTCCTCCTCTCAAAACATCTCCACTCTTTCGAGATTGCGTCAACTCTGAGGCAGAACTCGCACTGGTCCTTGTGGCTATCTCTCGATTCGAGTTGGAGAGATTGTCTTCACTACCTCCTTGAGAGGGAAGCTTTTCGTCTTTCTTGTCTGAGGCTTGAATTGGAGTTGAGTGTTGTTGTGGTGATTCTTCTTCCTCATGATAAGCATCTAAATGTTGAAGTTGGAGAAAGACATTTTCTGGAACAAAGGATTTGATTTCTCTCAACCAATGCACAGTGGTATCAAGATTGGAGAATATAAGATTGATTTCTGAAAATACGGAACTTTTCAGGTGAATATTATCTAAATCCATGTACTTGATGAGTTCAAATTGTTGTCTCAAGAATGATATGGGTTTGGTAATGACATGACTCAAATAGAGACCAAATGCCAAACTCAAACATGTGATCAATACTACTGCTCCAACAGAAACTGAGATGCTAATGGTTGTAGTGAGTGTGACATCTTCCTCATAGACCACAATATAGAGCTTCCAATTAAGATTCTCCATTGTAAAGGTTTGAGTGGTGATCAAGTAATTCACACCAAGTGACGCTTAAATTTGTTTCATCAAAACTCCTGCATCTCGATCAGTGATATCAAAGATACTTAATGTACTTTTCCTATCGGCTGTCGTCGTGTTGATACTTCCATCCACACTCACCGTGCTGTTAAATTCCGTAATCAACACATAACCTCTCTGAAAGACAGAAACTTTTTGTAAAAAGTTGGAGAGAAGAATCAATGGAATGGTGCACCGATAAATTCCTTGAGGAGTCAACGCCTTTCCTTGTTTGTTGTTGGTCATGTTGAATTTCGCAAACAGAGTTGGATCATAAATCATGGAACCATAAGGAAGAGCCAAAGTACCATTAATTAAATAAAAGATACTTCCAAAGGCTCCCTTCGTTCCCATCTTGTTCGCAGCCTTAATGGTTGAATTATAGAAACCTTGTTGAAGAACCTCTGCAGGAGTGGGATCCACCGAATAATTCGTCACCAGTACGGAACCCTCTCCATTCACCATGTCTCGTATAATTCCAGGATACGGAGGAATTTGTAAAAGAGAGATCCAAACAACTCAATGACAGCATATCGTTCACTCGGAGTGGAAAAGAAATAGCCTGTCAACACTCCAGAGTTATTGTATTGACGAAAGAGGTACTCTCGGATTTGAGACTTGTTCAGGAGACCGTAGTTGTACAAATCTGCTCCGACATGGCTCACGGTTTTCAACTTGTCCAAAAGTTGAGAAATGTAAATCACAATTTTGTCTTGGACATTGGACACCACCTTGTCGGAGAGTTCCTCAATGGAAATAAACATTCCAATGAATACAGAAAGATACACGGTGATGGAACATAAGAGAATCAATGCCACGATGGTCATGATGACAAATACTTTGAGTGGAATACACGTCCTTGACCACAACAACAAGAGTGTGGTGTTCTCTTCTTGTTGTTTTTGCTGTTGTTGAAAGGATTCGATCCTTGTTGTTCTTCAGATTCCTTGTGTAACCGTTGATGCAAGGTCATTTCATCTTCTTGTTGTGGTTGTTCGAGGACCGAGTTAGTTGGGACCTCTGAGGTGTTGTTGTTTGGTGTTGATTTGATTTCATAGACCCTGTTTCGATGATGAGTGTCATTTGGGAGTACTCTGTTTTTGAAACGTGTCATTCAGTAAATGATGATTCTGTTCTAGAGTCGACAATGGTCTTCACAAATGATGATGATTTCGAAACAACAAGTGGTTGTCTCTTTTCTTTAAAATTGTAAAAAAGGTATTAATATGTGAGTGATGAATTGTAATGGCATGTGATGCTAAATTGTATTGGACTCCGGTTAAATCCATCACAACACATTGCCGTACTTGTCGCCAATAAATACATTTCCAAAAAAAGCTAAAGCGCCTTCACTTGCTTTCAGCTGTCTTACTGGTCCATCTATGGATTGAGATAGTTTGCATCAATTTTGAATGAGACTATCGCTAACAGGCATGAAGGTTTAAGAATTGGCAAATATATTCTTAATTCACCTTTCTTCCATGTTAAACAGAAACTTCCTTAGGCGGAATTTTGTATTCTGTTCTCAACGATTCTCCAATATTGGTTGATCACAATCATGAGAATTCGAGTGAAACATGAAACGACCATTCTTTGTTAATTTCAGAATAAGAAAACCTTAATAATAACAACAACACAATGGGAATGTGTGACAACAATACTAGTGGTTTGATGATGATCGTTGTGTGTATGCATTCATTCTGATTAAAAAACAATTTCAATTTTCAATCAACAAGGATGACAAAAGTAAAGACATGGAATATAGAGAAAAGTTTAAATGAATCTATGAAGGAAATCAGACAGACAGGTGTGTGAGAAATGTGATGATGTTTATATCAACATTGTATCATCATCAACACTTCTACACATTTGCAAAGTTCATTGCAAAGAGTTTGTCAATAATTGTTGAGGTGATCATCATTGGTTAAACAGAAATGTTGCTTTCAGCATAGTGAGTAGCTGTTTGATCAGTGTCAAGATCTTCAACAAGTCCATCAAAGTTCTTCTTTGTCTTTTCAAGTGAAAATTCCTTAATGTTTCCGTCCCTAGTTGCAACATAGAGCACATTGTTAGATTTTCCTCTACAAATACTTGTGAATGGTTTTCTAACCTTCAATATCTACAAGTTGAAAATGTCAAATGAAATTGTAGAGTGAAATTGGAATATTTCGACATTTCACACAAAGTGTTCATTGAATCAATCAATCAAGTGAATCATTGAATCAATCAAATGAATCAAAGAATGGATAAAATACATCAAAGAGAATGAAACAAAAAGTGCCACACATTTCACATTTCCCATCCATGAATGATCACAACAACAAAACATCAACAACTATTCCTACTTACACAAACAGTCTTTCCATGTTTCAAATCCCAAATTCTCACATCATTATCATCTCCACCACTCACTAAAATTCTTCCCTTCACCATAATATTCTTCACTTTAGTGGAATGACCTTTCAAATCTCTCTTCCATTCATCTCCTTCATCAACTCTATACTCCCTAATAATACCATCCCATGAAGCAGTAATGAGATGAGTGCCACCCATTCCATCCACATTCTTTGCCACAGCAATACGACACACACAATCTTTTGCCTCTTCCATAACCTTCATGCATTTACCAGTCGTACAGTTCCACTTTCGAACTGTTTTGTCTTGACTGCAACTATACATGTGAAATCCATCTTCCATCACTACAAAATCCCAAACCCATGAAGTATGTCCAGTAAATGTTAATAACAATGTACCATCCTCAGTGTTCCATTTACGAATGGTTTTATCAGCACTCGAACTGTAAATATAATCTCCTTTCACAGCAATACCAGTCACAATGTCGGAGTGACCTCTAAAAATTTGTAAACATTCTCCAGTTTCAGTGTCCCATTTACGAATATCGTTATCAAAGGATCCACTATACAAATGCTTTTTACCATGCAAGGTGAGGGAGGAGATGGTTTTTGTGTGACCTTTAAACAAGTGAAGAATGACTTGTCGTTCAGCAGCCCATGAACGAATATCTCCATCATCGGATCCAGTGTAAATGATACCTTCGGGAGAGGTAATCATGGCTGAGATGAATTTGGAGTGACCTCTAAATACAAAGAGACAAGAACCAGAGGGATCCCTATGAATTGAGTTGGATATGAGTGTGAGTGAATTGGATATGGTTAGATGTGAGTGAGTGAGTGTATGTGGAAATAGATGAATGTGTATGGAATGGAAAAAATTGACCATTGGAACAAATATATTAGGTGCGAGTGTTGTTATTGATGTGATAGTTGAGTAATAAAAGGTTTTGAAACGGTACGTGTCAATGGTCGAGTTAATGCATACACATCATGATGTGTGATGATAGAAATCCAAGTCCAACAAGGGTTATAACCGAGAGAGAGAGAAGAGTGTTGTGGATTCGAATCATTTGTTGTTGTACCGCAGATTGTTGTGAGACGATGAATAGATGAGCAAAATAAGCAAATGATGATGGAGGACAAGAAGTGGATAATGAAAAGGAGGAGAAATTGTTCCATTCATCGTCATCATGAGAGAAACCACACCCATCGATGGGCAAGAAGTATGAAAAATGTCAATTTTGTGTCATGACATCACAAAATTTGTTGACAATGTTTGTGAAATTACAAAATGACATTTCACAAATTTCCATTGACATTTCATCACAAAGATTTCAAAGAGTTGAATTTCATTGTAGTAATAAATTCAAGATCATGTATAACCATCAATCAAATGATTGAACACTACATACCATTGTCGAAGAGATGAATCATGACTTCCACTATACAGTTTTCCATTGAAATACTGAAGTGTTGAAATACTTTTGATGTGTCCAGTGAATTCTCTGCTTGATTCTAATTCTTCAGGAGTTGTGCTCTATACAAATGTGGAAGTTTTGTTGTTGGATTAGAAAAACAATTCAAAACATCATTCAGATCGTCGCACACAATGTGTGTCGAAAGTTTTTGTTGTTGTTGAAGAGAGATTTTACAAGTCCATCACGAGATGATGATGATGGAACATACGAATGGAACAATTGACACGAACAACAATTATGGTGATGGAATTGGGAGAGCGGAATATGACACGTGAATGAACATATGAGGAGGAGTTGTTGTTGATGATGATGATGATGAAGGGATGTGATGGTGGTGTTGATCATTTGGATCCAAATACATATTGATCAATTTTTGTTGTTGATGTGATGATGCAAATGTATTCGAGAGTATTCGAATCGAGAGTGAAAAGTGGTTGATGTTGATGGCCATAGGATGGGAGTTTTTGGTGTGAGTCAATAATTGTTGGTGATGTTATACACACGACAAAACAAGATGGTACTACGTACATTTTGACCCATTTTTTGATGCTCTGTTGACACCAGTCGTCAGTGTCAAGTGAAAGTTGCAGCAAGGATGTCAATTGCCTTCAATAAAAAACCAACAAATTGTGCAGGAACTGTTCTTCTTCATCCACCGGATACTGCACTTATTTGGAGGTTTGTGAAGATCATGGGGGAGGACAATAAGGAGAATATTAACTAACACTCAACAAATATACGAATCAACAGAAATACAAAAGTTTGAAAGGTGTGGTTGGCAAAAAACAATGTTCGGTTAAATTTATCATAATTTACTTCTTTCTGTAGAGCACCTTGTTAACAGCAGCACAAACAATATCAGGATCTGGGAAGCAAGCTCTCTCCAAATTCTCAGCATAAGGCACTGGAACATCGACTCCTGTGCATCTCAAAACTGGAGCATCCAAAAAGTCAAAGGCATCAGATTCCATAACTTGAGCAATAATTTCAGCTCCAATTCCGCAGTGTGGCCAACCTTCTTCAACAGTTATCAATCTATTAGTCTTCTTAACAGATGCAAGAATTGGAACCATATCTAGTGGACGAATAGTACGCAAGTTAATGACTTCAGCACTGATACCCTCCTTTTGGAGCTTGTCAGCAGCACCAAGAGCGGCATTAAGTGCACGACCATATCCAACAAGGGTGACGTCCTTTCCTTCGCGTTCAACCTTTGATTTACCGATTGGAATAACAAAGTCCTTATCGTTTAAAATTTTTTCATCAATTTCAAATGTTTGTCCATATAAAGATTCACTTTCCAAGACAATCACTGGGTTGTCATCACGAATAGCTGCCTTAAGCAATCCCTTGTAATCTTCTGCACTATATGGACAAACAACCTTCAAACCAGGACAGTTGGCATACCATGAGGCATAATCTTGTGAGTGTTGGGCAGAAACTGCTGGTGGGGCACCATTTGGTCCACGGAAAACAATTGGGCAATTAAGTTGACCTGCACTCATGTGGTGACCCTTAGCAGCACTGTTAATGATTTGGTCAATAGCTTGCATGGCAAAGTTGAAAGTCATAAATTCGCAAATTGGTCTCAAGCCACCGAGAGCTGCACCGACTGCAAGACCAGCAAAGCCCATTTCAGTAATTGGTGTATCAATGACTCTGTCACCTCCATACTTGTCAAAAAGTCCCTTGGTAATCTTGTAAGCTCCGTTATATGCGGCAACTTCTTCTCCCAAAATGAAAACTTTTTCATCACGAGCCAATTCTTCATCTAAGGCCTTGTTTGCAGCATCTCTGTTGGTTATCTATTGATATGATGTGAATTATTAAATGATGAATGTCGAAAAATGGAAATGCGGATGGAGATTGCATATCATACAATACGTTGTCATAATCATCGAACAATCGTTGACATCGCAAAATGTAATGGAGCCATATAACAATGCCATATTATGAGCAATCGTCGTCATCGGCAATAATGACCAATAAATTTGATGTGTTTTGGTCCAAGTAACACAAGATGAAAATCAATATATGATTTTTAAACACGTAATGAAATAGACAACAATCATGAGTAGTAAAATAACATATATCAGCCGATTCGCGTGTACAGTCCATTACAATAATACAATGTAAACAACAACATCATTATCCAACGCAAACCAAGAACATCAAAAAGTCGGATCAAACTCTTCGTATTCCCACTACACAGCAAAACACAACCTCATCATCAACTTACCTGAACACAGGCTGTACTCTTTGTAGAGAAATTTCTCTGAATACGATTACCACCCAACAAGACTTGTTTGTTGTTGTATCTGCGAAGGAGAGAAGAAGCAGCGGATCTCATTTTTTCAAGTTTTCGATTTTTGTGTGTTTCAAAAGAAGAAGAAGCACAAATTGATGATGAGGCTTCATTGCGATCTCTGGAAGCCGGCCTCTAATCAACTTGTAGTCTCGGCAACAACACGAAGAAGGCATGATAAGAGAGTTGTTTCATTTGGTAATATAGTTCTCTAAGAATATACCATAAATACCTTGTAAACTTGGTGTCAGTGAGCTAGCGGGCCAAATATGAACGTGTTGATTATTGTTGCTTGTTTCATGACAATAATATCAAACTTCTTCTGTTGCTAATAATGCCTGCCTGCTGTGTGCATCAACAAAGAGAAACACATTTGGAACTCTTGACAAAATAATAAATATTGCCCAATTTGATCTTGAAGATGGCAAAAGTTGAGAACACCTTAAGAGTAGGCAGCCTGGGATATCAAATCCCTACTTTGCATTCAAACAACTGGATATATGCAGCACACAATAAACGTTAAATGAATTGTTCATTCTCGTTCTATGAAACGCACCAAATCACCAAAAGTTCGTTTTTTCCAAACTTTGACAATAAATCTCCTTTTCTCGAAATTCAACCCTCATTCTTCCGCAAAATCGGTCTAATAATCAAATCGTCAGCACAACAACAATAAAAGCAGAAGTGCAGACTTCCAACCACCTCCTGATCTTCAAATGAAAGTTGTGGAGTTGCTGTCGTTTCAAAGTTTCACTTTCACTGACCCCACATGTAATGTACCAAACCGAGTAGTTGCTTCAAGCAGTCTAATGGCGCCATCATCCTCTCCACGAGAGTCATTCCGAAAAACGACTTTCAATCGCTCATGATTGTGGAGAGAGGATTTAAAAAAAAAATTGCAATCGCATTTTTTTGAAGTTGAACAAGAGCAGCACGAACTGCAGCACAACGGTTGAAGAAAAGCACGACAACAGGAACATTGGTTGTGATATTCAGCAGCAGAAGCAGCAGCAGCACTGGCAGTAGTAGTATTCCAATCAGTGTTCAGAGTTATCGGACAACATTTTCCACGCAGGCACACAATAGTAGTACTGAAAGACTCTTTTGTGCAACATTTTGACTTTTGGAATTTTTACATTATCGGTTCATCCATAGTTGTTGAAGAAAACTTCATTGACCAAACTGATTTCAACTCATCGTCCATATTATATCCTTCATCAATAATAACAACAACAAACACAAATGATGATGGAACCGTTTTCTAATTGCGAACAAGTCTCTTCCTTCATGGATAATAATCATCACCATCATTTACACCATCCTCATCATCATCATCCTCACTCCTTTAATAGCAACGAGGATCCTATGAACAGTCTCTCTTTCGTTACGACGACAACATCTTCTCCATCGTCCATGGAATCACTCAGCTGCGATGATCCAAATTCAATTTTACCACTTAATCATCACATCATGACCAACGACAACAACATTGAAGAAATGAATAAGGAACACACTTTTGAAACGATAATAATACCATCGGAAAAGTATTGCAAAGAAGAACAAAAGGACTCTATTCGGGTAGAGCCTTGTTGTGAACCATTATTAATTCATGAAACTTTTGAACCTTCGTCGCTCACCTTTGAAACACCTCGTGAAGAAGAACAAACAATCTGTACTTGCAAAAAGTATCGTTTTAACGCCTCCGTATATGGGTTTTCAAAAAGCCAATATTATGACTATTCAGACGATCTTCTTGGTCTTAAGGAAGAAGATTTAAATTTAGGAGAAGACTTTTACTTTTATACCAACTGCACTCTGGGAGTGTCGGATGGCGTTGGAGGATGGTCTTCTTATGGAGTTGACTCGTCTCGAGTGAGCAAAGACATTATGAATCACTGTAAATATTTTGCAATCGAAAAGGAGCATTTCCCTAATTCAGAACATTCGTCGTTAACGCCTCTAAACATTTTATCAAAAGCATACTACAAAGAAGTTGAAGTATATGAAAATTTGAAAATTAACCAACCTCTTGGAAGTACCACAGCTTGTGTGCTTCATATGGACGAAATGTCTGCTGCTCTAAGTTATGCAAATTTAGGAGATAGTGGTTTTATCGTGTTAAGACGAAGTAGTAGTGACAATCAGCAACGAATAATATTTACTGCAAAGGATAAATGCCGTATCATTAATGGCTTGGGCAAGGCTCCTTATCAATTAAGCTTTTTACCTCCAAGTTTCATTCAGACGAACAACTATTTCAACGACAAGCCAACAGATGCAATGTTCGAAGCTAATATAATATCGCTTCAAGAGGGAGACATTGTGATCATGGGAAGTGACGGCCTTTTTGAGAATATTAAGATGGATTACTTGGTTGAGCTCGTCAATGACCTTTTTCCACCAGGAAAACCTCATAATGATATGAAATTATTGTCAGAAGAACTAGCTAATGAAGCCAGGCGACGTGACTGCAAACAAGATGATATTGTTTGCCTTTGTGCAAACGTGGTATATGAATAATAATAAATTATTTCAATTATTTCAATAGCGATAAAAACATTTAATGTTGGTTGATTGTTTCTGTCAAGAACAGAGTTAAGTAAACGAATCTTCGCCAAAAAACAAATCATCCAAATCTGATTGTTGGGATTGCTGTGTTGGTTGTTGTTGTGGCTGTGGAGGTGGTTGAATAGGTTGTAAAGGTTGCACAGGCATTTGAGGTTGTTGAAGAGGAATAGGCATAGTTGGCATCTGTTGTTGCCTTTGTTGTTGAGAAAGCAATGATTGAGCCAATATGTTCAAAGGAGGCTGTTGTTGAAGATTGGTCATGTTTGCTGCTTGATTATTGGCAATGCCTTGACGCTGTTGAAGAAGTTGCAAGATCAAATTTTGCTGAGAGGCCTGTTGTTGTGGAGTTAAGGGTTGAGAAGTTGGTTGGATAGGTTGTTGTGGTAGGCCAGGGCGTTGAATAGATGCACTTCCATTTCCATCAGCAGATTGATTGTCACTGATCATTTTTCTGAGTTGCAAAGCACTGACGAATGGATTGCTCTGAGGAATACCAACAGGACCGTTTGTTTGTGTAGGGTTATTGTTAGGAACAGAAGGTGGGATTGAGCCAGCATTTCGTTGCTGATACTCTTGTATGGATTTCATCAAAAAGGCAAGTTGTTGTTGCGTAAGGCCTAGAAGGGGTTGTTGTGCTTGTTGTTGCGGTAGCTGGTTTGGTATTTGATAACCAGGTTGTTGACCTTGTTTTTGCTGAAGTTGCAACAACTGCTGTGGAGTAATTGCGCCGCTCTGTAGCTGTCTTTGAAGTTGGTTCAGTTGTTGTGCTCTTAACATGTTGTTCACATTGTTTTGAGGCATTTGTCGATTGGGAGACATTATTGGAGGTTGTTGTCCTCTTTTAGAGTTTTGATTGGCTGCATTTCTTTGAGCGTTTAGTGCCATTGGATTCATGGATGTTTGCATCATGTTCATTCCAATACCAGAAAGATGTACTCCACTGACATTGTTCACTTGCATTCTTAGGTTGTTCTGCTGAGATGTTGGTTTTTTCAGCTGTTGTGTTTGTTGTTGCATACTTGGTTGAGAGACAGCTTTGTTGGATTTAGAAGAGGTTCTTTTCTTTTTGTCAACATATTCCTCTTCTTCTGAGCTAAAGTCTTCGTCATCATCGTCTTCATTTTCATACTCCTCTTCATCGTCATCTTCATTTTCATCCAGAACAAATTCCTCATCGTCTTTGTTTCGTTTTTCGTCATCTTCTGCTGATTCTTTATAAGATTTCCTTCTTCTTGGCCTAAGACTACGCTTTTCATCGCCTCCTTCTCCGTCTTCTTCTTCTCCAAATACAGAAAAGTTAATATTTTTAACAGCTCTACCACTTCTCAATTTGGTTGTGTGAACATCGTTAGCTTCAGAGCCTTCAGCTGCACTTTGGTCTGCCAAGGGAGCCTCTTCCTTTTCATGTTCAATTTCTTCCAGAAGAGCCTTTGTTTCGAGTTCGTGTTGCTTTTGAAGTTCTCGATCCTCTTCTTCTCTTTCTCTCGCTCGTCTCACTAACATATTCTCTCTATCCTGGCGTTTCTGTTCAATCTTTCTAGTGTCTTCATTGTTTTTCAAATTTCTTATCACAGTTTCGATATATTCCACAAGAGATGCTTTTTCTTCTGATGATTCATTCTTAGACTTAAGTTCTTCCAAGAACTTTTCGAATTCTTCAACGGATGAACATTTAAGTTCCCAAGATCCATTCGATTTAGAAGAAGGAGGATGTTCAATGTAGAGTCTTCCAATGTGGTCACCAAAATACCAATATTTTACACCCTTTTCCTTTGCAATGGGTTCAAACAGCATGCCCAGACCATAATGATTCCTTGAATAATCGATAACTCTCTGATTTGTATCAAACTTCCAATCCAAAAGAGCTTTGAGAATAATGAGTCTCCATTGAGGAGAAATCTCGTCATATGTGGTGAGTAATAATGGACTAACTTGCCACAGTCTATAGTTTGGTTGCAGAGTATCAATCTTGTTTTTCAGGACTGTTTTCCACCTTATGGAAGCAGGATCCAGCAAAGCATGTGATTTCCGGTCCAATGCAGGGCCCTTAATCAATCGAATGATGAGATCTGCCATTAAACCATTACACAATTCTGGATGCAGTAATGCATCCTCAAATTCATCATAATCAAATTCAGCAATTTTTAGTACAGGCCTAAGAAATTCCAATGAAGTAAAAACGTAAGGAAGCTCCCACATGCTATTTAAAATTTCTTTTGGAGTCCTTGTTTCAGATTTTTCGTACTTCTCAACTTGAAGTTTTTCCTTATCGGCATCCTTTTTCCTAGATGTTTCTTCTGGAAGTAATTCTAATTGGGCCTGTTTTACAGCATTCGAACAGTCTTTGACAAATTCCTGCACTTCACTTTGTGTATAGCAGTTGTATTTCAAATAAATAAGCTCATTATGACCATCAAAGGTCGTAATGTTATCAGTATAATTTGTATGTTGATACTTTCTCAGGAATGGAAGCCCCTCCCTATAAATTTTGGATACAGCATCTGGAATACCTTCGTCAGTAAAGAGAGGATCTTTGAAAATTAAAACATTTGACGGTTCTTCATCACTTTCTTCTTCCTCTTCATTTTCCGTTTCTTCCGATTTGATTTGATTAGATTTCTTCTTTTTAGTTTTCAATTCTTCATTTTCTTTCTCACTCTCTCCATCCAAATCATGTACATTTTTTGATGATCGTTTTCTTTTTGTCGTCAAAGAATCTTCTGTCTTTTCTTCCTTTTTCTTTCGGCCTCTCTTTTTGGTAGATTGGGATTCGTTATCTTCTTCTGGATTTACAAACTTTCTCTTGTACTGGGTACATTTTTCAGCATTGGGAAGAAGCTCAATCAGATGTCTTACTTTAGAATTTGACAAACCATAATATTCTGGACCTGATACAGTGCATGTCTTCATGCTCTTATTTCTAGATTCTTGTACGGTCTTAATTACTGCTGACCAGGCACCACTTGGTGTTGAAGAGGTATATGAAATTGTGTCGTCAGAGGGAGTAATCTTGAAAATAGGTGCATCATCTCCTTCCAAAATTTCACATGTATAGATGGCTTTAGCTCCTGGATTTTTGTAAGACATGTAATTTTTTTCAGCTTTGTATCCAATAGGGAAAATATATCTGTCGTTGTGATAATTTGGATTATTATACTCAATTCTTCCAAGTGAAACGACTTGTGACGTGCCAAACTTTACAGGAAGCTGTGCATCGGGAGGAATATTAGGATCTACTACCATAGTATTTTTGGGTTTTCTTGCTCTTCTTTTTTTCTTTTGTTGTGTAGGCTCCTCTGAAGCTTCGTCATTTTCGTCATCGTTTTCGCCTTTAGAAATGCTACTACTCGCGACAGTAGTGTCCATATCTCCTAATTTGATGGTTACCTTGACTTCTTTTGTATCGGATTTCTTTGACTTTCGTTTAGTACTCGATGATTTCCGCTTTTTTGTGGATTTTTGCTTCTTTTGTGGTTTTACTACTTCATCTGCGGATGCTCCTGATTTATCGGTTTCACTCTCATTGGCAATCCTAAGCGAAAAATCCTCATCGTCCATATTTTCTTCTTCATTACTGAATTCACTGGGGTCGTCTTCCATCATCATGATGATGTTTAAATATTACAAAAAAAAGAAAATTGAGCAGATTTCGGCAAACTTGTCGGTAATCCTAGGGTTAGATTTGATGATGTATGCGTATATTTGTTGATCGATCTTTGATGGAAATGTTCTTGATTCTTTTTTTCGCTATTCCCATCAACCTTTGAATACAAAATCCGAAATGAATTTTTTGGGTGATGATGGTGGTGTGGATTTGCGAAACGGTTTTTTTTGAGAGAATAACTTTTTTGCAAGAAGAGGTTTCCAGAGTTTTGGGTGACGTCCCAGTCTCTTTCGAGTCTTGATGCATCATAACTGATGAAAAGACTATATCTTTCACAAGATTTGGGGTCGTATCATCATCTACTAAAAGAAGAAAGCTTTCTCACAACGCAACAATTCTTACGGACAACCACTCGTGGAGAATTATTGAAGAAAAAATTCTCCAAGTCTCTTGACTCGGTTATGTCCCACAAAAGCCATTCACTCTCATCACGATGGATGACTATGAAGATGAAATAATAGAGGAAGAGGATGAATCCGATATTCAAGAAGGTGTTCAATCCGAAGACCAAATCGGATTGATGAGTAAAATTATTAAATTGAGAAACAAACTCAAACGATACTACAAGAATGTAAAAAACATTCCGAATATTATTGGCTATATTTTAGATGCACTCTCGAGTAGAGAATCCTTTATTAAATTGTGTTATGAAATTTGGGATCATTTAAAGAATACTCCAGTTGTTGTGTTTTATGGATACTTATGGAAGACCAAGAAAATGCAATTCTTTATGAATTTATTTGTTAGTTATGGCTTACCGATTTTATTGGAGTCTCTACCGTGGTACTTTTCACGGAGAAAAATTGGCAGAAGGCTAAGAACTCAGAAAAATACAATTACAAATTCAATGATTGACAGAAAGGAGTTTAGTTGGGAGTCGGCACATTCATACATTGCTCTCACCATGTTATACACATTGTTGGAGAATATAGAACGTCACTTAACTTATAAAGTGACAGTAATGAATCGATTGTATGTAAAGAGGCTTGTCTTAGAAAAGATTCTATATAGTGAGATTTGGGCATTCACTGAATTTCAAGGAAGGGAATTGGAATATAGAATATCAACAGAAATTCACAACACACTTCGATTGTTCAGTTATGTGGTTCCAAACATTTTGTCTTCTCTCTATGCCATTGTGAGAGAAGGTTTCGAATTATATGAAGGAAGGGCCAAGTTGGACTGGATGCTTGTAATACGACCTGTAATTTCAATTCTTCTGTGGAGAACCATTGACTGGACCAAAACCCAGTTCATGGGAAGAAAGGTAAGCTTTTTATGGTTTGTTGTCATTGGAATTCATTCTCATATTTTTAAAAATGTCACAGAAAGTAATTACCAATTTACAAAGTAACCAAAGCGTCGCCATGCTATTCGATCAAGTGACAGAGGGACTTTCAGAGATTCAGCTCAACAATATTCAACAGAAAAAATTGAAGGAATACGATCAAATAGTGCATACTGAATTTGGACTTTGGGAAGATGCTCGTCTTTTCTTCAACAAAGTTTACAGCTCTTTTACGAATCGAGGTGTCTTTGACTTTCTCTCGGAAACATTTGTTGCCTCAATGATTATGAAGAAGAAAGATTTGAATTATGAACAGTATAGAAAGCTTCAAATTGATATTGACCATTTAGTGTAGGTAGTGCAGTATTATTTGTTGGATTTAATGTTCGTATTGATCATAAAATTAGTAAATTGGTGAGAAGGACAGGAACATACACATTGCAGGCGTCTAGGAGTGTAGAAAGACAAACTAGAGTTGTCAAGTTAATGAAACTTCCGAATTTCCAAGATGAAGATAATGATGAATCATTAGTTAAGGTTTCTTCTTTTGAAAGTTTACGATTACAGAATATTACTTTTTCATACCAAAAGAATGGAAAGAAACCATATGCTCTCAACTTTTCTGGAACAATTGAGGTGAGTCAAAATATTTCATATGATAATGATTACCATATTCTGTCATGTTATTGTTGCTGACAAATAGTTTCAAAAAAATTCAATATATGCCATTATTGGACAAAATAGAAGTGGAAAAAGCACATTGGTGAATTTAATAACCAAGTTATATCGTCCACAGGGAGGTGAAATGACATTCAATGGTATTCCATACTCAAAGATTAACAGAAATTCAATTCGAGAAATTGTGTATTATGTTGCTCAAAAAGCATATGTTTTTCCAGGTACTATTCGAGAAAATATTTGTGTTGGAATTGATTACACTCCAACAGATAAGGAAATTATTAAGGCAGCTAAATATGCAGGAGTTTTTACATTTGATGAAGCGTCAATTAATCCCTTATCATCTTCCTCGACAGGTTCTCAAGAGCCTCTTCCATCACTAAACATCCCAAATGAAAAGACAATTGAAGAGCTATTACTTGAGGGAACTCCATCTGAGAAGAAAAAGCTCTCTAAGAAGAAGATTAACAAAATTTTAGACATGAAAACACAAGCACGAGGTGCAAATTTGAGTGGCGGCTTTGCTCAATCTGTTGCACTCGCACGAATATATTTGCAAAAGAAAGCAAAAATTATTATCTTGGACGAGAGTACAAGCGCGATGGATCCCATCAAGAAACGAGATGTCATATTCCCTAATTTATTCAAACACGTTAGAAAAAACAAGCTAACATTGCTCATGATTTCACACGACATGACGTACTTGGATCAAGTGGACAAGATTGTACTCTTATCCAATGGACAGATTGCTGGTCAAGGTTCTCACAAAGAACTCGTGGATCAAAATAATGAAACTTATCTCAAAATGTTGGGATTGTCTTCAAAACTGTAGAACAAAGATGATCCTTTTATTGCGATACAAGTAAACAACAATTCATCACCACAACACGGCTCACTCCAATAACCATTACAAGATCCAAAAATTTAGGGAATTTCAGCTTGTTTCTATGCGCAAAAAAAATGTCTGAACCTGGTTCGAATCATCATCTTCTTCCATTTGAGCATTTGCCGGCGCATTGCTACACGCTGCCAAAATTGACTTCTCCTCTTGTTGTTTCTGCAACTCCTTCTCGTAGTCATCACAACAACAACAACAACAATCAACAAAACAATTCAAGTAACAACAATCACCCAACCACAGTGGTGGTCGGAAAGAGAAAGAATATTGAATCAGAAGAGGATCTTGATGATGGGGATAATCCTCACGGATGCAATGAATCAGCAGCATTTTGTGGCCACATCAACCGCCATGATCACATTATTTGTAGTACCCAACACCTTCTTGTTCCTCATCAATTGCACTCTTCAGAGTTGAAAGAAGAGTTTTCCGAACAGCGTCAATGTGATGACGATAATAACTTTAAAAAAGTGAAAGCCTATCACCACATATGTAACGAATATTCTACAACTGTTGCAAGTAGCAATCTTTGTATTCCTTCTCCATTTCCTACTCTCTACAAACATTGTCAAACAACTGATTGGTTTTATAATTTTAGCATGTTTGATTGTGTTCGAAATTTTGAAAACTATGTTGATGATCCGAGTGATGCCAACAATATCAAAATGAGCACAAACGATTATTTTAATTACTGTTATGATTTTAATGCTTTACCAACGCACTCTTCGAGTGGACTTCTTAGGCTTTTAAAAGATTTAGGAATTACCTCATTCTATGACTACAAGTACTTTATATTTGTATTCTTATTTAATTTTCAATCAAAATTATCCATTTCACGAAGCGAATGGATTTTTGGAATGTTCAACTTGCGATGTGACTCGATAGACAAGCTTCGATACAAAATCAACCAGGTAACTGAGGAGTCTTATTTGTGGAACTCTGAGCAGATGAAAAATTTGTTCACCGTATCCTTCAAATTTCTGAGAGATTCAGAAAAGAGTAGATCAATTGATGCTCATGTTGCTGCTTATGCGCTGAGGGTTCTAATGACAGGAAGAAGCCCTTTCACGGAGACATTTAGTGACTTTTTGGTTTCAGCTGACAATCCTATCAAGTCCATTAATTTAGATCAGTGGAAAATATTTGTTGATTTCTCAGCAAATATTGCTCCAAACCTTTCTAACTATGACTCTAATGATGCATGGCCTTCATTGTATGACATCTATATCAGTACATCTTTTGGAATTAATTAATTCCTTTATGAAAATATATATTTTACTTTTCAATCTGTAGCAGTTTACTTTTTTTTACAAAATTTCATTCTTTTGATTCTTGCTCTTTCTTTTTTCGTTCCTCTTCTTCTTGTTGCTTTAGTCTCTCCTCCCTCATTTTCCTTACTCGCTCCCATTTTTCTTCTGCTAACCGTTTTTCCTCCTCTTCGAACTCCTTCTCTTCCTTCTCGATTCTTTTGGAAAGTTCTTCTATATTCTTTTCAATTTCGTTGCTCAACCAGTCGAGCCCTTTCACAATGTGATCATCTAATTTGTTTTTTGTAAGCTCTCTTTTAGCTATGGAAGGAAGAATGTTGAAACTTGAAACATATTGAGCTAGTTCATGCAGCTTAAGTTTTTCAGATATTTCAGAAGGATCCAAAGAGTTTGGAAGGTCTTTTTTGTTTGCGAGACTATGGCAAATTTGGAGAAACTTGTGGTTAGTCATTCGTTTTTTGTGTCATACTTACACCAACAACGGTTTTCCTTTGAAATATGGGTGTTTTATACTTTCTTCAAGTGTTTTCTGAGCTTCCTCAAGTCGCTTTTCATCAGCAGAATCCACAACAAAAATTGCTCCATGTATCTGTTAATCAAGTATTGATTAGTGACAGGATGTTCAGCATGACATGATCACTTACTGAGGGAAAATAATTTGGCCATATTGATCTAATATTTGCTCCTCCTCCCACATCAAAATATGTAATTTCGTAATGCTGGTGCTTTAAGGTTTCTCTGTTAAATCCTACTGTTGGCATTGGTTTGAAATCAGCATGCCCTTTTAGTGCTGCTAAAAACGTGGATTTTCCCGCATTGTCTAAAGTGTTGATCAATATGACAAATACATCAAATTATTTGTATTCGAATGGTTGTATTTCCGATTTGTTCCGACGCACATAAATATTCATTGACGAAATTCCATTCATTGTTTAAACACGTTCTTCCTTATTATTCCTTTAAATTCCCTCACTTACCTAGTCCGATCAACATGACCGTGATTTTCATTTCATCTTTCTTCTTCTTTCCAAAGCCAAACAAATTCTTGAATAACGATAACATTTTTTTAAAATTTATCATAAAAATAACATTTTCGTGTTATCTACAAAACGTATGTTTTTGGCGCCAATTGGTTCATCATTCAAATTGGATGGGTTCAGAAAATTTGTATCAATTCGAATACGATTGTTTTTATTCAAAGAATTTCTTTCAATTAATTGAAATCTGTATTCTATTAATACATACATAGAAGTAATTTTAATCAAATACCTCTCATTTTCTCCTTCAGAACTTTGAGAAATGGCCATTTTAGAAATTCCTTAAAAAAGAAATGTTGTTGTCGAAACACACTCCTCCATCAGCAACAACAACAACCTCACAACAACAACAACCACTCAAACCTACATTATTCACTCACAACTCTTCGTTATTTCCATCCATAATTATCCCTCGACGAATGACGAGCACTTTCTCTCCTCTCGTAATAGTAGTTCTACTAGTTCTACTACTGCTGGTTCCATCTCCTCTTATCTTCTTCCATTCTACCTGCCAGGCTCAATCTCTATATGCTTCCTTTGGTGATTTTGCTTGTAACTCTTTGAGTAGTAGTAGTAGTAGTAGTAGTAGTAGCAGTAGCACCTCCACTTTGACATCTTCCACTCCTCAACAACGTTGCATCTCTTCTTCAATAGAATTAACACTCAATTCCAATACAAGCACTTGTTCGGATTCCTTCTCCTATTACTACAACTCTCAAGGTCAGAAAATAGATTTAGGAACCACCTTGAAAGTGGAGGCCAATCTTCTCAAGGCACGTGCACGACTCTACTTTGTAAAAGATTCAAAATTCATTTACAACAAGTACGAAGTCTTTGTACCAGGAGTGGGATGTGCAATGACTCGTGCCAATTCAGAATGTGGTTCTTCTGGTTCTTCTGGTTCTTCCGATACCTTTGTGTTGTGTTGTGTGGGTGGAAAGAGAGGCACTGGAGCGTTTTGTTTGAGGGAAGCAGAGGCTCCAGGTGTGAACATGCTGAGACGAGCCTATCAAGTGTATCGAATCACACTCGCTACAAGTGTTCTCATTACGGCTCAAGTGAAAGTCACTCGAAATGGTAAAACAAGAGAATTGATTTTGACTGAAAGTGCAACTTCCTTGTCATCGTTCGGTATGGATGCATTCATGACGTATCAACTCTCAATGGAACATCAAGAATTGGAGAAGAAATTTAGCATGTGTAGTAATAATTATGTCATGTTGAGATTAATGCAAGCAGGAGCCTCCTCGCTCAATAATCCTCTAACGACATTGACAGCCGATGATCTATTGCTGGTTGAAAAATTATCGAATTTTATAACCGATCAGTATTCGTATCAAATTAAGGCATCATGTGATTCTGAATATGGAGATCAAACCAAGACCCATGACTATGTGGATCATATTAAGGATCAATTCTATAACGCTCAAGAGTTGTATGGAATTAAAAATGTTCTTAGGAATAAGCTGAACATACCACTCACTGAGACAATCACATTTGGAAATACTGACACGAGTAGTGGAGTCGGTGGAAGTAATAGTGGTGGAATTGGTGGATTGGATTATTTGGAAGTGGATGTCGTGAGTCCAGTGTTATCAATTAATTTATTGATAAAAAATATATACGAACTGTAGTGAAAAATAGGATTAGTAATATTCGAGTGAAATGTATTCAATAGAAAATACTTGAAATAGTGTAAATATATGGATGTTTCAATAATATTATTTAAGGCTACATCATGAATTTTATCAACACCACATACATATTTGAAATCAAATACTTACGAAATGTAATTTCTTCTTGGTTTTGTCACAATAAATTCATAGAAAAGTCCTCCTAGTGCTCCACCAATAAATGGTGCAGTGAAATAAATCCAACAATTTGGATACCAAGTCCATCCTATTATTTGTGAGCCGAGAGTTCGAACAGGATTCATACTTCCATTCACAAGGGCACCTCCTCCTATAGCTAATGCAACAGGAACAGTTGCCACTACAGAAGATATTGGTTCCAGTCCAGTTTCTTGGCTCAAGTGTTGTGACTTGATAAATGATCCAAACATGGTCATAACAATAAAAAATCCAAGAATAATTTCCAAGGCAAATGCTCGAAATGCATCTCCTAAATCTTGTGGAGGTTGTAAAATAGCAGGTTGTACTATTTTGAAATATTATGTAAATATATTGTCCACAAAATATGTGTTCGAAATTTTAAAATCAAACATACTCGATTTTGTGACCAATAAACAAAATGCAGCTCCAATTACTCCTCCTATAATTTGCATCACAATATACAGTATACCTGTTAAAATTCCAATATTTCTAGTGATGAGAGTTGCTAGTGTTATGATTGGATTGAAATGTGCTCCGCTTACTGTGACAGCAATGGTCAGTTGTAAATTTTGTGAAATGTCATGTTACATACTTGGTGCGAATATATGAAAACAAGCCACTTGAGTGAAAGCTTGGCATAGAGAGGTCTGAAATACGTCTCCAGTTGAAAAACTAGCAGCTGTACATCCCATGAAAGTATACTAGGATGCGTGTAATTAAAAATTATTTTTCAAATATCCATCATCGTTAACGATGAAATTTTGTCATTGCATAATTGCGAATGGTAATACATATCATTCACGTGTTGTTGTGAATATATCAACCAATTGTTATCATTTTCTAAATTATTAATTCAATCCATACCAATGAAGTTCCACACAACTCTCCGAGCAAACCTCGCCAGTTTACCACAATATCGGGATGGTTTCTAAGCACAGACCCACTTCGGAATTTAAATGTTTGTTGTGAGCCATGTGTTCCATGGATGGTTTGTTGTTGTGAAAACCTACGTTGAATTATTGATGGACATGATAGTTCAACACTTTAGTGTGTGAAGTTTTTATTTTCGAAATAATTTTCGCAATAAATTTCGAAATCGCAACAAATATATCTTCATCTTTGTCTCATGAGGGATGCGGAAAGGCAACATTTGAGGATATTTTGGTGATTCGTTCCAGTAATTTGCGAGGATCCTGAATTCAGTTCCGCGCCCAACAACAACAGTTCCATTGAGCAAAGTAAAATACTTTGGGAATATTGGTTCGATTATGACATTTCGCTCATCTCAAATACTCTACTTTGTTGGGAAATACAACTTGGCAGACATGAGTGACATGCCAGTTCGAATCATGACACAATAAAACACGAGGGAAAACAATTGTTGTATGATGAACAAAATCCAATAACCAGCTGATTCCCAAGCCCATAATGGATTGGATGGTGACTTAACGAAACCATACTATTTGAATACATGAACACAATAAATTATTCCCTCCTCTGGGTCCAGAAATACCTACAATTTTAAAAGCAGCCGCTCCGCCTATCAGTCCAATATGAAATAAAAAGGCCAGAACTGAAAACTTTACAAGTTTAAAAAAGGCTTGAAATATCAATCCCGATGTAAACATTAATGTTCTGGAAATAATAATGTATACAATGACCGCATGTGCAATTAACGAGATGGCATGCAGTCCTAAAATTACATAATACGCATAGGGATTCATGATCATGGATGGACCAATGGAGTTGCACAACAAATCCACCGACAGCGATACGAGAAGAAACGTAAAACTTAATTTCATTTTTTTGGCGCGCAAAATATTCGGTCCAGACAATACACTTTTACACTTGCTTGTGCTTTTTGGAGATCCACATTCACGCATGCCAAATGGTTGCAATCCCTTTCCGTTTGCACTATACTCACATTGGTAATTGTGCTCGGAACAAAATAACCAAGGTGGGTCATAACTCAGATTATGTTTCGAATGGGATGAACTAAGGTTAGATTTATTGAAACTTAAAAAAACTTTGAGAGACTTTCATAGTTGGCATTCGAAGAGCTTGTATTACTGTAAAAGCTGAATCATTCGCAAGTGCCATTTGAAATGCAACATCCATCATTGATTCTCATTGGACGCTTCTCTGTTGTCACCAGTTTGCACAATCCAAGAGCAGCTCCACTGCCTCCACAATTCCATGCTTGACATTTTCAGACATGGACGCTCTTTATCAGGAAATTACGTTCGCCAGTTGAACGACACAACGATTTCACACAAAAAAAATGTCACAAATGAAAATCACCTCGAGACGACCAGTCATCTCTCTCATCCCTCTTGTTTTAATATTGTGGGCTCTTCTTTCCCTTCTCATAACGTCATTAACACGAGTCTCTGCTCAAACTTGTCGAACCAATCTCATCACAAACACTTTCACACCTTCCTTTCTGGATTATTGTCCAGTCGGTTGGATCAATACTGGAAATAAATGTGAGAGATTTGCAGATATCTGGAAAGCAAAATTGGGATCTGGTTGTACTACTTCCTGGGATTGTAAATTCTCTTCTCTTTCTTGCATCAACAACGTTTGCAGTCCATTAAATCGAATGGAAGGAGATACTTGCACTGAAGACTCTCAATGTGCACAAAATGTCTATTCCAAATTTAGTAGTGCTTGTTTCAATGGACGTTGTCGACCAATGACTCTTATCAAGACTGCAAAAGTTGGTGAAACTTGTAATGTCAAGAATGTTGCTGACAATACCATCTCTGATTGTGCTGAAGGACATTGTGCTTTGGCAAGTCTTTTCAATTCCATCATACCTGGTCTTATCACTTCCAAGTGTGTGAAAACATCACAAGCCAAGAAGGGTGAAACTTGTGGTTTCAAATACACACTTCTTCCTCCTGCAATTACGGATTATATCACTTGTGAATCAGGTACTACTTGTTCATTGGTGATTGGAGGTACTTGTGTTCCTGTTGTTCAAGAGGGACAAGCATGCTCTCTGTTAGATCTCTCACAACAATGCGAAACTAATACTTACTGTCGAAGACGATCCGCAACTGCTTCCACGACCTGTGAGTACAAGGCACCAATTGGTGAATATTGTGATACTTTTCTCGATTGTGCATTTGTAAATTCAGGAATGGTTTCATGTGAAAACAACAAGTGTGTTCGAAAAGCATCGAGACCTAACGGACAAGGATGTACCTCCAATGATCAATGTTACAGCAGATATTGCGATTCTTCTACTGGTAAATGTTCTGCCTATGCAGGAAAGGAAACATGTTCCACTTCTTCCAGTTGTACCACTGCCATTTCACAAGGATGTGGTTGTGCTGGAAAGGAAACAGATAGCAATCTTGGAAAGTGTGTGGCATCTTGTGAGGGACAACTTTTAGATTTAAAAGCTTGTCTCTATAATTTGGGAATGTATTACTATGACAGTATTACACCATCACAATCGTTGGGATATTCCCAATATAGTGATGAAACTTCTACTGCTTTCAGATCATGTCGATATTATTATGATCAATTTTATGGATGTATGAAGCAAACTTGGAATGATGCTGGAATTTCAAATTTAGATTCGTCCATGCCTGGACTTGGATTGGGAAGTGGTGTAGGTGATGGAAATTCTCTTTTACTTCCTGAGAGAAATGGAAGTGAGAGTTTGTTGATGAACCGATCGATGGTTGTCGTGATGCTGGTGATGGTGGTACTTCTTGCTTTGAATTAAAATTCACTCTTTAACTTGAACCAGGTTCGGCAATTTATTCATTGGATGACAGTTCCCATTTACAAAAAAATATTAATGTCATTTGTCTTCTTCACGTAAACAAATTTTACAACAACAGCGCCCACGATAATTTCCAAAAGAAAAACCATGTCAAGTTCACATCAACAACAACCATCATCCACATCACACCACTCTTTTACCACTTGCAACTTTTCTCATGACCATCCATCGAAATCCTCTTTTTTCTCATCATCATTCAATACTGCTAGGAATTTCTCATCATCTCGAATAATATTGTTTTACCCGACAACAACTCTTCTTCTCTCCTTCATTTTGATCGTCATGTCATCCGTGAACAGCACAACAACACTTGTCAATGCATCTTCGGCGTCTTTGCTGTATTTCACATCTGATCTTCACACTCTTTTAATTTCAAACTCAAACTATGTCGTGTTAAATCAAAATCCAGTATTCTGTTTTTATTGGAAAAAGGACTCGGACTTTCTGAATGGAACCATTGTGAGTGAAATTGGATTAAAATCTCCTAATCAACAACAAAAGAATATTATTGCAATATCATTGGGAGTGCCCGATTATATTGTAGCAAAATCGAGTTATCCATTAACTCCTTTAGTAGATGTATTTGTTTTTGATGATTATACTGCTTATGATATGTTTTACAAGGAAAACGATACGGATGTGACAAGCGCAACAACAAGTGACATTTTTCACAAAGCTAAAAACGATACTCTGTTTGGAGGTGTCAATAATTTGAAAGTGACAAATACGTACGAGAAAGAGTTTGGAGATCAAGTGATTTTGAAAGTTGTTGAATTTACACGACCCAAAAACACTTCCGATTATACACATGACGTTTTATTTCCATTGAAAAAGAATGATCGAGGAATTATGTTTTTAAATTTTGCAATTTGGAAGACATCTGTAGATTCTCTTGATATTTTCAGTAATTTTGAAATTGATCCATCCAACACTGGTTATGGATGGTTTGAATTTCAATCCATTTATTACTATCCAATTTCATCAACACTGCAAGGTTTAAGAATTGTTCATGGCATATTGATGGTCATTGGATTTTCCTTATTATTCATTGCTTCCATGCTCATTGTGAGACACTCACACCGTTTCATCTCCAAACGTAAAGGAATTGTCATCCATGCAACTCTATCCATCATTGCAGTTGTTTGCATTCTCATTGCATTTGCATTATCTATTGCCGCTTGTTCCATTTCAACCAATCGACATTTTGACAGCATTCACAAATGGATTGGACTCTTTGTGGTGATCTTTATTGTACTTTATCAATTACCATTCTCTGGACCATTTACTTTTATTTACAATTTTATATTCATCAAGAAGAAATCTTCTTCATCCAAGCATCCAAACGAAGATTCACACACTGAAGAGACAGAGAGTTTTCTATCAAAGACTGAGAATACTAAAAAGTTCATTGGAGATGTTGCCTCTTTCACACATGTATGGGGAGGGAGAATATTAATTGGTGCAGGATGTCTGAATCTTTACTTTGGAATTCATGGAATTTATGCTCCCTATCCTTGGTTCATTGGCATTAGCGTTTTCTTGGCGTTGATTCTATTGTTCATGTTGTTGGCTGAATGTTTAACTCCAAAACAAGTGAAAAGGTTGACCAAGGGAAAGTTCAAAAAACTATTTGGAGCCAATAATGATTAAGTGAATTTGTGTCAAGAAGGCATAATATTTGCTCGTATTCTTAATATATTAATAATTAATTATATTAAATAGTAAAGGTTCGAATATGTGAATGTGTGGAATCACATTACTTGGACATAAGATTTTTCGTTGATCGAAATAAAACATAAAAAAAATTCGTCGACTGCTACTTCTTGGTAGTAATCATATTGTTGTTTTTTCATCCACCAACAAAGAGGTTGTTGCTAAATATCATCATCCTCATTGATATTTATGATCGGATTGAGATCAGACACTATTTATTGTAGTTACTTGTAAAACTGTTATTATCGGAATTTATATGCCATTACAGAAATTAACGTACACTAAAAAGGATATGAAGGACAGCGAACAGTGGTTGGTTGTTTTTGATGATACGGAAACTGCTTTGAATAAATTAGCAGAGGAAGTGGAGAACAGAAATCAAATATTTCGCAACAATTCGAACGCTAGTGAGCTTCCAAAATTAAATTCCGAAATTAGGAGACAATTTAAATCCATAGAACGAGTGTTGATCGATTTAAAGGAAACATTACCTCAATTTTCAAATGAATTATCACAACGAGAAATAACAAGAAGGAAGGATGCTCTTCAGAACACAATTCAAAGAGAACAACAAATGAAAAAGAAGTTTGATAATCCGTCTATTGGAAGAAACAAATTACTAACAGTAGAGGACAATGAGCCAATTTCAAAAGGACCATATGACAGAAGCCAAGAACCGGAATCTATACGAGATTTAGAGAGTCATCAAATTCTCACTTACCAACAAAGAGTCATGGAGGGTAAGTAGTTCAGTTCTTTGTAAATTTAACCAAGGTGGATTGAAAATCAAAATTGTGACAAAAATCAGACCAAGATAAAAGCTTGGACATGTTAAATCAGGCCCTCGATAGAACTAAACAAATTGGGCTTAGTATTGACGAAGAACTTGACGAACATTCACGATTACTCGAAGACATTCATGAGAATGTTGACGTTACCGAATCCAAGATCAAAGTTCAAACCAAGAAAATGGTCAATCTTGCAAAAAAGAATTCCTTCATGTGTTGGGGAATAGTCATTGCAGTGATTTTATTTATTATTGCTGTGGGTCTCCTCATTGTGTTGCTCACAACCACAAAATTCTAAACAATCATTAAATCGTATTTGCAGTGTTATGTTTGACGCTGTTTCGAAAAAGATCACTTATTCTTCTATTAAGAGTGAGATAAACACATTGAGGTTTCAAACACTCGAGTGTTTGTTGGACAAGTGGAAAGCTCAAGCAACTGAAATCAACCAAAAATAACACGTGAAAAAAAAATGAGCTCAATTCAATCCTTTCTTGTGGATGGCACACCATCAAACGAGCAGGATTATGTGCTGCAATTAACGATACCGGACGATGTGATGAACAGTATTTTGCAAAATCCGGATCAACTAAGTTTGAAATTTCTATCGGATCCACTGAGTAGTGAAGTGGTAAGTATCTATGAATGATTAGAATCAGTAGTTTGAAATTGTTTATTGTGTTTGTGTGTGTTTGAATTATTCTTTGTAGAAATTCGAAGTCTCTCTCGGTAACAAAAAGAAGGAGTATAATGCTGCTGTTATTAAAAACGATTGTGATCTCTATAGGTTTTCCGATAATCATTTTCACCAAATAGGAACAATTAAACATAGGGCTAATTTGGACAATTTACCAACCATACAGCCTCCAATTGTAAAACCAAAGACAATACCACCAAGAAATATAGAAACCAAACCTCCGACACGAGCGAGTCAGAAACATAAAATTGTTGCCAACAGAAAGGAGGACTTCTTTTCCGGCAAATACAAAAGAACAGACGACTCTCCAATTAAATTATACGTAGCATCCGAGCCGACTGATTCCAACACCGAAGTAAGCAACACCAACAAAAGTGTACCTTTACAAAAAGACCCTTTCCCATCAAATCCGCCAGTGGTGTCATCATCCACAACAATGCCCGAGTCACCACGCTCCGAGCCTTCATCTCCCAGAGGTGACGAAGCAATGCCAATTTCTCCAACAGACGAAAATGACTCGTCGTCTTTTACAAAAACTCCAAAAGAATCATTTGAGGCAGCATCTCAAAACAAGTCAACAATTTCAACCACCACCACATTTAAAAACACACAAGCAATAACTAACCGTAACAATAGGCCTCAAGTGAAAACTGCTGATTATTGCCTCAAAATTGGTAGCGCTGAATTTAAACCATATAGTTTAATCACTGAGGCTTTCAAAAGAGGAATTAATTTGAACGAGTCACCTCTAAAATCTTCATCCATATCCAAAATTGACACCTTTGAACAATATTCTCAACTTAAAAAGCAGTACAATGAATTATATCCAAAGTATGAAGCTCTAGATATGCTGTTAAATGAAAACGTTGATGAATTTAAAAAGTATGCATATCAGTGGCAAACATTAACAAATGAAGAAGAAAAAAGGTTAGCAAATTTAGAAATTCAGAAATTATTTGTCAGAAGACAAAAGGATGTATTACAACTTACCAATAAGTACAGAGACTGGCACAAAGAGTTGGAGACTATCAAGCACTTGATCGAAGATTATGTACAACGAAAAGGATCACAAGCATCACGTGACATTATTTATTAGAATCCATTTGTACCACACCAATTATTTATTCCATCAAACCTTGTTAGGAGAACAAGATCTTATAAAGTTATTAAACTCGTTCTCTGCATCTAATATGTCTATTCTTTTGTTTGTTTGGATGGAGTGCTCCAGAATTCTTGTGGACAACTTCTTTTTTATGCTGAAATACTTCAATGCATGAGTTTTCATTTCGCTAAATCGCTTTCTCTCGACAAATTCCAAATGTGTTAGAATATTCAAATATTTGATTATGTTTTTTCGAAGTTTTCCCTCGTTTTCCTTAATAGCTAGATTGTCTTCCTCCAAATAGGTGGCCAACGTTCGAATTTCATAATCTGTCTTAGTTTTTTCTGCTAGAGATGATAATGGCGCTTCTTTTAGCTCTTTCTGTTTTTTTGTCATCTCCTCACATCTTCTCTTTAGCTTTTCAACTTCTTTCTTATATTCACCATCCTCATCTTCCAATTTTTTATACTCTGTTCGAGCGCTCGAAATAATTGGTTGCATGAATTTTTGCAAACCAGAGACGTCTCGTAAAAGAGTTTCCAATTCCTTGCAAACTTCAACTCCATGCAGAACATTTTCATCCAAGCCCAACCTGAAACTCTGTAATACTCCTGTATCTCTTGAAGCTAAGTCTTTACTTCATTTTCAATATAGCCATATTCCATGAACAATTCACTCCTACCTACCCTACGAACATATTGATTTTTTCAACGTGTTTTGATAGCTCTTCAAAATATCGTTTATAATATGTTGCGGTTTGATCAATGATCGTCATAAACTGTTCGACTTCTGAGTGCCCTTTTTCCAGTCGTTTAATCACAATGGGTACTTTTGAAAATAACTCATCACTAAATAATGAAATTCCGTCATGAGAGTCCAACAATTCTTTGCATGGCTCCTTTCCGAGCTCAAGTGCAGGCTCTTTTGAAACAATTCCTCCCATGATGATTTCAATTTGGCATTATTTTTTTTTATTGTAAATAAATAGCGGAGAACATGATGGGTGAGGATATTTTAGATGGGAGAGAATCCGAGAGAGATCGTTCTTGATCTCGGCAATAGTTCAAATCATGTTCAAAGATTTGGCTGCAAGCGAGTGAGAAAGGAGATTTTCAAGAGAGAAGAACGTCATTTAATAACACGTACTGATGAACTTAAATTCTAGCAAAGATCTTCCAAAGATTTGCAAGAGAATCGAAATCTCTTGCAAAACCTTAAGCATCTCTGCAATCACTATACCCAATGCATACCTGTCACGTAAAACACTTCCTCTCCACTCCTTTCTTGGATGAGAGTATGGAAATTTAAATAGCTGTAGTTCACTTTCTGTAAATGTGGAGAACGCATCCACATTCATTCTTCAAAAAAACTATTGTTAAAATCAATCCTTGCATTCGAGAGTTCACGAACTGAAGGTCTAATCATGAAATTATGAAAGATCAGAATGAACAATATTGTTGGAATGTATAAACTCGACAATGTCTAAAGCTTGCTCGAACATGGCTGTTTACTTGTTAGTTTGCACCATTAGTGTTGTCCAAAGTTCAAAAGATATCAGAACAAGTAACAGTCTGCATTCTGGCACCACTTTCTTGTCATTGAGGGAAGAGATTCTAAATCGATCTCGTCTTAAAGGAACAGAGAATGTAAATTGGTTATATTCCTTCAATGTTTGAATTCTTAGAATGACAATCTGTTGTAATGTTGCCATTACCTATGTCTAATCCTTAACAAAGAACATGGTCACTTATCCTCGGGTCCAATCATTCTTCTATTATGTGGAAAATGAATAAACGGATATACACACCCCAAGCTACCTTGTGAACAAATGCTCTCTCATTGCTTGTGCAAGCCAAACCCTCCAGAATGCTCTTGGGATGGCTTGGAATTACAAACCACACACCAATACATCTGGAGAATATATACTTTAATTGTTGTGTTTTTGTTATTAATAATGGTTTGACATTCAAAGCACGCACTAGTCACCATTTAAGTCGGTGGTGACTAACATGGATCGTTGTATTTACGCGGTAAAAATGTGGTAAGGCTGGGCGGAGACGAGAGTAAGGCTGGACATCCTTTTGGCGCGGTCATGTTGTATCATTTCTCGTAAAATTCATTCCAACAGAGAGTCGTCATGATGATCTTCAAAGAGTTGTTGGTCGAATCAAAGAGTTGTTGGTCGAACCAAGGTGATAGAGGTGGGAGTCAGAGATTAACTCCTGAACCACCCAAAGATATTCGTAAATTTCTTAATAACCACCCAAAAAAAATATGAAGAGATGGGAGGGATTGTTGCCTCGAAGAACATGGTGGTATCCATCCTTGTGGAGGATCCATCCCTGTATACGATCGGAGTGAAGTGTCAGTTTGGAGATAAATTGACGGAACAATTTCCAAAAGTGCTGGAAAAGATGCAATGTAATTTGGAGGAAGTAAAACGTTTTTATAAAGCAATTAAATTATATGCCAACCTGACGAAGGATTTGTCCAGAATTAAATATTTTGCAACAGAGTAGGTTTTTCTGACCCTTTGGAAATTTTAATGAAACCAATGAATGAAGAGCTTTCCAACCAGAGCAAATTGATGTCGCCCACAAGATGGCAATAAGCATGGAGCATTGCTCTCAATATTCAAAGCTAAATAATGAATTAGAAGCCATCTGTTTGCAAATTAAAAATTTGAAAAGAGAAATTGAGTCCATGCTCTCGCAGTCACAATCGGACTTCAAGCAACTGAATGCCATGTTCGAATCTTCAAAAAGGGATGTATCAAAAGCTCAAAAAAAGGAAGCAGACATATTGAACAAAATTGCACATATAACCACCAACGTGACATCAGAAGATGAAATCAAATCGCAAACAGACAAGCTCCAAAAGGATTACCAAGCAAAAAAATTAGAGCGGGAACAATGCGAAAATGAGTTGGAAAGCACAAAAACAAAGTATAATGCAAGGATTTATAACCGATTATATCAAATAGAAACACTAGAAAAAAAAAGATTTGATGTTATGAAGACTCTTGCTCAAGAATATCTAGCTTGCCTAACTAAAATGAACGAGATGGAGGAAAAGAGTTGTACAAATGCTGAATCTATCCTTTTAAAACTCAACGAAGAACAAGAAATACTAACATTTATAAAAGAGTGCGACGCCATTTCACCAAACTCGTTACCCCCAGGTGATAGAACCATGAATATCTCTCTAAGGCAACTAGAAGTGAAAAATGAGGCACCTGAATTTGAAACATGGTTGCAGACCATCAGTCCCTACGTACGATCTATTATCAGTGAACATACCCTTTTTGTTGATGCAGATTTTCCAGCAAACAACTCATCCATAGGAAATCAAACCACCTCAAACAATGTAAACTGGAAACGAGCTCCTGAAATTTTTGGAACAACGTTCGAAATCATTAAGGGAGGAAAAGTTCATCAGAGTCATGTTTGCCCCAAATATTCTGGTGATAATTGGTTCATCACTTGTATTTTTAGCGTCGCAAAAGCGCCAAGTTTAATCACTCGCTTGTTTTCCACACTAGAAGTGAACACTTCTGGTGTCTATGAGCTTAATTTATGTGTTGGTGGTGAGTTTGTGAAGGTTGTTGTGGACGATTACTTCCCAGTTGTGTCCCAAAGCGATCTAACTCCACTGTACTCATGTAGCAAAGAAAATGGTATTATTGTTCCAGAATTATGGGTGATGCTTCTCGAGAAAGCATTCGCAAAATTATCAGGATATTATAACAAGATTGATAGCAACTATTTGCATTTAGGTTTGGAAGTTTTAACAGGAATGCCCCAAATCAACATTGTTTTCTCAGAGAATGTGATCAAGAATGCATCATTTCAGGATAGTAGCTGGAATACTATTTGCAATGCATCGAAAAAAGGCTGTATTATTTGCTGCCACTCTCGTTTTGAATGTAGTGGCGTTTTACATGGATCCACATCCTACACGCTTGTGAATTGTCGTGAGAAAGCTGGCAACACACGATGGGTAAAACTTACAAACCCATTATGTGAAATTAAGCAAATTCCCATCGAGTTAGATTTCCAAGTTTTTTTGGAACAGTTTGCACATGTAAATATTTGCAAATATGACCCTAAACTTTCACGAAAAAGCATCAACATAACTACCCAAATGCTTAGCCTTAATGATGAAGTTCTTTACCCTGTCATTGAATTGAATGTTTCGAGCAGTGATCAGGAAGAGTTTTGTTTTGGAGTTCACCAAATGCATCCAGTTTTCAAAAATGCATGTGCGATTCCTTCTGTGCTAGGTTTCATAGTTATTGATGTGTCAAAATCAAAGGAAATTGTCACATTCATAACAGCGAATGTGGAACGAGAATTCGCTCCATCCAAACAACTTAAAGCTGGTCAGTACGATATTGTTCCTTTGCTATTCCAAAAGAATGGAGACGTTCAAAACATCGTCATGTCTTGCCATCACTCTGGAGAAATGAACTGGAAGCTAGTTCCAAAATCAAATGTTGCCATTGGAAGTCAGGTGTTTCGGCTTGGTCAGCTCAAAAAACTCGTGTTCTAAAATGTTGTTTTCCTTTAATTTAAAACATGTTTCTTTCTTTCTCTGCCAATAAGCGTAATTTTTCTTCAAATTCTTTTTCCAACTGTAATCGTCTCATTTCCAATTCGCACAATGTTTGTAGAACTTCAGCGTTTTCCGCAATAGAATTGGAGGAATAACATGATTGCATGTACATGAGATTTCGATCAGCCTCGAAAACTTTAAGTTTCTGATCCTCATACTTTTGAAGAGCAAATGTTCTCCTTGGTTTGTTGTGTATAACAAAATCACTTCCTGTAAAACTAGAGCCAGCTCCAGAATATTCAATTCCTCGTTCTCTCTTTTTCTGATTTTCATTACCAAGGAAAAAGTTGCTAAGTCCATTGATGACAGTCTCCAAACGCTCTTGCTTGTTAAATTCTACATTTTGGGGAATTTGTTCAATACCATGCTCTGCCATTAACTTGTTATAATACTTTCCAATTTTTACAGTGTAATTCTTCAACTTTTTAAATGCCAAATTCATAAATTCCACAGAGTAATCTCGTGCCAAAGCGTCACCAATATCCAACGTGGTTTTGAAATCCTCCAAATAGAATTGTTGTGTCACTTGTGTATAAATCGTTCTCATATTTACAACATAATCCTTCATCACTTGCTTGTCCAAATCACTCTTCGTGTAATAAAGTAAACAATACAAATAAACACCAGCAATGAAACATGGAACCAATTCCTTGACTTGAAGATAGACCAAAAGCAAATTAATATCATTATTCATGAACACATCTTTCAAATCAATTTGCACATTGCCAACAAGTGTTCCTACTGTGACTGTACCATAGTATTTAGTGAGTAGTGTGGAAATGGCATTAATATTAATTGGAATATTCGAAGAGTTTTTGTTTTCTACAATTAAAAAGGATCCTCTCGAGTAAATAAGACCCAACAAAACAGCCAAATAACTTGGATGTTCATTCACAATGGGTTCAATGGGTGCCCATCGTTCAATACTCGATTTTGATAAATTTTCCATAATAGACATGTTAATATACATATCAAAACCATCTTCTTCATGAGTAGGTGTCATGTCACTTGGAGGATTGGAAACTATTGATGGATTTGATGTTTGTTGTGGTGGTTGTGGTGGTGGTTGTGAAGATGGTTGTTGTACCATTAACGATGGAAATGCAGATTCCAAATGTGCCGTTTGTTCCGAAGTACTGTCATCCATCGAAGTGGTCGTTGTGGTTGTTGTGGTTGTCGCCGCAGAAGGTGAGAGAATTCTATTTCCAGTTCCAGTCATATTCTTAATATCTTTAACAGAAAGTGAATCTAAGGGTTGTGTCACAACAGCATCTGCTGCCTCTTGAACACTTGTGACAAATCGAGTAATGGGTTGATAATGTGTGTACAACAAATCATCCAATTTGTTAATTTGTTGATTACTTGTAAAATCATAATATTCAATAGGTTTTGAAACGTCACATAAAATGGGTTCGTTAATGAGTGGTAATTTCTCTCTTCCTGCCTTTTTTCGAAATCCAAATCTCACTTCCTGTACAAATGCTTTATCAAACGGTGCTGTTTCTTCACTGAAAAATGTGCCATTCGATTGTTTCATAAAAGCATCTCGATCCATTCGATAGGCCACAATAAATCCACAATGTTTCACAAGATCAGCACTGCATTTTCTTCCATAGGTACCAATGGCAACATTGACACTGTATTCAGCATTGTTCACAGATTGACTATAGTAGGTATCAATGGGTGTTAATACTTCTCTCTTTTTAGAGGAATTTTCACAAAATACCACAAATCCAAAAATGGCAATTTCATTTGGATTCAATTTAGGGACTAGTTTTTCAAATTCATTGTATTGATAAACTCTGTTTTGTGTCATGGTTAGAATTGGAGATGATGCATTCTGATTGATAAATAATTTAATGGTCACTTTTGCAGTTTGAACATTGTAACAAACTGGAAATCCTGCTCGTTGTTGATTAATTTTACCAAATAGAGTTGCTTTTGAGATGGCAGTTGGAGGATAGACATTGGAAGTGGATGCAGAAAGGAAAGAGGATGTCAATAATTGTTGATTTTGTATCGAATTTTCAAATACATGGGCATCTGTCAAATTTGACAAGTTGACATTTGATTGAGAAGGAATGGCTCCACTCGATCCAAGCAATGATGTGACACTTGCATCCACATTCACTTGCTGAAACATGGAAGAAGTTAAATTATTCATCATCAAGGAATCATTGGATCCAAATTGATGTGAATGATGATGAAAAGGATTTTCTGAACTCATTACTCCACTCAATGAATTAAAAAACGAAGATCCATGAGTGGAATGATGATGTTGATTCATTGGAACACCACCAACACCACCACTACTTCCACTGTTCAATAAAGGAGAATAATTGGATGGATGTTGTTGGCTCACTAGAGTGACAGTATTCATGAGTTGAGTCAAATGATCGGTTGTTGTGGTGTTACTTGTCAAAGTACTACTACTACCACCACTGCTACTATTGTGTGGTTGTTGAATATGAGAGGAATTGTTGTTGTTGGATGAGGAGGAGGAGGTTATTGTTGTTGGATTCATCATCATGGTCATGTAGGAGGAATGATTGTTGTTATTGTTGTTGTGGAGACTATTTCCCGATGAGGAAGAAGAGGACATGACCGATGAATTCGATGAAGGATAATAGGAGGACGAGGATAATGAAGAAGAAGAAGAATTAGTGGTCATCATCCTCATGAAACGGATTCAACTTTGAAAACAAGGTGGACACTGTTTTTGATATGGATATGGCCTATGGGAGAGTAGGAATGGTTGTTGTTGTTGGAGGAGGAGGAGGATTCTTCTGTTTGTGTTAATTAAATAATTCCAGAAGACCACAAAGTGGAGTTTTTTTTTGTGATTGTAATTTTCAAAAAAAAAAGACTGTCACCTGTCAAGTGGACATGCGGAACAGGGAGAAATTGTGATATTGGATGTTTTTTTGGGCCTTTTTTCATGAACATGTAAAACTTTGTAAATTCGATTTTCCCTCATCTCGGAGCTGTGTATGTTTCGACTCTCGAAACGCAAGAATTGATTCCGGAACTGTTTTTCAGTAGCTCCGAAGTTTAATCAAAAGTGAATTGGCAGTGTTCCTGAAGGAAAATATGTGTTCAAATATTGTATTGATTTCATATTCCTTGATAGGTGACAGTGAAGAGAGCTGTTGTGTGACACAACAACTCCAATCATTATAGGAGATGCCCTCAGAGTTTATTGGTCTAAATTTAGACTCTAAAACACTTGCTTTTGGAGTTGGGAATTCTCATTCAAAAAAAATGTTTCCGACCGAAGATGAAATTGAACAACTGGTCATGCGTGTGAGTTTTCAAGAGCAGTAAGTATCACTCAATTGGGTGCAAGTGATCACATCGATGTGTTTATTATAATGATGATGATTTATAATGAACATCAATAGACAAATCCAAACTCAAGAACAAGAAATCAAAGAGTTGAAAAACGAAATTATTCGATTGAAAACCCAACTGAACATTGCTCTCCAACAACAACCACAATCACCACAACAACAGTTTCCCTCTTCATCGTCGTTGCACATTTCTTCTCTGAACAACAACAATAGACATTATTTAACAAGATCGGCCTCCAGTGGTGGCATTCTGCCATTTCATCCAAACCATGTCCTGAATCATAACCACAGCAACAACAACCAACAGTCACCATCTAAAAGCTCACGTCGATCACACCACCAACTACCCTCCACGCCCCTTTTCGAACAATCCAGAATTGTGAAGGAGTATGAAGATCAAAAGAAACGACGTGTCAGCAGAATTTCTCGAGAGTCGCGACTCGTTGAAAGTCATGATCCACACAATGAAATTAGTCCAAACAGCAGCATTGAATCAGCTGATTCCACAATAAGATCTTCCTTTTTCCGATCTCCACACAACAACAGCCAAATTTATTTGAATTCACCGATTGGTGGCAATGATCATAGAAGTGAAGGGTATTCACGTGGAAATTTCACTAGGAGGACTGGATTGACTGGATCCTCCACATCACACTACTCCACACCCTCCTCATCGATGGAAGTTTCTTCCAGCTCCTCATCAATGAATCGACGATCCGCACAACCATCGATTAATCTCGATGAAGAGTTGGCTCGTCAGTTGCAATACGGAGCTAGTCCTTCGGAATTTGAGGACACTTCCTTTTTATCACAACAGGGATTTATTTCATCGGAACCTTTCCATGATGACTCTTCGCCATTGTCATCAAGTGATGAATATCATGGAGTTTCATCTAATAGAAGAAGAAGTAGTAGTAGCAACCTATTGAATGTAAATAATAATAATACTTTCAATGACATGAATAGTTATGAACAACTGAGACAACTTGAAGATGTGAAGGTTGGAGTAAAACCAGAAATTCTGAAACGATTGAGCAACATTCCTTTTCAAGGGGGCAAAGCCATGATATCAAAATGCTCCATATGTTTGAACCATTTTTCAAAAGACGAAACAATCACCTACTTGCCATGTCTCCACTATTATCATCATTCATGCATCATGAAATGGTTCAAAGATAATCATACTTGTCCCATTTGTAAATTCGATTTAAATGACGACCACTCACTACAATAAATTACATGTGTTTTATATTTTGAACTGAGAGTACATATCAGTGTTTCATTCACTTGTTTGCTGTCAGAGAAGATCTCATATTCCTTTCGAATGAATTAGATCCAAAAAATTCAGGAATGGGTTTATTCGATGATAAACGTTGTTCGATGGTTTTATGTACATTATTTACAAGCAATTAGATCCAAAAAATGAACCTCATTCAACATGAAGCTTCATCATCATCATCACTCCCTTCGGAGGAGCAAACAATGACTCCAAAAAATCCTTCTCCAACTACCACCTCCGGTGGAATTCAATCATATTTGCAATTAAATCAATATTCTCTTTCAAAAGAGCAAGAGCAAGAATTATTGTCCATGTTTCAAATGTATGCCAAGGACAATAAGGTTTCATTGAAGGACTTGCACAGTTTGATTAAATCAAATGTTGGAGTAAAGATTGATATTGAAGAATTGATGGATATGGTTCAAATATTTTCCCCAGAGAGTATGGTGGAAGCTCTAAATAATGAAAGTAATGAGCGAAAAATAGAAAAGATTAAAGTAGATTTTCCTACGTTTATTAAATGTTTGAATACACGATATATTGATTCCGAGAAATTTTCAAAAGAACAATTACAAGACTTGTATATTACAGAAATTTATAATTTATTAGATGCCAATAGATCTGGCACTATAGGCCGATCGGAACTCTCTCACTTTTTTTCGAGAGCTTTAGGAGAGAATTTGGTTGAAGATCAAATTATTGACATGCTTTCTTTGTTTAAAAATCAAACCATTAGCTTGGAAGAATTCAAAACTTTCGTAAAACAACTGAATATTAAATTTTAAAATTCATTCTCCGAAATGCTATTTTCCTCCTAAATGTTGTCACAATTATGAAATATTAATCAGTAAATTGAGTGCAATCCCGAATCATCAACAAGTTTTTTTCGTCATCGACATGGATCTTTTGATCATTAAGCATCCTAAAATCGATGACAAACCAAGTAACATGGTTAATCCAATAACAGCCATAAATATGATAGCATATTCTCTGGGGGGAAAGAATTTCAAAACCCATTGTTTATCCTTGTCAATAAATGGCTAAACATTTTGTAAATACAGAAATCGTGATGATTCTTATTCCAACAGAAAAACATACTGTTATGAGCAGCCAAACAGAATAATAAATAAATCCAAAACTAACAACCATCAAGGAAATGAAACCAGAGCGATGAGCCAAATCTGTGATGGACATTTTTTGTTGCTTGATCATCCAAAGGCGTCTTCGAACGGGAACAAGACACATCATATTCCATGAACGAAATGAATGTTGAATCCGAAATCTTGTGTCACCTACACATTAAAAAAATTAACTAAAAACCCGAAGAGGATGATTGAATTGACGGAAAATAATGGTGCTGTCATGGAACAGTTCGTGAGTGAGACTCAATGTTTTTGCTTGGTTGGTTTAATTATTTATGAAATTTTTCAATCCGAAATTAAATTATTAATTATATTTAAATTATTTCATTCGACATTCAATCACTCGCAATTCCACAATACTTTACAATTATTGACAGGATTGTGATGGTGTGATTTGGAAAGGTTCTGAAGTGCTTCCACACGTCAAAGAAACCTTGGAGGGTTTAAGAAAATTAAACAAGCGATTGTTCTTCATTACGAACAATTCGTCAAATTCCAGAAAAGGATATTTGAAAAAGTTTCAATCTTTAGATTTACATGTCGATGTTGTAAGTAGCACACACCATCTTTCATAATTTAATTTAATAATATTATTACATATTTGACCTCTCCTTTCATTTACACCCTTCACACAAATTTACCATTTTCTGATTCAACAACACTTCTCATAGTCTGAGATTTTGACCTCTTCCTATGCAGCGGCTGTCTATGCCAAAGAACATGCCATCAAAAAAGCCTATGTCATTGGAGGAGATGGAATTAAGGAAGAATTGGAATTAATTGGAGTTGAAGCCTGTGGATTTGAGGAACATTTACACAAAACTTTCAAAGAAGAGGAATTTTTACATGAATGGGAAGAATTTACAAAGAAATATCCTGTAGAAAGTATTGGAGCCGTCATTGTTGGATACGATAATAGATTTAACAATTTCAAATTGGCCATGGCTCATCAAATCTTGAGAAGGAATCCACAATGTCTTTTCATGGCCACCAACACAGATGCCACTCTGCCTTACAAGAATAATTTATTTTTCCCTGGTGGTGGATGTTTTGTTGCTGCTCTATCTACTGCCATTGGAAGAAAACCTGACATTGTGGCTGGAAAACCTTCCACACTCCTTCTTGACACAGCTCTACATTTACTCTATGAGGAATGTAAGGATAAGGTTACACCTGAAAATCGACATGTGGCTGTCTGTATGGTTGGAGATCGTTTAGAAACGGACATTGTGTTGGGAAACAAAACAGGAGTGAAGAGTGTTTGTGTGCTGACAGGAGTTGCCACAAGAGAACACTTGAATGAGATCATTGAGGAAGCAAAACAAGATGAATCTAAAAAGTTATTGAACCCTCAATATGTGTTGCCTCAATTGGCACTTCTTAGAAACGTTGTATTGAAATAAATATTGAAACTATATCTGTGTGTCGACTCGACAAAAAGTCACGCTCTTAAAAGGAAAAAACCATCAAAGGCCATAATGCACCCAACAACAGAACAACAACAAAAAATGAGAAAATCACTCGTCCAACAAGTGCTCAAGGCTTCAACCTCTTCCAAGAAGGTTTCAGCTCCATTGTTTTGCAACAACAGCACTTGCACCACAACAACATCTTGCGTTCAAGAATTTTCTACAGTGAACAATATTCAACAACATGGTGGATTGAAGGATAAGGACCGTATTTTTACTAACTTGTACAACAACTTTGACCGCCATATTGATGGAGCTATGAAAAGGGTAGGTTTTAGTAAATTTACTTCGCTCATATTCTTTATACCGAATGTTAACCATCATGATGAAACCATTTTCTTTTTGTATAAATTTGCTTGCTTGATGATGATGACAACCAACATAATTTTAAACAACTCTACCACAATAATAATAATAATTTTTATAATAACAGGGAGATTGGTATAAGACGAAAGATTTGATCAACAAAGGACCTGATTGGATTATTGACCAAATTAAAAAGTCCGGATTGAGAGGACGTGGAGGTGCCGGGTTCAACTCTGGTTTAAAGTATTCCTTCATGCCAAAGAGTAATCCTGACGGCCGTCCATCTTATTTAGTCATCAATTCTGATGAGTCCGAGCCAGGTACTTGCAAAGACAGAGAAATTGTAAGACACGATCCACATAAACTCGTGGAAGGAGCTCTCCTTGTTGGATTTGGTATGAGAGCTAGAGCTGCTTATATTTATATTCGTGGAGAATTCTATAATGAATATAGACATTTGCAAGAAGCAATTGATGAAGCCTATCAAAAGGGTTTAATTGGTAAAAATGCTTGTGGAACAGGTTATGATTTTGATGTTTATGTTCATCGTGGTGCCGGAGCATATATTTGTGGAGAGGAAACTGCATTGATTGAATCACTTGAAGGAAAGCAAGGAAAACCAAGATTGAAGCCTCCTTTCCCAGCAAACGTTGGTTTATTCTCATGCCCAACCACTGTAACTAATGTTGAGACTGTCGCTGTAGTACCAACAATTTTGAGAAGATCACCAGAATGGTTTGCTAGCTTTGGTAGAAAGAATAATGCTGGAACCAAACTGTTTGCAATTTCTGGACATGTCAACACTCCTTGTGTAGTAGAAGAAGAAATGAGTATTCCTTTGAAGGAACTTATTGAAAGACATGCAGGAGGCGTTCGTGGTGGATGGGACAATTTATTGGCCGTCATTCCTGGAGGATCTTCAGTGCCCTTGATTCCAAAATCAATTTGTGAAACAGTTCTTATGGACTTTGATGCTCTCAGAGAAGTTCAGTCTGGTTTGGGTACCGCTGCTGTGATGGTCATGGACAAATCCACTGATATTGTCAATGCCATTGCTCGTCTCTCGAAATTCTATGCTCATGAAAGCTGTGGACAATGCACACCTTGTAGAGAAGGAACTGGTTGGTTGTTGAATATGATGGACCGATTTGTTAAGGGTAATGCTGAGATTGATGAAATTGACACATTAGAAGAAGTGTCTCGCCAAATTGAGGGTCACACTATTTGTGCTTTGGGTGATGCTGCTGCTTGGCCAGTCCAAGGTTTAATCCGTCATTTCCGAAATGAAATGGAAGATAGAATTAGAAAATACAAGAAGGAACAAGCTGCAAGAAGACACCGAGCCAGTGCAACTATTTAAATAAGGTCCTAAATTTTTTGATAAGATTTTTCTAAGGGTTTTTATGCACGAAGGGACTTGTTTCAATCTTGTGCACAATGAAAGATATCACAACTATTAAACATTTCTTTTAAATACAACTCCACAGAATGTCATTTGATATTGAAGTTTTTGGAGAGCAATACTTTTCAAAGATGACATTTGCATTCAAGTTCTAAGAGTAAAATCTGACAGATTATGTCGCATTTGCTGGTTGCTTTCGAACCTTCAGTTCAATAATTTAAATTTGGAATATAGGCAAAACCCATGAGTACAGGCCATTCAGAGACAGGGCTGTAGGCAACACAATGTCCCTGCATGGCCATCTCTTTAAACTCTTCATCATTTTTAACTCTTTTCACATTCCTCGAACAGACAGAGCAAAATCTCTCATCATCATTCCTCGAAACCATCTCCAAATGTGAATAGTTGAGAGGACATTTGTAAATCCATTCACAACCTTCAATATCGTCCACAATGAATGACTTGGACAATTCTTTTCGCCAGTCATTGACATTTTCAACGTCTTTCGTGAGAGGTAATTCTGAAGGATTGTACAGTTTCAAGTGTTCTATTCTTCGTCGTAATAAATGCATCCAATTCTTTATATTCTTAGAGCCATAAGCTTCTTGTTTGAAAATGGGGAAATAATAAAGTACTAGAGATCGCCATACTAGCCTTTGAGCGAGAGAAAATGGTACAGATTCATCTTCAAGGTATGCCTTAATGAGTTTGGAGTTGGCCATCAATCTTGTTGTTCCTAAAATGGACTCTATTTTAGGAAGAGACAATAAAACATTGACCTTCACTGGTGTTTGATTGAAAAGCAAAGCTAACAGTGTACTGTTACATGATGCAAAACATAATAAAGATTTGGCATTTAAAAAGCTCGCAATCACACACAAGATTTCATCAGGAAGAATCAAAAGCAATTTTGAATACTTTTTCCTGAGAGTCTGTCTCTTCTTATTTCTGCTTGTTTCGACTTTTCGGGAGTAACCGCTTTCGGAGGTCATTATGAAAGGATCAACAACACTTGATGACGTCACCACACTTTTATTTATGGATTCAAGACCAGACTCGAGAAAGGAATCCAACACATCTAGAACTTTTTGATTCATTTTTTTCTGAGCACAAGTTCTCAAAGTTCCCAAACTTCGACCACCTGCATGAACACTGGTGGTCATGAGGAATTCCGACCCGAGGTATTGTGTTGCTCATTTGTTGTTGAAGATCTCTCTGTAGTGATCAACAACATCGTCCTCCAAGGAAGCTCTAGTTTATTTTTAGGCAAAACAAATTCAACCAAAAAAATTCACGTGAAAGAACATTCCACTTGTTTCTCAATTCCGCACTCGAAAATGTCTTCCGTAATCATTGCAGGTCTTGGCATGAGATCGATCATCAAAATAGAAGGACCCAATACTTCACTTCAAACAATTTTGAAAGACTTTTGTGAGAAGAATAAGATCAGTCCCGAAAATTATGGATTGATGCATAATAAGAAGAATCTTGATTTATCACTTTGTAAGTTTTAAACGCGTATTTGCATTGTTTTCATGATCATTTGACTAATTCCTTGATCAATTTGAATTTTTATGTTGTGTCCTGCATCATCATCGCAGCTTTCCGTTTGAGCGGAGTTTCAAATAATGCTACGATCGAAATTGTGAAAAAGGCTTCATCGTCTCAAGTTAAAGCAGCAGCAACCCTTGGTCTTCAATTACCTGATGGCCAACGATTAAAAGCCGTTTTTCCAATTGATATTTCTCTTTGGATTGCTCTAAAGCGATGGGAGAAGAAAGAGGAAAACATCAATTTAACTCAAGTTGAGGATGAAAAAACTAAAAAGTATTGCATTCCTTCTCTTACATACATGAATCAACAATTCAAAACATTAGAGGAATTAAAAAATACAAAATTATCTGATTTAGGATTGAGAGATAATTCAAGTGCATTATTGCGACTTAGTTTTTTACCTACTGATAAAACAATTGAGGATTTGAAAGAGGAAATCCAAGAAAGTGACGATTATGTACCAAAAAAGAAAGTGAAAAAAACAGACACTGAACAATCATCATCAACGAGTGAAACACAATCAGCATCAGCGTCAACCTCTGAAGATGTACAAATGACCGATGAATCACCATCTGTTCAAGCCAACAAAATAGAAATGTCTCCCACTATTTCTGATACTATGCAAGACGACGAAGATATCAAACTTGAAAACACGGTTGCTAAGGATATTAGACTATTCAAGAAAGGTGACACAAGTTTTGATATAGATTTTTCAAATGTTGAAGAAAAAGATTTCGAGGTTACAGAAAATGATGTCCAATCCATGATTTCAAGTCTCAGAAAAGTTCAAGAAGGAGGACCATTAATGACCAAACAATTAAGAGAAAAAGAAAACCAAAAGCATGAGAGAATATACACTTCTACAATTATCAGAGTACGATTCCCTGATGGATATTTGGTTCAAGGAACTTTTTCTCCAAATCACACCATCAAAGACGTTCGCGACTTTGTTATTCAGACTCTTGACAATCCAGAAACACCAATTGTTCTATATATTGCTCCACCAATTCAGAGATTTGATGATTTAACCAAGACACTGAAAGAGTCTCGTCTCATCCCTGCTGCAATCATAAATGTTGGATTGGATAGAAAGAATCCAAAGAGTGCGTCATTTGAAGCACCAAAACTCAAGTCAGATCTTCTTGCTAAAGTAACTGATTTAGAGTTGGTAAGCGTACCAAAGAATGAAAATATTCAAAAGCCTACACAGTCATCATCATCGTCATCACAGAAGAGTTCTGAGAAATCAAAAGCCAAAATGACTTCTCTTCTCTCTCATTTAACTAAGAGGAAGTAAAAACGACAGAAGTGCACTTTCAACTAAGCATTCATGTACGCTTGAGGATATCCTCGATAATTATCTCTATTCATCTCAACAGCATCAAGTAAAGTCACAAATTAAAACATAACCTATTTGGTCAATCAATTAAAAATGAAAACGTTGATCGAGCAACACAAGTGTACAACAACGTTGCTCCATGCAGCCTTTCCGATGACATCCTTGACTTCACTGAATTCAATGAGTCCACTATTTTCAAATCATCATCGAACCATTGTCTTTCCTCCAACCCATCGACGACAAGATTGCTCTCCCTCCTTCCATAACTCTCACTTCCGAAACTTCTCTGTAAATTTCTCTACCGCAAACAATAACAATAATAACAACACAAGGAAAAATATATTCACCACTTCAAATCAATCACCATTTACTTCCCCTTATTATAATAATTCAAAACCATCTCTGCTGCAAGAAGAACTTGTATCCTTGTTTCCGAACCACAACATTTCTCTTGATGATAATTACCAATTTCTACTGAAGAAAAAAATGTCTGCATCAGGCTCTGAAAGCACTTCATCCACAATCTCCTCCGAAAGCACTCAACCTCATGAATTTTTGTTAATTGATGGCCAAAAGATTTCAGACGAAATCAAGGAGGAAGTGAGCCAGTCCATCAAACAAATTGTTGAAAAACAATTAAAGGAAGGCAAAAGCGAGGATGAAGTGAAACGCCCTGGCTTGGCTGTGATTTTAGTCGGACAAAGAAAAGATTCACAAACTTATGTCTCCATGAAAAAGAAGACTTGTATTAGTTTGGGAATGAGAAGTTTTGAGACTACCTTTGAGGATGGCGAAAACACAACTGAAGAACAAATTATTGAAGCCATTCAGAAATATAATGAAGATGAGAGAGTTCACGGAATTTTGATCCAATTACCACTCCCAGCTCACATCAATGAGGAGAGAGTTTTGTCATCGGTCAAATTGGAAAAGGATGTTGATGGCTTGTCAGTGTATAATATTGGTAGATTGGCCATGCGAGGTAGAGATCCAACATTTATTCCTTGCACACCAGCTGGATGTCTCGAATTAATTAAGAGAACTGCTAAAACTTTGAACAAGAACTTGGACGGAGCGAATGCAATCGTTATTGGAAGAAGTAACATTGTTGGTATTCCAATGTCATTATTGCTGCTGCACAAGTTGAATTGTACCGTTCAAATCGTTCACAGCAAGTCAAAGGATATTCCAGAGAAAGTTAAACAAGCTGACATTGTTGTCGCATGTTGTGGACAGCGAGAATTTGTTCAACCTGAATGGATCAAAGAAGGAAGTATTGTGATTGACGTTGGTATCAACGCTGTTGAGGACTCGACTAAAAAAGCTGGATACAGATTGGTTGGTGATGTTAAATTCGATGAAACTTTGCAAAAGAGAGCTGCCGCTGCAACTCCAGTCCCTCGTGGTGTTGGTCCCATGACTATTTGCATGTTAATGTCAAACACTTTTACTGGTTTCAAGAGAAAGCATCCTGAGCTTTTCGAATAAATTCTGTTGACACTGTATTTTCACAAAAAGGAAAGGGCTTATGGCTTGTACTCAAACGACATTGTTTATTGGTGGATGAATAATTTTGGGTTGGCCAAAATTGGAGGGGTTGTGGAAAGAAATTAGAGGACGAGGATGAATAAGAGGAGGACATTTCGTTTAGATCCAAAACACTTATTCTAGCTTGTCCAAAAGCTGTAAACGACTCAGAATTACTGGTTTAGCTGTCTCTTCGATTTCTCCGGCCATGAACATTTCATCAAGAATCATGTAAACCTGTTAAAGATCGTCATCATGAGGTTAGTGAATTGTACAAATCGTTACGGAAATACGAATTGATGTCCATATCATCAGAAATCAGAATTTAGTGTAAATTAAAATTGTTGTGTAATATTTGGCAATATATTGTTGTTATATGAATTTGATGATCATCAATCATGGTGGAATCCGGAACTATGACTTACCTTGTGGAAATTGAAAACCAAATCCAATTCACAAACATTTCCAAAGAATTGATCCAAAACTTCGACAAAGAGATGTATTGATTCAAGATAGGCGAGGTCGTTATCGTTAACATCGACACCCATACTAAAATACAAGCCGGCATATCTACGGTAAACAACTTTGTATTTACGGAATTCAACCATATTGGTAAACTTTTGATCTCTAGATGTAATCAAACGATGGACTTCAATTTTAATCTTTTCCTTCTCATCATCTTCAAAGGCTTCATACCATTTGCTGAGACGAGTTTTGCCGGCACGATTTTGAAGGAGAATAAAATGAATCATTTTTTAAATTTTTGAAAAGAGGGACGAGCTAACGAAGACGACTGAGGTGATGTTTCCTAATTTACTTTTTTGAGAGTGTAGTATATTGTTTTTTCACAAGGGGTGTGTGATGATCGAGTAGATCAATACTCTCATCCAGAGGGAGTCAATGTTGTGGATGTGTTCACCAATGTGGATGGCAGTATTCTTCTTTACCTTCATCTGAGGGAGGAATCGAGCTAAAAATACAAACAAAAAATGCAACAAACACAACACGTGAATGTTTCCTCTTTGAAGTTTGATTTTAGCAAGATCAACATTCCTAATCAACTCACCCCGATCCACAAGGAAGAATGTTGTGTTTCTTTTGATACACCAGTAGGTATCATGATCCATAAATGATTACAATATAATAATTATACGATCAAACATTTGTTCTTTAGAAATCCGAAGGAGGCTTGAACGTTTGCTTGAACACATTTTTAGCCTTTTCTCAAAAGTTTGTCAGAAAACATTTTGAATTAACTGGTAACAGTGTATTTTTGAATATTAAGAGAATTAAGAAATGGACACCACCTGAAGAGAAGAAGCTTGAAGAAGTTCCAACCAAAATGGCCATCGGTGTAGAGGGAGGGTTTAATATCAAAGAGGAAGAGGAAGATGACAAAGATCAGTATGATGAATTGTTATCTTTGGTGCTATTGGAGCCAAACAATGTTGTCATTCCATTGCCTAACAATGATCTACCAGAGAAAGTCAAACTCTCCATCAAAGGTGTTTTAGAAAATCAAGCTGTAGAACGTAAGAAGGAAGTATTGCAATGGGAGGGCGAGCCATTGACTGAAGGAAAACACACTTTGACCTTGAAACAAGTTGGAGATGTGAAGATCCCTCCATCTGGTTGGAAATGTAGTCAATGTGATATTACTGACAATTTGTGGTTGAATCTTAGCGATGGACATATTGGATGTGGAAGAAAATTCTGGGATGGCAGCGGAGGAAATAATCATGCTGTTGAACATTATCAACAAACAGGATTTCCTGTTTGTGTAAAGCTTGGAACTATTCAATTAGATGAAAATGGTGAACCTAAAGCAGATGTATACTCATATGCAGAGGATAAAATGGTTAAAGATTCCAAATTAGTTGAACATTTAGAATACTTTGGAATTAATATTAGAGAAATGAAAAAGACTGCAAAAACATTGGCTGAAATGGAACTTGACCAAAATTTAAATTTTGATTTTACAAGAATTCAAGAGAGTGACAAGAATTTACAACCTCTTTATGGACCAGGATTTACAGGAATGAAAAACATTGGTAACTCATGCTATTTGGCCAGTGTGATGCAAACTCTATTTTCGCTTCCAGAATTCCAAAAGAGATATTACGACAGAGAAATGTCATGTTATACATCAACAAGCTCAATTGATACTCTTTCACTTCAAATGGCAAAATTAGCATACGGATTGTTATCGGGTGAATACTCAAGAGAAGAGTTTGATGAAAATAACGAACGAAGATATCAAGAGGGAATTCCACCAAGATCATTCAAAAGTGTTGTTGGAAAGGGACATGCAGAATTCAGTACTATGAGACAACAAGATTCAGTTGAGTTTTACCAATATCTTTTACAACTTATTGAACGTGAAGACAAGAGAGTTGGGTTTGAAAATTCTATTACTCATCTTTTCAATTTTAAAGTCGAAGAAAGAATTGAATGCTCTGAATCAAAGAAGGTTAAATATACTCACAGAAAAGACAATTTACTTTCTCTTCCAGTTCCTCTTTCTGCTGCCACAAACAAGGCTGAGTATGAAGAATTCTGTAAGCGAGAGAAGGAGAGAGAAGCTAAAGAGAAAGAACTCGGAGTTGTTCAAAATGTGAATAGTAGACCTCTCGGTACCACAAGTGAAAAGAAAGAAGTAGTTAGACCAAAAGTTCCACTATCGAAATGTCTTGAGGCGTTTGCTGAGGTTGATGCAGTTGAGAATTTCTATAGCTCAGCACTTGGAAGAAAGACAATTGGTTTGAAACAAACCAAATTATCAACATTCCCAGATTATTTGTTTGTCCAAATTAGAAAGTTTGTTTTGGATGGATGGGTTCCAAAGAAATTGGACGTTTTTATTACAGATGCAGAAGAGTTGGATTTGACAAGTATTAGAGGAACTGGTTTGAAACCAAACGAGCAAGAGCTACCATCGGACGAGCCAAAACAAGAATCTATTTACATTGACATGCAAATTGTTCAAAGTCTTGTTGAAATGGGTATTCCAGAAAATAGAGCCAAGAGAGGAGCTTGGAAAACAAATAATGTTGGCCTGGATGCTGCAATGGATTGGGTGTTTGATCATTCAGGAGATGCAGATATTGATGAGCCTATTCCAGAACCTTCCAAGAAGCAATCTGGTAATGCTTCATCCAATGCACCAAGTGACTCGGATGTGGAGGCAATCATGAACCTTGGTTTTCCAAAAGAGCATGCTGTTGTTGCTCTCAAGCAAACCTCAAACAATATTGAACGAGCTGCCGAATGGCTCTTCAGCCACATGGATGACATTGATCAGTATTTGAGGGAAGAGACCTCAGCTAGCACTGTTACTGCCAAAGTGGAGAAGCATGAAACATTTTCTGATGGCTCTGGAAGTAAGTAATTTATTTTGTTATCAACGCCAAATTTAATGATTATCGCCACAACAAACAGAATATGAATTAATTGGATTTGTCAGTCACATTGGAGCCAATACTGGATGTGGTCACTACGTTTGCCATTTAAAGCGAGAGGTTGAAGGACAGCAGAAATGGGTCTTGTATAATGATAGTAAGGTACTGGTTAGTGAAAACCCTCCATTCGATATGAGTTACCTTTATCTCTACAAGAGGAAATAGACATGCTGATAATTAATTGATAAAATTATTGTTTTTAACATAAAAAAGTGGTTTATAAATCAATTGATCTGATTGGCTGACTATTCCAAAATCAGTGGTGAATCTGATTGAGCTTACGAAGCTCTCTCCTAACTCGCCGTACAAGATTCTCTGCACTTTGTGTGATATCTTTTACATCATCACCGCGACCAGACGTAAGAAACAAGTCCGTAGACCATGCACTTTTACCTTCTGTCAATGAGTGATTTGGTGTATACGATAAGTCTACAAAGCTTGATTTCTTCTTCTTTGATTCTCTTCCTGTACTCCTCTTCATGTTGACATAGTTCTTGGGAGGAATCTCGACGCTTTGGAAGGAGACATCATAATGTTTCGACTGTGTTCGTTATTGAACATGGTTATCATGAGAAACACTTTAAAAAAGCATTACTATTAAATACTTACAGACTCAGATCTAGAGGGTATCCACGCTGTTTTGGCTTTCGTTCGGTCAGATTGCTTTCCCATGTCGTAGTAATGTGAAACTTTAGGTAAGGTAGCAGAATAAATGGGTTGGTATTTGAAGCCTGGATCGTTGGAGTCAGTATGTGAATCTGTTCGTGAAGTCATCTTTGACATGTCCAGAGCATGAGTCTCACTTCCTTGATAAATATTAGTAGCTCTTTTTACAAAACGATCTTGTTGATCTTCCACAATTGTGGATTTTGAATTCACAAAACCCACATTGTTTGTAATGCTTTGCTTTTTGGATTCGTTTATGGAGAAGTAATGTTTGTCTCTATCAGTAGATTTTCTCATATTGACACCACATTTGGGTCTTTCATGCACAAAAGTGTAGTGAGGTGTGTAATCAAGGGTAGAAGGCTGATCATTAATTAATTTCGATAACCTATTACTAAACTGCCCTTTTTTTGTGTAGTCAACAAAGGATGGTTCTCTTCGTTCCACCAGTGACATGTTTGGAGTGTAATCTAAATGTACATTTCTATTTCCTTCTTGGTGATAGTATAATTTTGAATCTCTTCCTGAAATAATTGCAGCATATGCTTGGAGGATATCTCTCAACTTGAGTACGTACCTTGTTGATGATACAAGTCAACAAGAACGGGTTCTCTTTTGTACTTGCTGAATACTTCAACATCTTTTCTTAGCGACGATGTATGGGTTGCTGTTCCCGAGCGGCTTGTACTTCCACTCGAGGCTCGGTTAGTCATGCCTTTGAAATATTTGGCTAAATAGGGTTGTTACTGATAAGAAAGATGTCGAGCAAAGTAGCGATACTCTGGCCTCTTTCCGATTGTTGTTGTTCTCGCTGAAGTATTCCAATGTTTGAAATTGTAAGTTTACAGTAGTTCTTTCAATTCTGTTGTCGACGCGACAACAACGATGAGAGATAAGGATGGATGCTCTTTTATTTTTTTCTTGAATTGTTTGCGAACGCTTGCGATGAGTAACGTTCCAATTCTGCGAGGAGAGTCATTCGATCCTGTTCGAATCGATGTCGATAGATGGTCTTGTAAATGATACTGAAAGCCTTGTCGAGGTCTTCTAAGGAAAAACCTTCTGTGAGAGAGATAAATTGCTCAAACCAGGTATTAAGGCGATCATGATCGATCGAGATGGGTAAATCAGTCTCTTCTTCTTCCTCTTCATTAATTGTTGGTTTCAAGTTGTTCGAAGAAGAAACGGTGAGATCCAACTCCATTCTTGGAGTCAGTACAGCATCCGATGATGAGGGAGCAATTTCATTATTACTACTCGATGGGGGAGTATAATTCGGAATTTCTTGGATCAAACTATGGGAAAGAGTGGCTGCTTGATTTGGTGGTGGTTCTGTGGTAGAAGTCTCATCTACGATCGTCATTGGATCATTTTGGACAAGGCTACTAGGTTGAGAAGGGATAGTGGTAGCCACGTCATTATGATTGAATGGTGGTTCCTGGTGTGCATCTGCATCGCCAACAACAATGGGTTGCTCTTGCAAGTCACCAACTTGAATGATACTTGTCGACGATGAAGAAACAACAGCCTGTTGTTGAGCAAGTTCTGCCCTTGTTTTTTCGGCTTTGCGATGCTTTTTAGCGATTTGATTGCATTTTCTTCTCAAATCTTCTGGTATTTGTAAATGAATGGCCTGTCTCACCGAGTCATAGAGAGCATTCGCCTTACTGGTAATGCTTAAAATGTCCAAAGACTTGGCAGGATGCTTAATATAATGTACAGCATTGGTTACAATGCGTTCAATATCCACAGCAAACTCTTTCACAGAAAAATATTTTCTCATCTCTAGCTTGAGCAAGATGTCTTGAAGATAAATCTTTCCATTTGTACCTCCAGCAATATCCTCATTGTTTGTAATTAATCTACGTTGTTCTTCGTTTGGAGGTTTCAAAAATGGTGTATAAACCTTATTGCTCATGAGACGAGTCATAAACTCACGAAGTGATATTCTAAGCTCTCTCAGGTCGTCCTTCTCTTGTCTTGTCAGTTTTGTTATCTTTTTGTCGTTTTCTTCGTTGGATGGTAAAGCAACAGGAGGAGCTAAAGGAAGCTCTGGCAATGGTTTTCTTGATCGTTTTGGCTTTAGTGGCGGTCTTGTTACGTCGTCCAAAACGATCTTGAATATATTTCTTCTTTCCTCAATGGTTGGCTCAGCAACTTCATATCTATAGTCTACAAACATCTCAGATTCAATCACATGATTTTTCTCAAGCTGATCACTAGTTGTGGCCAACACTAGCACATGTACTGAAGAAGGAATGTCGTTAAGTAGAGTGATTAAAGTCGATCTCATAAGGTCTGTGCTCTTCTCAAACCATTTATCAATATGGGGAATCCAAATAATAGAAGGAGCATTCTTTCTTGCGTCTGAAATAATATTCACAATGGCCTCTGTTTCGCTTCGAGATGCAGTATTTGAAATTAAGTTTTCAAATCTTAATGAGAACAAAGGAAACTCTTCAAGATGGTATAAAAGCGCACTGGCAATATAGTTTTGACCCATGCCTTGTTTTCCAGAAATCAGAATCCAAGGTCTAAAGGTTGGTGGATTAATAAAAAAGTCGCTGGAATTCTTTTCAAAGGTTTTTTCATCAACACCTTCAAAATCATCAAAAAGATTATTTTCCATATCGGTTCGATCAATTTCCGTTTCAACCTTGTCCTCAATACTCTTGGAGCATATTGGAAATGCTTCAGTGCATATTTTGATAACATCTAATAATTTATGCTCAAGACATGGAGCCAGTTGTATTGGGAGCGGTGAAGCATGAATAACAGCATTTCTATGAGCAGCTGGAACAATGTTTTTCATGGCACGTAAGAAATCTACTTTTGTAACTTCGACCGAGTTCAAATCCAATAAAAGTCTAGAAGGATTTGAATACACCTGTGGATAATTTCTTTTCAAAGCATTAAGTGCAGATTCCGCACAGAGAGCCTTAATATCAGCCCCACAATATCCAACAGATTTAAGGGCAATATAGTTTTTGAGTTCTTCAGGAAGTTGAGGTGACCAATTTCTGGTATGAATTTCTAAAATATCTTTTCTTGCTTTCTTTGAAGGAAGTGTAAATAAAAGCTCTCTGTCAAATCTACCAGGTCTTCTCAGAGCAGGATCGATTGAGTCAATTCTATTGGTGGCTCCAATGACGACCACTTGTCCTCTGCTGTCAAGACCATCCATAAGTGCTAATAAAGTGGAAACAATTGAGCTATGTACATAGTCTTGTTTGGAAGATCTGACAGGAGCTAACCCATCAATTTCATCAAAAAATATGATCGATGGTTGAAGTCGTTTGGCCTCATCAAATAGTAAACGTAATTGTTTTTCAGCTTCTCCTACCCATTTGCTCAAAACATCAGCTCCCTTCCTCATGAAAAAAGGCAATTGGTCTACTTCCTCCTGATGTATGTGTACCGCATGTACTTGCTAAAGCTCGCGCAACTAGTGTTTTACCTGTACCTGGAGGTCCATAAAATATCACACCTCTCGGTGGTGTAATGTCAAACTTGCTAAACATTTCAGGATAGAGCAATGGTAAAACCACCATTTCCTTGAGAGCGGTAATGTGCTTATTCAATCCTCCAACCATGTCAAATCCGACAGGTTTTGAGAACAGTGGATCTATATCAGCAGATGGTCGTTTCTTCAGTTGTTCCTTATTGAGGGGCTTAATGTGATCATAGGCTCCCTTTTTCCCAAACATTGGATTCTCTACTTCGTCGTCACTCTCAGTGTCAGAGTCAGAGAATTCAAATTTTAAGGCACTCAAGGGAGCAAGCAGACTTTCTTGTTCTTTGAGCATTGTAATTTTGGATGGAATAGAAATTTCTGTTCTTGGTGAAAATGATGGATGGCTGTAGGGATTCATCTGTGCTTGAGTTCGAGGTCGTAGCCTCTTCTTGATATCCTTGCCTGTCTTTCCTTCTTCAATATGTTCTTCTTCATCCAGTTCATTATATTTTGTTCTTTTAGATCTCCTAGGTTGTTGCTCTTCCAACTCCAAGTCCTCTTCTCTCTCAGATAGAGATTCTGAGATAGTTTCGTCATCAGAAACCTCGATGGCTTCATCTGCATCCTCATCCATCACAAAATCTTCGTCATCCTCACCCTTCTTTCTCTTTTTGACTTTGTTTGTCTCTTCACTTTGTTCAGAAATTGCGGATTGACTTCTGTTGAGGGATGTATCGTTAATATTTGTTGATATTTGGTTTGCGTTTTGATCAATTGATGGTTGTGTAGTTTCAGTAGTACCATTTAATTCTTGATTTTTTGGTTCAAAATCCGCTTGTATGTTGTTGCTAGTAAATAATTCATTCGCATTTCCACTTTCAAGCACTTCGGATATGATAGTAGTTTGTGGTTGAACATCCAAGCTAACTTGTGTTCTTGCTGTTGTTGTTAGTGCTTGATTATGTTCAATATTATTTTGTTGATTCGTTTCAATCATTTCTCTTTTCATTTCCACAGAATTATTTCTTGACTTTACAGCACTTCTTCTGTACGTTCTTCTTCTTGATGGTTTTTCTTCTTCTTGTTGTGGTTCTTCCTCTCCGGAATATATGGCTGTATCAACATAAAAATCCTCATAATGTTGACTCTTTCGAACAGTCCTTTTCGGTCTGCTCGAAGCAATTGTCTCAATTTGCTCTTCGGGCTCATCCAATTCTTCCTCATCGATTGGTTTTTTTCTTCCTCGTCCTGCTCTGGATGCTCGTTTCGAGGCAGCTAATTCTTGATCAATTTCTTCACTCTCGCTTGAAGACTCCTTGTAGGATCTTCTCGGAGTGTGTCTTGTTCGAGTTGTAGGTGGCTGAATTGCGTCATGTTTAGTATCATCACTCACACCGATCGTAATCCACATGAAACAACTTACCTTGTGATATTGTGTGTTGTTATCTTCATCATCTTCATTCACGTCCTCCTCAAAATATTGAGCATAGGAATGTGAGGATTCTCCTCGATTTCTAGTATTGTAGGGCATATGTTTGTACGATCACGTGGTTGTTGGTGGTGATGATGCGAGTGATACCACACGCAGTGTTGCTTAAAATATTTTTCGACTCCGTCTATTTTTTTTAACGGCAAAATTTCTTCCAACCATGAGCAAGAAGAATAATTGGAAGAACAGCAAAAAATCATACCATCAGAAAACAACACAAGGGAGAAATTCTTGAATAATCATCGGGCGCTTTTGGTTCTCGTGTGCAATGGGCTTCAATAAAGATCATTTGTTATTGCCCCAGAGATCACAAATAATTTTATAAATTTGATGAATGATGGTGCTGTCGGGCTGAAAAATACCCATATTTTGTAAGAGCTGCTGAATTCACTCTTCAAACTCAATAATGCAAAATAATGTGAATGATGATGAGCAAGACATTTTTTAGTGTTGTTTTGATGGCTTCCTTAACCCTCTCAATCTTTGAAGTGATGAAAGGGATGTGGTTTAATGCCGTGACGGGACATCACGAGCTTTTTCGACCAATCCTTATCTTTCTGTGACATACTAAATGAGTAGAAATGTAATGTTGTTTCTTCACACATATGCTTTGGTGCAATATTCTTGTAAGCATACAAAAATGGCAAGTACCCAGACAACATCGCCGAGACCAAGGAAAAATAAATAACTTTAAAACCTCTTGTGAGTACTGTTTGTGTGCTCACATGGTGAAGCTGAGGCGTACGGAAATACCATGGATATAAAAAAGATAGACCTAACCCCAAGCCAGCAGGTGCAAAAACATTAAACGACAAATCTCTTATTCGTTTCAATTTAGTTATTAGCTCAAACTCTAGAGGAAATAATTCCTTAAATTTTTCAACAGTGCTTGGAGAGAATTCCAATGCTCCTCCTAACCATCTGAATGTTTGAAAATGTTCATAAGATTTGTAAACTAAATATCCAAAACAAAAAATATATCCTGTCAAATACTGGCATTCGAAAAAGGAAAATAAAACAATTCACATGTTTGGCCTCATCATCACCAGCAATATATAATTACCTTGTGGATGTGAGTTAGGGAAGAGACCATTCTCTTCGATCTCAGTGCCCACAAATCTTGTAACTTTCCGCCCGTCATGATTGAAAATTATGAATTATTTAAATCAATTATGATGCTACAATGTTGTCCACAGAAGCAGAGTGATCATTGAGTTGGCGACTTGTGTTGCTCCGATTGTCCTTCAACTAAATCACTAAAGGGAGCGATAACGGAGAGAAGTGTGTTGCTGTATTTTTTAAGTGATGCTTGTAAGGACCAATTTAGGAACAAGCCGACGAAATATGAGGTGTTTTTTAGTATTATGAAAATTTGACAAAGCTGGATGGAATGAATAATAATAATTATTTCTTAAACCAAAGAAATTATTATGGTTGAATACATCTTCCATGCAACGATATATAAATTAGTACTGATAAATGGGATTCATGCTGAGAGAATTCATGGTTCTTTGCTTTAAAAAAATAATTTTCATCAAGCACCATCCCGTCTTACGAGTGCCTGCGCCATCGCTCAAAATTGTTGTTGAAAGCCTCTCAGAAAGGTGTTTTTTTGGTTCAGCATCATCATTTATTGTACGTACATTCAACTCTCGCCGTTCCTAATTGACCACCAACATAACATAACAGTATTCCTAATTATCATAATTTATATTTTCTTCTCCATCATCATCACCACCATCAACAAGTTCAATGTCGAACATACAAGAGTTTGAGCAAATCATTGCTAATATTCTCTCTCATGATAACAATGTGAGAAATCATGCGGAACAACTATTCAATGCTTCCAAGTCAAACCCTGATTTTTGTGTGGGTTCTTTACTTCATCTCCTCCGTCATTCTCAACACATACATGTAGGTTGTTTTCTCATTCATTATTACTAATATCCTTTGAACATAATAATTTTATCAATATCACAAACAATTCCCATCAATTATTATTGTGAAAATTAACTCTTGAAACTACATCATGATGTCTGCACGTCAACAACATTTCCGGTACATTTTGTTACATATTTCCCATCTCCGTCAACCGACCCTTCGTAATATAACAACAACAACAACAGGTGAGAAGTCTTGCTTGTGTGCTTTTGAGAAAAGTCATCACAAAGACTGATGACAGCCTCTACGAATCTCTCACTCCACAAACACAACAACTGGTGAAAACAGAGTTACTTCAAGCTTTGGCACAAGAAACAGTGAGCCACATTAGAAGCAAACTCGTTTATACATTATCCGGATTTGTTTCTGGCCTCATTGAGGATAATCAGTATCCTGAATTTCTTCCTACAATTTTCAACTGGGCCATTGACCCAAATCCATTGCTTCGTAGTAGTGCCATGCGTATTTTCAATCAACTTGCAACATACTTGTTGGATAGAGGGTTAGACCCATATCTTCAACAAATTCACCAACTTCTCAGTGCTTGCTTACAAGATAAGGATCCACAGGTTCAAATTGATGCCTTTGAAGCTCTGTGTTCTGTGGTAAATGTGATTGAAAAACCTAAAACTCCTGCCTTTGCAACTTGCATTCCTCAACTTTTGAACATTTTGGCCACTCAACTCAACGACAACAACACTCAAAATGCTTCAAGTTGTATTGAAATGTTGATTGAGGTGGTTGTGAGTCAAACAAGCTTCTTTAAACAATATGCTTCTGCAGTTGTACAAGCCATGTACCAAGTTGCAAGTACAACCCAAATTGAAGACGGTGTTAGACATTTGGCCATCGAGTTCATGGTTTCATTTTCCGAGGCTTCTCCAGGAACTGTCAGAAGAATTCCAAATTTCATTGAGAATTTATTACCTTTATGTATGAATCTTATGCTGGATATCGAACATGATGAAAACGAGTGGTCGAGCACTTATGAAGACAACGACACTGAGTTGTCGAATTACGATGTTGGATTGGAGTCTTTAGATAGATTAGCTTTGTCCGGAGTGAACCCAGAACAGGTGGCCACTGTTGCCTTCAAGTATATTCCAGACTTTATCAATAACCAAAACGATTGGAAATATAGACACACTGGAATTATGGCTATTTCACAAACTGCCGAGGGATGTAATGAGCAATACGGAAAGTATTTGAATGAAATTGTTCAAATGGTTGTTGGTAGACTTCAAGATCCACATCCTCGTGTTAGATACGCAGCTATTCACTGTGCTGCTCAATTATCTACAGATTTCGCTGGAACTATTCAATCCAAGTTCCATCAATTGGTCGTTCCTGCTTTACTTCAAGGAATGAGTGACAGTTATGCCAAAGTTCAATCCCATGCAGCAACAGCTATTGTCAACTTTGTTGAAGATTGCGAGAATGTTTATGTTCAACCCTATCTTGATAGTATTCTTTCCAAGTTGTTAGATTTATTGAAGACTGGCCGAAGATATGTCCAAGAACAATCTCTTTCCGCTATTTCTGCTGTTGCAGATTGTGCAGAACATCTTTTCATCAAATATTACGATTATATTATGCCTTTCTTGAAAGAAATTTTGTTGCATGGTACTGGTAAGCAAGAGCGTGTGCTGAGATCTCGTGCAATTGAGTGTGTCAGTTTAATTGGCGTTGCTGTCGGAAAAGAAAAGTTTAGTCCTGACGCCAGACAAATCATGGAAGTTTTGATTAATACTCAACAACAAACTCAAGACAGTGACGATCCAATTGTTCAACATTTGCATCAAGCTTACACAAGAATTGCAAAATGTTTGGGTGAAGATTTCATCCCATATCTTAACTTTACTATTCCACCACTGTTGAAATCAGCAGCCATTGAGCCTGATATCACCATTTCTGATGTTGACAGCGCAGGAGATGCTACTGAAGAGGAAGGAATGGAGTCAGTCACACTCTCAATTAAGGGAGTTGGAGATAAGGTTATTAGCATTAGAACATCAACATTGGAGGAAAAGCATTTAGCATGTTCATGCCTCTATTCCTATGTCGTTGTTTTGAAGGATGCCATGTTGCCTTATGTTAAAGATATCACTGATATTATGGTACCACTTTTAAAGTTCCCATACATGGAAGACATCAGAGACACAAGTGCAACTATTATGCCCAAGTTAATCAAAGCAGTTAAAATTGCCGTACAAAAGGGTAAAGCGCAACCACAAACTTTGAAAGGGCTTTTGGATTTCATTTTGTTACACATTTTACCTGCTTTAAAGGTTGAGCCAGATGTAAAGACCGCCACTGCATTGACCGAGTCCTTGAATGATTGTGTTGTTGAAGTTGGTGAAAATAGTATGAATGCAGATCAAGTTACTCTTGCCTGTGAAGTTCTCAAGGTTGCTTTACTCCATTCCTTATCAAGAAAGCAAGCAATTATGGCAGAAATTGATCATGAAGACGATGATGAAGAACAACTTCGACTAGATGCTGACTGTGAAGCAGAAGAACAATTCATGACAACAGTTGCTGAATTTGTTGGATCAATGATGAAGATTCAAAAACAATTCATATGGGGACCTTTCAAAGAACATTTATGGGACACATATAGAGTTGTTTTAGAAGCAGATTATTCTGACGAAGAGCATAGAATTGCCTTGTGTGTTCTTTGTGATTTTGTGGAGCAAGGTGAAAGACATTTTATGGAGATGTTTGAATATATTATTCAATGCTTTTTGGCTTATGCACCTTCGGATAATCCAGAGGTGAGACAGGCAGCAGTTTACGGACTAGGCGCTTGTGCTAAGTTTGCAGATGCCTCTTTTGATTCATATGTTGAAAAAGTAGTACCAATGTTAACACAACAAATTCAAAGAGAAGATGCCACCTACCCAGATAGTTTACCTGCTACCTGTAACGCAGTGAGTGCTTTATTCAAATGCTTGGAATTCAGAGCACCTAAATTAGGTAATCGAATCGATGATCTTTTACGGTTCTGGTTTAGCGCTTTGCCTGTTGGTGGTGATTTTATTGAGGCTAAAATTGTTCACGAAAAACTGGTTAATCTCGTCAAGCAAGGTAATGCAGTGGTGCTAGGAAACATTGATCATCTAATTGGAGTATTTTCAACGATTGTAGGAACGGACGCTGTTACACCTGAAACTCAAGCAGACATTGTCGAGATCGTCAAGCAACTGAACCCCCAGCTCGTCCAACAAGCACTCGGCAAACTTCCTCAAGAAAACTCCAGCAAATTGATTGCTCTTTGTCAAAGCAAGTAAACAAGCCCCAACTTTGAATTTTTCGCTCAAATAATGTGGCTGTGTTGTGAAATGAGGTAACTTTGTCCTCTTCTAATTAAAGTTCCAACAATATTCAAATTTTATTCCTCTATCAGGTCCATGACCACTTCCAAGTCCATTTTGCTAGCTGTTTTGTCCATACCACCCACAGCACCAAAGGCCATTTGCTTTTCGGCAAGTTTACGATACACTCCGTTCTCAATTTGAAGCAACTCTTCATGCTTACCCTTCTCGACCAAAACACCTTTAGCAAGGACGCAAATGACATCTGAATTTTTGACTGTGGCAAGTCTGTGAGCAATACAAATGGTGGTACGACCTTTCATCAAGTGGTCTAAAGCAGCTTGCACCAAAGCTTCACTTTCAGTATCCAATGCAGAAGTTGCCTCATCAAGTAGCAAAACGCTTGGATTTTGTAACAATGCTCTAGCAATGGCAATTCTTTGCTTCTGACCACCTGACAAAGAAACACCCTTCTCACCAAGCATGGTGTTATAACCTTCTGGTAAGTCCATGATAAAATTGTGACAATTGGCAGCTTTAGCAGCTTCTTCAATTTGTTGCATGGTAACTTTTTCCATTCCGACAGCATATGCAATATTTTCCTTAATTGTTGTTGCAAATAGAACGGGCTCTTGTGTGACAATACCAACGTTTCTATGGAGCCACATTGGATCCAAGTCAGCAATATCAACTCCGTCAATAAAGATTTGTCCAGATTTAGGAGTGTAAAATCTTTCTAACAATCCGACGATGGTCGATTTGCCTGAACCTGATGGACCTACCAAAGCGACTGCTTGACCTGGTTTAATATCCAATGAGAAGTTCTTCAAAACCACAATATTAGGTCTTGATGGATAAACAAAGTCAACGTTACGAATAGAAATGTTACCCTCAATTTTGTCCAAAGTTTTTCCTCCCTTGAATGGAATTTCTGGTTGTCTTTTGATGACTTTGAGGAGAGTTTCTTGGCTCATTCTTGCTTTAGTGAGTTCAGGGAAGAAAGTAAAGGCTTGTGACAAACCAAGGACACCCATAAGCATTAAACCAAACACTTTAAACATATCACCGACAGAAATTACCTTGTCAACCGTTAATCCACCTCCATACTTGAAAATGTAAGTAAGAAAAATTACTAACACACTAAACTTACCCAAAAAGCAAGAGCAACTGTACCCCACAAAATGAATGATACACTTGCAAATGTAGATCCTTGGGCAATGGCCTTAAGTAATCCATAAAAGTTGACCATTTTTAAATCCGTTTTAAATCGTTGTTGCTCCTTTTCTTCGCCTGCCATACTTCTGACAGTTCTCATACACGAAATCACTTCAGTGGCAATAGCAGCTGAGTGTTCGTTGGCCTCATTGGTCTTCTTTGTGAAAAGTTTGATCAATTGAGAAAGAACACCCACAGAAATCACCATCAATGGGGAGGTTGAAATCATGACAAGTGACATTTGCCAGCTGGATACAAAAGCAAGAATAATACCAACAACAAATTGAGTGAATTGTTGGACAAAGGTGGCAAATTTTAAGGTATAAGCGTCTTGGATTTTTGCAATATCTTCACTAAGAGCAATGGTAAGAGTACCAACTTTCTTAATATCGAAAACTATTTCAAACAACGTCCTCATGAATCTTATTCAATATTATTCCACAAATACTTACATGCCATTTCTTGTTCAGTTAAAGCATTGAAATAACCTTCCTTTAAATTAGCACCAATTCTTTCAGAAGCCCAGTTAAGGAAAAATTGCATCATAAAGTTTGCAATCGTGGCTCCTAATGCAATGAGGGCAAATTGGGCAGCCATCCAGTTGATATCACCTCTCAACTTATCAGGCTGATTATAGTACGTTGCGATGGAATTGATTAAATCTCCTAATACAAATTGGAAACACAACGGAATGACACCAGCTCCCGCAGCGCCAATACATCCCAAGAAAATCAAAAACCAGTTGGAAACACCAAACATTCTGTAAATCGTCCAGTGATCCCATCTTCGTAGTTTTGGTTCTCTTGGATCTGGAATTTCTTCTTCTTTTGCTTTAAGTGCTTGTTCTTTCCTTTGTTTTCTTCTCTTGAAGGGGTTTTTTGAGAGGGTTTGTGGTTGTTCAATTTCAATGACAGTAGGAGCAGGCTTTTCATCACCCACCACAGAATTGGTGGATGACACAATCATATTGGTAGAATTTTCGTTCATTTCTTCTTCGTATATTCAAAATTGAAGAAACGCTTGGAGAGAAAATTGAATTTTCTATATCGGGTTATTTACAACAAATCAATTGGCTGTTGAATAATTAGGTTGGTTGGCCAATACTACTCTATTCAAAATGGATTTTTAACCACACAAACAAAATCGTTCGAGGTGAAGAGGTGGTGGTGGTGGTGGTGTTTTTTGTTGTTGGTGATGATGTTGTGCGATGCAATTTTTATGCGCTGCTGCGACATTTGCTACTGCGACTGATGCGAAACTGAAAGACGCAAATGGAATCTGTCCTCGAGTGCGGGTGCGCACCATTCATTATGTTGAAGGAAAAGACTGGTGGTGGTGATTCGAATCTATCCTGACTCTCGCAGTCGCACTATTCCAATCATGATTCATGAAACAAGAAAATTGGCAATCTGAACGTTCAGAGGATTGGAGCTCCTTGTGGCCAACGTACAATCACATTTCTGTGCTATTTTTAATTTGTTGTTCAATGTTTTGAAGGCTTTTCACGATGATGTGAAAGGAGGGTCGTTGCAATGCCTCCATATTCCAACACTCTCGAGTCAATTCGAAATATTTTAGAATGGCTGAAAGTAACATTTCGTTTCTTCTAAATCCTATGAGAGGATACAACACGAGCCATTGTGATAATTCATCCTTATTGGTAAATGGTATGGATGGTCTTTTTCCTTTTAACACTGAAGTTAGAATGTTAATGGATGCGGTGGATTTGACAGAGGAAAGTCCTACTTTCTCATTCTCAGTAAATGGAGGCAATTCAAAGAATAATTCCCACATGATGATTCCAAAGCTATAAACATCTACTTTGGTTGCTTTTAGTGCTTTTTCACTTTTACGATTCATTCCATTTAAAAGGAATCAAAAGTTCCATCTTCTTCACTAATCATTTCTGGAGACATGTATAGGAGTGTACCAACATTCCTTGTCATGGTGTAGGAAGTGGTGGTTCCAATTGTTCTTGACAAACCAAAGTCACAGACCTTACATCGATTGTTTTTATCGAGTAACACGTTACCAGGTTTCTTTTTTTGGATCAAAAGTCAGTGATGATGAAAAACGAAATTATTGTGAAAGGTATATGAAAAACCCAATGACCTACCAAATCTCTATGAACGATTGCAGGTGACAATGAATGCAAATAATCCATTCCACTTGCCACATCTTGTAAAATTCTCAATTTGTCAAGAATGGACAAGGATTGTCTTCCAATTTTGCAATTATAAATAATTCGTTCCAAAGAGCCATTCTCTAAATACTCGGTGACCATAAATTTGTTTTCCTTTGAAACTGCAACTCCAAAGAATGTCAAAATACAAGGATGACGTAGTGAGGCTAGAAGAGAAACTTCCTTTTCAAATTCATCATTCTCATCATCATCATCCATTCGAGTCTTTAGAGACTTGATGGCCACATCTCTGTCCTTCCATTTTCCATGATACACAGTTCCAAGACCTCCTTCACCAATCTTCTTTATAATTTCCAAATCTGTAATGGGAATTAGGAATGACATTGGTTTCCTCTCCATCTCTATGGTGAGTACTTCGGTTTGGTTCAATGCTAATAAGGGAGAGCCAAGTTCATCTTTGCGATTCATCTTCTTCTTCATACTTTCATGACTCATACTCGTACTTTGAGAATAGTGCTTGTCCAAAGAAGAAGAAGAAGAAGAGGTGAATGCTTCTACATAATCATCTTGATTGATATTAAAAACGATGGCCTTATCAATAATTTTCTGTTCGACCGATAATTCTGCCTTCTCCTTATCTTGCAAACGTTTTAGTCGTCGTCGTATATCTACACAAACATTCACACCACACAATACACCAATACAAGTGCCAATGAAAAAGAAGATGAACACAATGGGCACCACAACAATCAATATGATGGCAATGGGAAGTTCTTGATTGAATTGGCATGAATAGAGAGAGGAAGTTCCATCCACATCGACCAAAGCCAATCGATAGCCTTCTTTGCATGGATTAATTTTGAATGGAAGGAATCTTTCTTTTGGAGAGACTTCAGTTCTCATGGTGGTGTTGTGAATTCCGTAAACCACAGAATTTGAATCATTCGCACGAATGTACACGGAAATGTTTAAATAATTGCTAAACTCCTTTGATATGACATACAACTGAGGATTTGAGGTGTCAATGTAGATTGTTTCCAAGAAGAGAGGAACCGTTGTATTCAATGAGAGGGCTGTTCCATTCAACACTATAGAATCTCCAGGCATAAATTCTAACATGGAAACTCCATCGTCAAGATTAAAGGAGAAATTAGTAATATCTGAAATATAGTCATCTCCAAATATTAATGCCATATTATGATCAAATTTCACATTTTTCATGTTGGTTTCATTAAGCTGACAATTGTAATGAAAAATTGCTCCACCTTTTACAAGGGCAAGATTTTCCTTAAATTCACAATTTTCAACTGATTTGGTAGAGAGGCCCACATAAAACAATGCACCTCCTACAGCCGCTGTATTTTTGATAAATGTACAGTCTCGAATGAAACTGCTAACTTCCACAGGTGGTAAAAAGGAAAAGATATTCACAGCACCACCTGCACCTATTTGACGTCGTCCATCTGTGTAATAGACCTTGTCATGGTAGGTCACAAGATTTCCCTCAAAGGTACAATTCAATAGATTGAAATGGATGGCAGTTTCAATATAAATAGCTCCACCTCCCAAGGCTGCCTTGTTATTTCTGAATATGCTATCCTTCACAGTGAGGTCAAGGGCCAAGTTTGCATCATTGAAGGCACATCCAAACTCCTCACATTGGTTATTCTCAAATAAACAATTCGTAATGATTGTGTTATAGGCTCCATACAAATAATGTGTGTGATAATTCTCCAACACGATCGCACTTCCCTTTGAACCATCAATGAATTGTGTTGCATTAATTGTAAATCGATCTATATCTGAAAGGTAGAGAGAAGAAGCTTTGCCCAATCCAGTGTTATTTCTAAAATAACAAGACTCCATGTATACCTCAATAGAACTCTGAACTGTGATAATTCCAAACATGGCTTGATAAATAAAGGATGGTATGATCACATTGTTCTCAATTCCAAGTTGAAGTGATTCCACTCTCTTATAGGCTCTCACAAATAGAAATGGACCTGATCCCTTAAAGGTACACACTGCAACCAGAAACAACTGACCATGAGTAGAGGTCACAATACCATTAAAGTTTGTACTATTAATGAATTGTGTGTAAGAGATGTGTAATTCCTTAATGTTGGTGGTTGTTAATTCTAAATGATAATTTTGAAATTGGCTGTTTTGGAGAAACATCTTTTCACCATTCTCTACGGTCAATCTAATTCCACTATCGCGTACAATTAGACTTGAAAGGACAGTTAATTGCATGTTTCTAAAATAGAGCTCGTTGAATGAATAAAATTTTGTGTACAACACATAGACACTCAAAGGACTTCGTACTAATAATTCAGAACTTTCAACAATAGATGTTTCTACGCTAAATGTTTGCATGGTCGAGTCTAATTGGACGAAGGTAGAATTGAGTATGGATGAACAAAATGAAAGTCCTGAGATTTGAGTTGACATGAAGTATAAATTTTCAATATTCAAGTTAAAGAATACTACCCATGCTAAATCTGGCCTGGATTTGATAATGGAGTGAGGTACATCTGGACGAAGAACTGAAGGTGTGTTAAACTGTAAAGTTTTTTGAGACTTTGAATAGCTTGAAAATACAAAATAATATTGAAGTCTAGGATACAGTGGAGTTTCAAGAACATTATCCAAATTCTCTTCTTCCATATCGTCCATTATTTGAACATTGACTACTACTGCTCTTGTTTGTGGCATTGAAATGAATAATGCAAATGCGGTGCTATTCATCAAGTTGTTCAATTCTCGTAATACTTGTTGAATGTGTTGACATGGATTTTCAAGTGTGCAGAATGGAACATTGAATGCTGATTCATTCTTCTTTCCCAAAATGAGATTGACACTTGCTTGTGGTTGATTTTGAATCGCTTGTTGGAGAGTTTTAAAGCAATAGAGTTGTGATGGATCGACCATGGATGCATGTTGGTATCTTTGTGTGTAGGGATGGTGTTCATCATGTTGATGATGAAAGTCCATTTTGTGAATGTGTGAGTTGGAAAGTGGCTCACTTGGCCTCCTCCAACTGTCAGAAGTCTCCATAATCACATTTGACGCATTCAAATGTTCAGGAAAGGAGAAGGTTATGATGTGGTTGTTGGGTGAGAAGGTTTGGATATCATGGTGTTGGCCACTCTCCTCGTTTCTGATGAACAAAGAAGATTGAACAAAGAGACACAACATGTGCATCGACACTGTTAGAAGCAACAACCGGAGTGGGCGTGTTGCGGATTTCATCATCATGCACACGATATTTTTTTAATCTCCAAGGTTGACCAAAGAACTTGACCTGTTCTGAAATTCTTGTACATGGCATGAGGAATATTGCCTGTAACAATACAGGCGCCTGACCATTCAATGTCTTTCAGGAGGTTATGGGTATAATCGCATCCCTTATTTGAACAAGAATGTTCATCTCACGCTTTTTTTTCAAGGTTCATCTCACAAAATTATTGCGCTTCCGATCGGAATTTGTCCTGCAAGACTTGGTCTAAGGAACTCTTCTCTATTTTTATTTTCTAATATTGCCATTTCCTTAAATTGAAAACAAGCAACCAAATTTCAGACCAAAAAAAAACTTGAACCGATTCAATTTTCGCACACACACTCCCAACTTTAAACAATGACTGAATTTTACGACCTAGGCAAACACTGTTGTGTGGAGACATGCAGACAAAAGGATTTCCTTCCTTTTCATTGTCCTCATTGTAAACAATATACCTGTTCCAAACATAGAGAATGTTCCTCCCATCAATGCCCGGCGTTTAATATTGAAACAGAATTGAAGAAGAGTGAAATTCCTCAATGTCCGTTATGTGGAGTGTTTGTTTCCAAGCAATTTCCTCTGGAAGACAATAATTTAGTGATTAACCGACACATTGAGAGAGGATGTCAAGTTGAGAAACGAAAAGACGACAATTGTTCCTTCGGAGGATGCAACGAATTTCAAATGTGTAAATGCAGTCATTGCAACAAGTCCTATTGTTCATTTCATAGACATGCCGAGGACCATCATTGCACTCACTTGAAGAAGAAGATTGTCCAACAAGAGCGTAAACAAGTGGTTCAAACATCCACAACATATCAACTAAAAACAGACGAACTCTCTCAATCTAATAATGAGCTATTAAGGAAACTCCACAATGAGAACCAAGCAGAAAAGAACAAGCATAGCACCTCCAAGATGTCACCAAGTGCATCAAAACCAACAACTCCTAACTCATCACTTCCCTCTTCATTTGTCATTCCTTTAAAAAACAAACATCTGGATGATGCAGATGCTGTAAAAACAACAGTTTACATCACTTTAGATTCAAAAGGATTGCCCATGAAGCTAAGTCGATTATGGTCGGTGGGCAAAGCTCTTGACCTTATTGCAGATTATGGAAAAATTAAGAATAACAATCACAAACTGCCTCAAGATTCTGACGATCGACTCCATTTGTATAAATTGAGTAACGGACAAGCAAACGCTCTTCCAATATCGAAGAGAATCGAGGAGGTGCTATCTAATGGAGATGTTATTATTTTGGATTCTCAGCGAAATACTCAAGTTGAGCCCAACAAATTGTTAAACCTAATTCCTATTCATCCGTGTGCAAAAGAAGAGGTGTCCTTTATTGAAAAACTAACAAGAAACTACAAACAAATATTCTCTCAATAAAAAACAACTATTGGACTTCATCATTGTTTTGGATGCACCTCTCCAGATTTGGGGCTATTTTTCTCAACAATTCTTCGTCAAGAGAATAAAGGCAATCTGTATGAATAAACTTCAGATTAAGGAGTTTCTTCTGAGAACAGTTTTTGCCCTACGGTCCACATTACAAATAATCTCTCCAAACAGCATGGTCCCTTCACATGAATTGCAATACCTTTCACACTAAGAACTTCAATTGTACTTGGTATTGTGAACACATTGTTTCTAATACAACTTGAAAAGTTAAGAACCAAGTGTTTTAAGCTTTTCATTCTTGCCAACATGTTTTGCAGGGAAATTTTAGTCCCTTCAGCCAAGCTTTGAGAGGGGGTGATGATCATGTCTTCTCTTGATTTTTGAAAGGAACTCTGAAGATAAAGAGCATTGTATGAACTCTATTTCTCGAATTGATTTGCTATGTCTGCATAACTCGTGAATTTGAATTAATAAATCAAAAGTACAATCTCTGATAACCAATCTGTCAAGGTTTGGAAAGGATTTCTTAAAGGATGGTATGCAGGGAAGCTCCCTGCACATCCAAAGGGTCATAGATCTGATGCTGTTGCAAGGAAGAGAGGCAAGAAGTTTAAGAGTCTGACTGCAGGTAGTGTCTTCCACAGTCAACGAAACAATATTGCCAAGAAGGTTACCTGATAAGAAAAGAAGTGAATTCATCAATATTGCTTTTCTGACCAAGGGACATTCAAAGTGGATGACATGTCCAACGCTTAAAAGAAAAGAGGCGTCTTCCAGAAGGCAAGGACCTTTGATTGAAAGGGCCTTTATAAAAACGCTTGTTGACAAAACCCTCAATTTCTTTGAGCTAATTGAAAGCACCCCTATTTCTTGGTACACTTTAGTGGACCTGGTAATCACAAGTTCTTCAAGACAAGGACACTCTATTTCAATGAATGGGCATGCACAAATCTCTAAATATTCCAAACATGGAAGTGATACCATAGATTTTTGATTCCTTCACTCCCAGGAAATAAGGACAAGTCTTCTCAACTTTGGGGTGAGCGTTGGTGATATCATACGTTCCAGAAAGGTTAAAGGGGCTTGTAAAGTTTCAAGTAATGGAAGCTTAATAGGTCGATACATTTTTATAAATTCCTCAATTGTCATATTTACCACATCACCTGCCACTACTTATTAGAGCATTAAACAAGAAGAAACCAAGTTTTGGAATGGGCCATGATGAATCCCACATTATTAGCTCTTTCCGACGTTTTCCAACTAAATTGTATTTCGTTTGTAACGTTTTTGCCATTGCCATTGGAATATCAACATTTTCAATATAGTCTATTCTATTCTCAATAAATCGTTCGAAAATTTCCAAGAGACTAGTCTGTTTTTCAAACCAAAAATTAGAATCCTCTTTGATTTCACGAGGAAGAGAAAAGTCTGAAAGCGCAAATTTCAATTCAGAAGCCTCATACCAAAGCCTACAAACACACGTCGAGTTTTAACAAAATCAATGAAAGGCAGGAATGAGAAAATACAAGCCCAAATGTCATGAACTTGAATATCTGCAAAATGAGATTCCTCATTTCGTGAAATGTCCAATCCGTTTAAATCCAAGTACGCTTCTGCCCCTTTTGAAGATTATCCAACAGTTGACCGACTTCCTCCTTTAGTTGTTTCATTGAATGAGTTAGTTCCTTCCGTTGAAACTGAGAATTGTTTCTTAGATATACTTCTTGTAATGACACCTGCTTTAAGTCCTGGATCGTTGTTTGTAGGTATGAAGTGAGCGCTTCCAAATCAAGGCGTGGTCCATCTTCCGTCCAAAAGCTCTCGTCTTTGTCCTCGGGAACACGTTTTCATCCTCCTGATCTTCATTAAACCATTCAGATTGTTTAACTTTCTTTAGTTGAGTCTGATAGCATTGATCTATTGAATTATCTGGAGTTTAAGGCTCGTTCTCTTCTCGATGGGGACTAAGGGGAGAGTTCTGGTTGTCCGAGAGCTGTATTGAGTTCAAGGTTGTGTTTGACCTCACTCTCTTCCACTCCATTTTTTACTCTAAAATAAAAACAATTTTAAGTTTAATCTTGTATCCATGTACGGTGGAAATTCACGCCGCAAGAATTTTTCGGAAACTTCAATTGCCACAATACCTTTTAATAATAATAATCATTTATTTCAATTTCATTTGGAATTTTATGAAAAACATGATCCTCCTTTCTGCTGACTGAACTTTAAAATATTCTTTTCAAAATTTCAAAGTTTAGATTGAACAAAAAAAACGCACCACAAGAAATGCCTCTCAATCTGAACGTGCTGGCCGAATCAGATTCCGATGACGACACCAGCAATACAATCATTCGTCAATCGGCGAAAAAGAAAAGCTAATTTGGATTTTATAAGTTTTGATGATAGTGAGGACGAAACAGATGGAAATAATTTTCAAAATACATCAACGAACACAAATCAAAACGGAATAAATCGTTCGGACCATCATCATGACGAAACCACAACATTATCAAACAATTCGGAAGGAGCCTCTCCCACAAGCACCAATAACGACCAACCAAGAGAAGAAAATTCTTCCATTGCACCAACAGGAGTTGCACAAGTCACCAAAACTCGAGATAATATTCTCTCCTTATTTTCAAGTGCACAATCTCAATGGTCTCATCACTACAATATTGAAATGGCTCCTGGACAAAAGTCCGATGCAAAACCCATCCTAACAAGTTCCGTGAAGGAAAGAATTGCTGCTTTGAAAAATAGAAAAAAGAATGTAAGCGAAAGCCTTGCAAGTTCTTCAATTGCTTCTGTGGTTGGAGGAGTTTCTTCAAGCAGTACTGTTTCTTCTAGCAGCAATGATGTGGCTGCATTGCCTAAAAGAGAACCTGGTGCTGTTTCACCTAGCACATCAATAGTAGCAGAGCAAAGCCCAACGGAGGTAGTAGATAACGATGATGATGATGTTTCAAATAATATTACAGAAAATAATGAGGAGGAAAGTGCTGAAGGTTTTATTAAAATTGATGATACAATTACCAATCATCAATTTAATTATGAAGCACATAATGCCTACGCAAAATATCAAACCTCAATTCCTTGGCAAACGCAAAGTTATGCCTCTTATTCTCCTCCATTACGATTACATTTTGAATTAATTGATTTCTACAACTTTGTAAAACAGACAAAAGAAGAGGAACTCGTGAGAGAGCGTGTTATCGAAAAGGTCACTAAGCTATGTAAGGGTATTGATCCCAGTTGCAAAATTCAGCTTTTTGGTAGCTATCCTGCAGGATTAATGTTACCAGGAAGTGACCTTGATTTACATGTTATTTCAAAATCCCACTCACAAAAATCATTTCTTGAAAAACTAAATAGGGATTTGAACAGGTCTAATGAATTTGTAGAAATTAATTTTATAAGAAATGCAAACGTGCCAATTGTCAAGTTTAAAGAGGCACTGTCTCTTCAGGAAGTGGATGTATCTTGCAATAATGCAGACACAGATTCAAGCGTAGAGTTTATTAGAAGAAGCAGTGAAAAGTATCCTGCATTTAAATATTTATGCTACTTTCTAAAATACTTTTTAAAACAACGAAATTCCAATATGGTCTTGCATGGAGGACTTTCTAGCTATGGTTTAAGTTTAATGATTATTAGTCATTTACAGATGCATACAAGCAATTCAAGCATTGAAGAGAGAGATGTCACATCACTAGGCACATTGTTAATAGACTTCTTTGCTCTTTATGGCCGATACTTCAACTATTACTTTACAGCGATAAGTCCAAATGGAGAGGGAAAATACTTGCCCTACATTATGAAAATTCGCAGTGGCTATTCGTCCAGTCTCAAATTTTCGCCGAATATCATCGATCCAACAAATGTTCATAATAACGTTTCTAAAGGTACTAGCGGTCTGCTTTCAATTAGAAATTCATTTAGCAACGCATTTGACGCTTTAATGTCACCAACTAATATCAACAAAGAATCATTACTCTCAACTATTTTGCGAGTCAGCCCAGATTTGTGCTGGAGAAGAATTTACATTCATCAGGACCGATCTTTTATCAACACGTGCAAGCAGTTTGCCACTTATTTTGCGCAATATTTTGGAGATGAAGAAGAGAAGAAGAACAAAAAGAAGCGATCGTTTAATAATGGAGGATTTAACCAGAAGAAGAAAAAGAAGTTTTAGACAAATGAAATTTTCATTAAATGTAAGCCATAATATTTTCTTAATTGAGATAATAAATAATGTTAGTACAAGTTTCAACGATTGCTATTAAATCCCTTCTCTGTGTTGTTTACGCCAGAACTTGACTGTAGACAGCATCGTTGCCTGGGATGAGATCTCAACCTTTTAAACTCGATCATCTTCGTCACTATCTGTAATGTTAATTGTTTTAGTGGTTGTGAAACCCATGTCATCATCTGATGAGCTTTCATTTCCATCAACTCCAACACACCAGAACCGCTATTCATCATTTCAATGTCAGGTGTCTCTTTTTGGCCTAACATTTCATATTGTTCATAAAGTTGCTTGTTTCTAAAGTAGAAAAAGCAAATACCAACAAGTAAACACAAAAATACTGCTGCAGCGACAGACAACCCAGTCACAGCAGTAAGTTTTCCAATTTCTACCTCATCACAAGTGAGTGTTTCATCTTCTGGAAGTTCAACACCTCCAAAGCAATCTCTTTTTTCCTTCCAAACGTATTTTCTCTTATAAAACCCATTCACACACTTTGTTTCCACAAAGGTATAATCATCTTGTGAACAGGTAATACAAGAGACATCTTCAGGTAAAGGAGCTGTCAATCCAGAATATGGATAGCACTTTGCATTTGGTTTCAAAAACCATGTCTTCTTTCGTCTTCCATTCTCACATTCACCACTGACTACTGGCTCATAATCATAAATAGTACAAACAGGACAAGCAGCATGACTCTCCCACAAGATTCTTGTTGAACAGACATCGGCAAATGATACAGCTCCTGTTTCATCCACCTCAGTCGCAATAACTGGTTTACCAATGCCTTCCTTTGGATTGCATTTCAATTCAACTTTTGTGTTATAGACTCCATTCTTATTGGAGCACTTGTAATCTGTGGCAAGGTAGACAGTGAGACCATCTCCTTTTGGAGAGTGATAATATGAAATTGTAGATCCCATATCACCACTTGTATGATATTTGGGATTTTCACTTGAATCATCTTCCACACATGCATAGGTAGTGTAACCCTTTCTACGATTTTTAGTTGTTACATCCTTACGTTGCTCTGCTAAAACTGCAAGTCTTGATTCTTTTTGACAGAATTTGGTGTATGCAGTGTCAAATTTGTTACAAAGATTGAAATAAAACTTGAGAGGAGAGTTGGGAAGTGTGAGAGGTCCAAACACACTCAATTCACTATTGAGAGCACTCTGCAAGGTTGTCAAATTGTACATAATTTCAGTTCCAGGAACTGTAAAGAGACAAGTATTCACACAGTCTGCACTTCCTGCATTCGAAAATGTACCATCTCCACAATTAAGGCACCTATTTTGTCCCCACTTGTTTTGGAAAGTGTTTCTATAGCAAGCCATACAAGCCTCTTGTCGAATATTGGAATACGTTCCAGGACGACAAGGTAAATGTTCATCAGTGCCTTGGGGACAATAATGACCTTCTCGACATTCATAACATTTATCAGAAGCACCAGAGATTTCTCCTTCAATCACAATGGATTTGATGAGAGCAGTTGATTGCTTATTCGGAGAGTCATATTTCTCAAAGGCAAATGTCAGAAGGTAATGTCCAGCAGGATAATATCTCGTTTTGTATGTACCTTTCAATTCTTTGAGTGTTTGTCGAGAGAAATCTCCAACCAAAGTTCGATTCACAAAGAATAAGAGTACAGAAGTGTCCTCAGTCTTGTCCGTTGTTGTTGTTGTTGATAACAACTCGTATTCAATACTAATCGATCCATCTGTATACAATTCAATCGGAATGGAAAGAACACTTTCATCTCCATATCCATTGGCCGCTGCATCGAGATAGGCTTCGTTCTTTTCAATATTGGAAACAATAGTCCAACCCTTATTTTCCTTATCACATTCTCCAAGACATTTGGTGGACCAATGAGATGGTAAAGAAGTAATCTCATTAAAGAAATTCGAATCGTAACGAAGGTATTTCAATGCATAGTATCCTTCGTAACATTTTTTGCATTTCATTTCCTTCATGTCGTAGTATTCTCCTTTTCCAGAACAACGTTGACATTCATCATTTTTACGGAATAATCCTAAAGGACATTGGTTGCATTCTTCATTATCCTTGTTCTTTGGTAATTCTACTCCTCCATTGCAAATCTTAGGCTTCTTCCATTCATAGATTAATTTTCTTTTACCATTCGAACATGGAGTGTAATGAGCCACATAATCCAAAGCAGTACACAAAGGTCTTGGAGAACAAGAGGTAGATCCTTCCAATGCATAGGTATTTTCTGGACAGGGTTGACATTGAGTTTGTCCAGATTGGTCATTAAAAGTGTCGAGAGGACATGGCGAACAAGAAGCTTGTCCAGGTTCATTGTTAAAAGTACCTGTTGGACACTTGGTACAATACTCAACAGATAACTTATCTCCATAAATTTTGATCCATTTGATGTATGCCATTTGTTTAGTACTGGAGGATGGTGAAGATGCTTTTTCAAATCTCCATTCAATCACATGATAACCTTTTGTCAATGCAAATGATTTGATTGTATATTCATGTACATAGCTTGTTCTTTCTAATACTTGTTCATTGTCAATATAAAGCTCTAATCCATTTCCATTGTCAGCATCGACACGGAAGCTGAATTCGAGTTTTCCTGACTCTCTCAAGATGTCAACATAATATGTGAGAACAGATGACACTGTTCCTGTTGAATCCGATTGATCTCCTGAATGAATGTATTTGTAATTGGTTGAAACTTTCCATGAAGAACATTTTGGATTTTTGGATCCTTCTGAAACACAACTCGTTTTCATTGAATCTGGTAATTCTTCCCAATCATTGGTGAGGATTCCCTCAGAAAAACTAAATTCACCAGGAATACATGGCTCACATTTCACAAAAGGTGGTCTCAAAAATTGACCATTACTGCAAGTTAAATCTTTGAAATATGAGAAAAGATGGGCTGAAATAACAAAACTTACTACAAGGGAGAGTTTCTGTAGAAATTGGTAATGGCACTCCTCCACTACAATTATTCTTCTTGTAATAAACAACGGTCCTTATGTCACTCATTTTCAAACAAGGAGTATAGGTTGCTCCGTAATCATTTAAGGTACATTCTGGTGGTTCGTTACGATCAGTTATAGGAGAAGAGAGATTATTGGTTGATGATGGTGACGAAGGTGATGACGATGGTGATGTAGTGTTTGTGGCTCCTACAAGACCAACACTAAAGATCATCGTGGTGGATAACACAAGCATGGAAATAATGAGCCGTGTTGATGATAATGACAATGGCGATTGGCCATGACTCGAATCACGTATCATCTTGTTATATAGAAAATATGATGATGATGTTATTGGGAAGGGATCAGATGTTTTCAATTATTCCGACAATGATTAGAAAAGACCAAAATAACCACTAAACTCTCTCAACCTTGAGTTGAATCGGTTAGTGTTGTTCTCTCTAAAAGCACAGTGGTGGTGGTAGTGGATGAAAGAGCTCTCTCGGCGTCCTTTCCGCAATGACACAGCAGTTGTCGGTGGTAGTGGTGGTGATTGGAAAAGGTTCGCAGGCGCCTTCGAATGAATTTTTTCTTTTGATTTGCTGATGGGTTACATGAAGGCAAGAGAAACATGAACAACATGATCCATTCATTTCCCTTTGTGTTCACAACGATGGATGAAAAGTCGGCGTAATAAAGAATTATTATCCCAAAAGACATCTATGAATAAAGAGAAACTTGAGAGTTTGTTTTCAAGAGAAATCTCTTTGAAAGCCTCCATCTCCTCGCAAGTCCCTTTATTTGAATAGGATTGTTGTTGTTGTAATTGATAAAACTCAGCTTTAAAAATATTCAAAGGAAGCCGTCTTCTCCACCACATGCTCACCAACACCTTTGAAATTGTAGGTTTTATTGCACTGATGAGAACAAGTGTTGATGATGATCGGATCGTATCGTATCTAATAACGCAACAAACAATCGCACCGTTCAAATTTTGTCGGTGATGGATGCTAATTGTATATATTTCTATTATTATTTCTATGAAAAGAACTGTAATACATCATCGGGAAATGAAGATAATTTATCGTTTGAGTTGTGGAAAATTAGTGGGGAATTGACACGGTTACATCATTTAGCGCACGAAGAGTTAAATAGGCAAAGAATTTTGATTCCATACGCTCTTCTCGTTCCGAGCGAATTATATTTGTTTTTCATTCTTAGCCATCACATATCGCGAAAAGAAAAGATTCAATCAATAATTAATGATAACTACTTGGATGTTAAAAGTAAGTTTAGTATCAATACCTGAAATTAAGTGTTCATCGTTGGATAGTCGAAAAAAAGAATTTTTCGGATTTTTCGAGTCTACAAGAGGATGAAACCAAACTTTTAACTGTCGCTACAAAAAACTGGATTCAAAAGTATGTATAAACGTGCACTGTTGACATGAATATTTGACAAAAATATCGTAATAGTATTTTAATATTGGAGCATTCATACTCATGCCAAGGAAACTTTATGTTTCTTGCGAGCAGTGAAAAGAACATTACCTCTGACAATTCAAGCTTAATTTCAATTACAGGATTTTCTATTTCTTGTATAGTTCACAACAATTTCACATTGAAAGTATTTATTAATGTAAAAAAGAAGATGTTCAAAAAGCTAAATGCTGAGGATACAATTTCTAGAATATCTTCGAAAAGCCAAAAAACGCCGTTTTGGGGTAAGTTTATAGATGGATGTCACGCAACATCAAACATGTTATCTTTTTGAAGTGTACACTCCCTTTAAGGGTCTTCCTGCAAGATTGGCAACAAAAGACAAAAGCTCATCTAGCGACGAATACAATGCAAAAACACAAGCGACAGTTCTAATAGAAGGGACTCCAATATCCTTTATTTGTGACGAGTACCTACTTGCTATTGAAAATAATGACCAGAGCCTAGAGAAGTATTTTCCTTCTTACAAAAACGCCCCTCGCCAAAATCCACCTAGGTCTAAAGTACAACAAAAGAACAAGATGCAATCAGGCAACACTCCTAACAATGCCAAAAATATCAAGCGAGCATCTTCTAATGCTGATTCTTCCATCAATGGAAAGCCAGCTTCCATCAAAAAACAAAAAACAGAAGCTGTTTTGCCTGCCTATGCTTATACAAGAAAAGAAAAAAAGGAACCGACGCCACCAACAATATTGACAGCATCTCCGACACTTCTCAATCCCCCAATGGTTGAGGTAAAGAAAGAGGATACTGCGTTAGGAACAATGCCACCACCATCATCCGCCGCTCAATCTTTGCTAACTTTTGAACATGAAGCTACTTCAATGGAAGCAAATTTTGTTGCTCAAAAATCAGAAATCCAACTGGAAGACCAAGCAGCAAAAGAGCTGACTGCAGATCAGTTCAACCAACTTCTTGACTCCTTTGATTGGAACGAGCCGAACGACAATCCTCAACCTGCTGTTACTTTCGAACCTTTGCCAGCTAGCACAACCAGTGACACAGCACAATCTGAAATGACACCCACGAACACGGTAATACCATCTCCATCCTTAGAGCAACCACAAACAGCCTCAGTAGTGAGTGTTAAATCTCAACAAGATGAAATCAATGAATTTAAACAATTATTGGATCAGAGAGAAGCACAACGAAGATCTATTCAAGATATGCAGATTGCATTTAAAGAAGAAAATTTAGTGTACGAGCCACAAACTAAGATGCTTTCAGCAGCACCCAATTTTTTAAGCAATTTTATTGATTTGAAAGATGAAAAATCCTCAATCAAGTCAGAAATATTTGCAAATGATTTTATTTCATACTATAGCACTCCTTCCTATACATTGTGCACCATTGATGAGATGGAATATCCAAGAAAGACCAACTTCTGTCCCCCAGTAAGCTCAATGGAACAATTTTCTTTATTGACATCAATGCCAAAAGAGAAAAGGCAAAAAAGAGAAAAGAAAAGCAAGAAAATGAATACTAGAAAAGAAGAAGTTAAAGAGACCGCTGAAACTTCTTTGATAACAAATGCTGAAGAGGTTTATGATGAAGAAATTACAAATTTCGATTTTGTACATTCTGGCGTTTCAGAACTGATAGATATTGTATCAAACACAGATTCAAGCATTACCATCTCTGATATCTTGAAGCAAGCTCTTTATCATTTATCAGACGATAATACTGGCCCTGTTAAAAAGGGAGAATTACTGTCTTTCATGTTGGATGGTTGTTGGAAAGGTTACGATCTTCAATCAAATCAGCAGCCTTCCATCGATATTTCAAACGGGTTGCTCGAGTCCATCCAAGTTGTGTCTAGATACTGGTATCAGTCAGAATCCTCTCTTCCGCACGTAACGAACGATGAGGTAATTTCTATATTATTCAAGGTTTCAGAATTGTTGACCAAAACTGAAGGAGAGGAAAATATTAAGGGCCCAGTGAATATGGAACATTCTTACTTCCAACCACTAGAAACTCCAACAATACGTGTTGGATATATGGAGCAATGGCTTGACTCACATCCTGAGATCATTAGTGAATGGGAAAAATCTCTTCTTGAGCCATACGCGCCTCCAAAAAAGGTAAGTTTTATTGTCATGATTTACCTAATTTTAAATCGAATTTTCAAATTTTAGATAAATTATTGTGTGATTGGGGTTGAGCCACCAGCATTTAACAACAATGATGGACTATTCTCGGATTTGAATGGATTTTTTGAAAATTTAAGCGCCATTTACGAGATGTGCAAGCTTGGAATCCATTTACCAATTAACAATGATTTAATTTCAGAAGGTATAATCCCAATTACATACAACAGATATTCCCAACCAAGTACAACAACCAATATCAAATCACAAAAATCTCAAATGGAAGAATTTATTGAGCAATTTCAAAAAGCAGCAAAAAGAGCAGGTATGTATCTTTTGCAATTCCAGGATAGTGAGTTGGTAACCAAATAATATTTAGAGCAAGGAATAATTTCTTTTTATAATAATAACCCGAAAGATGAAAACATATTTATCTATGTCGTTTTTCCTTTTCATCTTGTCGAGAAGATGGAAGAGGCAACTTCTATACCAATGTCTAGCATGCTTTATAACATATTTGGTAATATTTTAGATCATTTACAGCTTAACATCAGTCAAGAAAGCGATGTCACTCCATTTATTCATGTAAGTATGACCTAATAACTACTAGTTATTACTTATCATATTACAGTTCATTGATCAAAAAATAGTGGACGAGCCATATTTGAACTATCCTCTAGCTGCTCTTAAACAAATTTCGCTATCTGTTTACAATAAGTGTAGAAGACAACAAAAACGATGGAATAGCCTTTCAGGCTATTTTTCGCTGCTTCATGAGCCTGCATTCGTACTAACTCCAATTGAGGTTGCTCCAGATGCTAGTCGAAACAGTCGATCACCTTTTTCAGAAATTCAGCAACAAAAGCTTACTCTTCACTGTGCATATAGCATTACTGAAGAGACCAATGGTGAATTTTATGTCACTGTTGTATGGACTGACTATTCTGGAAATTTGCTCGAATCTACAATTATTGATAGTACCACTGTTATGGCTGATGATGGAAGAAGGATGGAAGCAGTCATTCAAAAGATTCATGAACAAAGCACCATCTACATGACAAGTCTTTCGAGTAGTCATCACATTGAATTTTCTTGGGAATATACTGTTTGCAAGGTTGCTCCAGATGAAAATCAAGTTGTGACAATGTCTGATGAAGAACTGGCTGCATGGGGGAAAATTAAGGAATCAGGTCATAATGGTGCAATGTATCTTGTATCTCTTAACGACAATCCATCGTTACAGTTTTTCAAGAATAGACCATCTGACGGACATGATACATCACATGTCGGTGTCATGTCATACATGCATGTTCATGAAGAGTATGGCTACATAATTTCTTCAACAGAAGAACGACCACAAGATCTATTGCAGGATGGAAGACGTCAGGATACGATTTGTAATAATAAGAGTGTGATTGAAATTAAGTTATTCGTTAAAGGCACTGAGAAATGTTTGCACATTGGAAATATTAGACATATTTGCAAACAATTTTATAACCTAAGTTGGTTGTCTGTCTCGCCTTTGCACCCAAGTCGATTCACAGTACTACCTGTTCATGTGCAACTCTTACGAAACATTAACACTAATTTGAAGCGATATGTTCAATATATTACGAACAAGAATTAGCCACATTTACTTCTGGTTTTCTTGTGGTGTTTGCTCCAGTTTCGTTTCAAAAAATAAATTATCGTCTTGATGCAATGAATTTTTACATGTCAAAGCAAAAGCTGAATGAGTTGAAGCCATTACTCTCACCACCTTTTTTCCTTCTAATGCTAGAATTTTCTCAGGGTAATCAACGTAGCTCGTTCTATTGTCACCTAATCCTAACTCTCCATAATTTCCCTTTCCGAAAACATATACATCTCCCTTATCTGTGACTACATAGTTACAAGTTTCTGTGCATGCAATCCAAGTAACCTTGTTGTTGCTGAAAAAGTGGTTTCTGTATACAGTTAAATCATTTTTCTTAATGATATATTTGGGTGACAAGTCTAACCCCTTCTCAGAAAGCTGTTTTTCAGATTCAACAAGGAATGGCTTGTGTAGTAGATTTTCGTCACTCATTTCAAGGTGCTTCAGTAATCGTAAATATCCAGCATTGTCAAGATTGTAACCCCAACAATAAACGCTACCGTCTGAAGTCCTAGCTAATGCATGGTAAGTACTTGCAGCAACTTGTACAATTCTACGGCCGTTTAAGGAACTGAACAAGAGAGTTGGAACACAATCCTTAATTTGATCGCTTTCCGAATCAACACTTCTTCCACCCCATTGGTACACTAAAGGAGTTGTTAATCCATCCATTCTTTAAATTAAAAAATACAAACCATCATAATTAGAGCTTAACGCGACATTAACATGTTCTTTGCTTGAACATGCAGAACAACTCCAATCAATATCCTCAATATGCTTAAAGTAAGGTTGATCCTCAAAATCGCCATGACCTAGCTGACCAAAGGCACCAAGCCCGGCAGTAAAAATTTTACCCTTTCCAGTAATTAATACTGTGTGTCTAGCTCCACAGGATGCTCTTCTAATTTTTCTTGATGTCATTTGTTCAACAAGTGTTGGAGATGATACATTACTCATATGACCTAGCCCAAGCTGAGAATTGAAGTTAGCCCCTGAAAAAGTTCAAATAGAAATCATTTGCTCAATAGTTGATGTACTTACCACATACATATACTCTCCCTTTGTTGGTGAGAAATATTGTGTGACGGTCGCCACAAGCACAGTAAACAATAAAATCGTCCTCTAAATCAAAGGTAACTTCCTTAGGAGTTGGGGAGTCCTCAAAATTACCGTGGCCAAGCTGGATGAGTTCATTGTTGATATTTCACTCTTTGCAAATTGTTCCACTTACCTGTCCATTTTGATTTTTACCGAATGAAAGTACTCTGTGGTGGTTTGTAATGATAACTGTGTGACTTCCTCCCGAAGCAACAAATCCAATTTGTTCATTACTATTTAAAAATTGTTCTACACTGATTCTTGTCGGAACTGAAACAACATTGATGAGAGTATCTTGTTGAATTTCTTGGTGGCTTCCAAGTTGGCCATTGTTCATTCCCCATGCGAAACATTCATCAAACTGATAAGACAAAATATTATGGGGATCATGGACATGTGTTTGATTTTCTAGTGATGGGGTTGATGCCCTTGACCTCATGTTCCCTGCACTTGAGGTTCGTGTTGTCATCGGAGTTGGATGATCTTGCATTTTTTATTGTAGAAGTATATGAGCGCCATTTTTCATCATGTGTGTGTAATACAACACCGTTTTTGGTCACAAGTTCAGGCTGAACAAGACTCAACTCTAGTCAGCTAAACGGTATCTTTTCATTGACTGAGAACATATTCCTGTTGAGGTAACCTCCCATCTCTCAAGTGGGCGATCACGTTTAAAAATATCACTTCATGCTTTAAGATTAAAAAGATTCCAACTCTGCTCCATCACGCAATTCGAATCAAACCATCACAACAACAAACTAAAAAATTACCATCACGCCATCCTTCAAAAATGTTCAGCGGAAGACCTATGAATATGAACACCAGCACTACCTCCTATCCACAACAACAAGGATCATATCCACCACAACCCTATCCACAACAACAAGGATCTCAACAATGGCCTTTAAATCAAGATCAATTCAATCAATTGAAGCAACAACAAAATCTTCAAAAGCCAACATCCATCATCACCAAGATTTATCTCCCTGATGATGAAATTAGACGCACCACTATTGATGCTTCCTTTGATCTCAAGAAAATCACCACTAAAGTAAAAAGCTTTGCAAATGTTGCTGACAAGGATCTCCTCCTTGCTTGGCTCGATGATCAAGATGAATTTATCAGATTTGACACTGAAGAAGAGTGGGCTGAAGCTCTCAAGCATGCTGCCACTGTTCCTGTTTTCAAATTGAAGGTTATTCAAAAGAAGGTGCCTGTGGCTCAACCACCTCAACAATCAAATGCTGCCGGCAAGAAGAAGAACAAGTCTGAACAGACCACACAAGGTCAGCAACCACCTGTAGTTCAACCAAAGGCACAATCTCCTGTTCAACAGCCTCCACAACCACAACAGCCACCTGTAGTTCAACCACCTGTAGTTCAACCACCTGTAGTTCAACCACCTGTAGTTCAACCACCTGTTCAACAATCAAAGCCACCTGTAGTTCAACCAAAGGCACAATCTCCTGTTCAACAGCCTCCACAACCACAACAGCCACCTGTAGTTCAACAACCACCTGTTCAACCTCCTTCTTTCCCTCAACAACCACAGCAACCATTTCAACCACCAGTTCAGCCACAACAACCATTCCAACCACCTTTTAATCAACCACCTTTTGGTCAGTCACCTATGATGAGATCTCCAATGGGAGGCCAACAACCTCAACCTTTTGGTGCAACAATGAATCCACCAACAATGAATGTGCCAATGGGTCAACCTATGAACGCTAACATGAACCAACCAAGCGCTACTTCTTTCATGCAACAACCAAAGACACTTGGAAATAGCGTTACCTTAAACCAACCACACCCTCTTAACATGAGTGGAATGAGCAGATCTCCTCAGACACAACCTCAAACCACAGTTGATCCTGATCTCGAAAAATACAGTGCGGAATTGAAATACTTGGAAGATATGCAAATGTCTGGCACCAAGGAGTTGCAACTCCAATTGCTCAAGAAGTACAATGGTAGTCTTACAGAAGTAGTCAACGAGTTGTTTAATCTCAATGAAACAAAATGAAAATTTAAGCGATAATAAATGCAAATCATGCACAAACCTTCGTTTTTCCTGTGATATCTCTTCCTCCCGCATTGTCTAATTTGGACAGTTCGAAATACCTTTGTCCGCTTATATTTGAGAACCTGTCCAATCCACAAAAAATTACCCTTTGCTCATCATCACCATTATCAGTCAGGCTAAAATTGTTATTGTTATTGCTCATCAAAAGCTTTTAAAGAAACAAAGACCTGTTCTTTTGAAGATTGCGTTCATCATCATCAACAAACCAACTACTGAACCGACACAACACTTCTAAAAGCAGCTACAATTCAAATTGCAACAACATCAATAGTACAACCACCACATTGTTTAATTCTTTCATTCCCTTGTTGCTTCCTCTCGTATTCATCACCGCTTCTGTATTTTCGTAAGTAGTGCCAAGTAGTAATAATTGTTCCTGGAGAAATATATCCTTTTGCGAATTATTCCTCATGCAATCATTGTATACCATGATGACTTGTATGATGCTCCTCTCTTTGAAAAACAACAAACGTACAACACGATACTGTTTGATCTCTCATAAATCTGATCATTCATCATCCTCCTCTTACAATTACCAAATCCGTCTAAACATCCACAACTCCAAATTTCATCTCTCATGCTCACATCACCACCTACGAATGCCTCTCAAAATCATCATTACTCTCTCTCGTTAACATGATCATGTCCAACAATACCGAACGCTGTCTCATCCTCTCGCAACACTCAAAATCTAACTTTTTCAATCACTTTTGGCGCATGTTCACTAATGACTAATGTCGGGTTGGTACATACTTGGAAAAGAACACAAAAAAAAAGAATCGAAAACAACCTTGTGGATCCAACCTCCCAAAACAGCAACAAGGCAGCATCGTTGAGAACAGTTGACGTGGTCTTTGCACATTTGCTACTTGGATTTGGTCATCATCATCGTTGTGGCGTTTGCACCATTTCCTATTTATTTATTCATCTCTGTTGTTGTTGTTGGTACCATCTTCTTTCTAGTCCAATTACCACCAACACCATCATATTCTTCCTATTTATATATTATTTAGTAGTAGTCATCGTTTAGCATCTCTTCTAAATATTTATTACCAACATTGGGATAGATTGTACCATCAACGCTGCTAGTATCACTCTATTTTCAAAGTCTGATTCAGTTGTATCAATTTTGATCCTTTAACGCTGTCGTTTCAAATAACCCTATCAGCTCAACCACCATCATCATCATCATGCAACAACCACCGCATTCATCCTACGTGCAAACTGATACTCGAGAAGTTTCAGCGCATGGTGGACTTGCTGGCTCTTCTTCCTACTACCCACATTATGGAAATCAATATCACCACCCTTCTTCGTACTTGAATAATCATCACCAACATTCTCAGACGAACTATCACCAATACCACGATTACACACCCTCCAGCTCTTCCCGTCTCACGACAACTGAAGCCTTTCATCATCCAGTTGGTGGTGCTCATCATGAACCGTCGACGAAATATCACCATTATAGTTATGATAATGGTTATCATGGCGTCTCGCATCAACAGTACAGCAGCAACTCACAGCCTCACCATTCCTCATTCTATCATCATGGAAGTGGGAAGAACACAAGTAGTTCGTACTACAACAACACCCACAGAGAGGATGGTTTGTACAATACCACAACTAACTCATCGCTCTATCATTATCCTTCATCATCTTCACTTCCTTCCTTTAATAGAAAGCCAGGAGCGACTACATCTCAATTTGTACAAGCTGCTGGCTCTTCTGCCTATGATCGATCTATGCATTCAGAAGATATTCACGAAGAAGAACCTGTTTCTAACAATCAACATCATCACTCCTTTACAACGGGATATCCTCCATCAACCTCTCATCACTACTATCCATCAACAACTTCTGTTACTCCTCCTCCATCCGCTGCTACTTTGGATTTAAATTCACCACCACCGCACTCCCAACCACCATCATCTCACACATCGTCATATTCATCTTCACCCTACTATTCTTCATACAGTAAGCATCAGCCAGCATCATCACTGCTATTGGAAGACAAGTATTCAAACACGAGATCGTCGAACCCTTCAGCAGACACAGTATCACCTCAAGCAATCGCGACTCCATCTACCTTCAACACTGAATCAAAGTCTGTAGCTCCAAAGATAGAAGGTGGAGTGCTCAGCACAAGAAAAGCTCTCGATGAAATGATGCAAAGATTGAAACGCGACAAGGAATCGCTCCAACAACTTAAATCTGAGATACCATCATACAGCTCAACTCATAATTTTCACACTCAACAACCAAGTGCCAATCCATCTTATTCCTATTCTTCATCTCACCAATATTCTTATCCGCCAAGATATGGAGACTATTATTCAACAAACACCTATGGGTATTATCCTCATGACGAATATTCTCCAGGCATTTCTTCACATCATGAATCCTATAGTCACTATCAATCAGATGTTTATGGTAGAGGAATTACAAACTCTCATCATGTCGACAGCATTCCAGATGATGCAGGTTCCTTCACAAAGTCTCATTCATCTTCAAAACATCATCACACACCAAATGGTCAAGTTTATCAACAAGAAGAAAAGAAAAAACTTCAGCCACCATCTGCTCAGAAAAAGAAAGGCCCACCCCCTTCAAATTCTCTCCAAAAAAAGCCAAAACCAAAGCATCCACAAACAGGAGCAACTGTAACGACTACACCAACTGCTGTCAACGAGGTCGCCATCAACAATGCCAATGGTATAGTAACCACAGCTGTACAAAACGGAACTCCAACAAAGAAAGTCAAACCACCCAAGGCAGCCAAAAAGAAAGACCAACCAGCATCCGATATTCCTGGTTCAACCGTTGAGGAGTCAGCAGACACAACCTCAAAAATTGTAACAAAAACCAGTTTAAGGGTCAGAGCTGCTAAACAAAAAAGGAAAGATATTTCTCAGCTGTTTAAAGATGATAGCGACAACGAATTGATGGCAAATTCTCCTGAAGAAGAAAAGAATAGAGCAAATGGAAAAGAAGAGGATGAAAAAAGTCAAGAATCTGTGAAACAACAGGAAAATGTTGAGATTGGAGAAAACTTTATATTTTCATCAAATAGCATCGATCTTTTATGTGACACTGTTGACATGGTTTCGAAATGCACTGATTTCTTAGTGACAGAGCTTGAAAAAAGAAGCAAGCTTACTTCTGAGACGAATCCAGATCTTGAGAAGGAATTAATAGATCTATCTGTCTTTAATTGTGTGTCATATAATGGCAAGAAAAAATTCGTAAAACCACAAATTACCAAGAGAAAGACAAGCAAAAAGATTGAAAAATTCAAGAAAAAGATACTCAACACTAATTTGGTTGTAAATGAAGAATCAGGAGAAACCATCCGTAAGGAAAAATTGAAAAGAGGCCCTGGAATTGATGTGTATGAAATTATTTGCGCTTCAAGGCTGGAGAAGCTGGATGATGAAGAATTGAGAAGAGAATTACTTTCACATGAAAGCAAAACAAATCTTCTACAAGCTAAAGAGATGTTAGAAACCGATCTTCAAGAAAGTGAGCAAGAGGCCAAGCCTTTGATCTATTACCTCGCAGGAAATGGTGTTGACGTTGAGCCTCACAAAAACATTCACCACAAATCGATACTTGATTTAATAGAGACAGGACCTATCAGATCTAACGATGGAAATGTTTATTCCATTAATCCTCAGAGAAGGATACTCGAATTATACAACCTAGACAAAAAAGCAATTTCTAGAGATCTAAGAAGCATTGAGAAAACAAGCCGATTGAGCCCTGACACCTTGAATGAGCTACTAAGTGACAATTTTGAAGACAACAACGATGTCGCTATTCCAGAACCATCTCCAAGAAAGAAAGTTTCTCCCAAACGGTCTGTTTCGTCAGTTGCAGACGAAAAAAAGAAAGAAGAAGAGGAAAACGAAGAAGGAGAGAATGCTGCTGACATTCAACCACCTCCCACAGAGCAAAAGAAGAAGAAACGAAAGTTCATGACTGACAAGAAGCAGAGAAACACTCCCTAGAATAAATAATAATTATTTTTTAATTGTAGCTTGGTACTGAAGATATCATGATGATTGGAACGAGAATACAGATGAAAGTGAGAATCACTGAGAATACCAAAGAAAGGATAAAAGCCATCAAACTATATTTAGCGTACTGTTGAGCCTTTAGGTTCGGAGAGTTGCGATACTATTTTGTCACAGAGTGTGAATGTACATGAATTGTTCGTTTGAAAATGTAGTATTTTCAATATTGGTATTTCAATTACAATCAAAAATGATAATGATGAAATATAATCATTAATAGTTTCGGAATTTGAAATACTCTCTTACCATTGCATAATTCACAATCCATAAAATTCCAAAGAAGAATCCAATCACAAACATCAACATGGCATTATTAGCATCTTCTTCATTCACACCGTTCACATAATGAGTAGTCGCAACCGTTTGATGATGATATGTAGTAGCGGCGGTTGTTTCTGTAGGTTGAACATAATATTGTGGTGTATAGACTTGTTGTTGGGTTGGATATTGTTGAGGAGGTGGTTGTTGGTAGAATTGAGCTTGACCTGTGTAGAGTGGTTGTTGTTCCATGATGATGATGAGAAGAAGAGGATGGAAGAAACACACGGAGACAAGCCTTTGTTGTTGATGGTTCTCGTGATTTGATAACAGCGTGATGAGCTGAACTCGCCAAAGATTTTTTAAGATTCCAATTCACACAAAGAAACACAAGTCCACCATTGATGAACCTCTCGGCACCCCTCCGTCATCATCATCATCCTATCATCACGGAACAACAAGGCTTAAAAGCTCGAACGGTTCCATGAATCATCATCTGTTGGACATATCTCAATAAAGCACTGTCTTTTATTTTGTTGAAGCAGCGGAGGCAACAACTATGATTGGCAATACGATGGAAAATAACACCAACACCACACTCAAGACCAAACAAATAATGAATGCATAGAGACTGAACTTGGCATATTGTCGAGCTTGAGCATTTGGTGAATTTCGGTACTAAACGATGTGCAAGATTAATATGAATATAAGAGTTATTTATAAGTACTAGTATTGATTCAAAACTTAATAGAACATACCATTGCATAATTCACAATCCAAACAATACCAAAGAAGAATCCAATCACAAACATTAACATGGCACTATTAGCATCTTCTTCATTGATTGGGCGAACTGCTGAGGCCTCTACAGTGGTTGTTTGCTGTTGATATCCAACCTGTACATGGTGAGAAGTATTTGGATCGACATAATACCCTTGTGGCGGAGGATAGGAAGGTTGTGGTTGAACGACAAATTGTGTCTGACCACTGTAGAGTGGTTGTTTGCTGTTGTCCATTTTGTGATTCAGTGTTGTTGTTGTTGCTGTTGTTGTTGTTGTAATTGCTAAATGATATTATTAGCAATTATTTTCAAGATATTTTGTTGTGTTTGTTATTTTCATGGGTCGTCGAATTCAAGATTTTGAATTTGAATCACTTGTCGAAACAGAAGGGTGATGGAAGGTTGTTGGACAGGGAAGTGAAACTTGTGTGGAGCCTCTTGTTTCGAGCGCACCCCTATCCGAATATAACCTGCCTCGAATTTTCAAATGTTACAATATAATATATAATTATTTATTGATGGAGCGTCCGGTTGGTTGTGTGATTCGTATCTTTGTGATGATTTCGTATCTCTGTAATGATTTGGATGCTAGCAATTATTGTTACACTCTGACGACCACAGAAATAATTGAAATAAAGATGGTTACGGAAAAAATTGCGGCGCTTAATACCAAACAAATGATGAATGCATAGAGACTGTACTTGGCATATTGTTGAGCTTGAGCATTTGGTGAATTTCGATACTAAACAATTCATTTCAATGTAGTGTGTTGAGGTTGATTGTCACATTGATGAATCTCTCAATTTCAATTTTCACAATTCCTTACCATTATATAATTCACAATCCAAACAATACCAAAGAAGAATCCAACCACAAACAGCAAAAAGGAATTATTGGCATCGTCTTGATTGGGCCCGACGGTCACTGTTGTTGTAGTCATAGAAATGATTTGTTGAATTCAAGAAATAAAGAGGTCTTTGTTGCGGTTCTTGTTGAACGAGTTGTGTTTGGCCAAGCGAGTGGAGTGGCTGTTTGTTGTTGTCCTTTGCAATGATGAATGTTTTCTTTTTATTGAGGAGTTGCATGAGACAATGAGGATAAACTAATAAATCTATTGTCAACTTTCAGGTAAAGCCAGACCAAATAAAAATTTAATTCAAAAAATGGAAAGAATTCCTCCGTTCATCAATATGCATTCTCATCACAACACATTGACATGGATACTATCCCTTCGCACATCGTGATAGTATCCATGTAAATGCATTGCTATATCCAATAAGGCAACCATGATGGAAGAATAGAAGCTGTTGGGTCAACTCCCAAAGATTTTTTGTTCCCATTCCAAAACAAAGGTGTTTGCAAGAGAGAACTATTGTTCGGGTGTGCTTCACCATCTCGAATCGTAAAAGCCATTGTTTCAATCAGGGTAAAAGAGAGAGAGTCATTGTACATATATAAATCGGCATCTGACAACTCCAATTTTTTTTATTGAGCATTCATTGATGTGATTGGCGTCAATGGATCTCCTGTTGTTCCTTGTTGTTAAAATGCAGCAGAAATCGCTGATAAAAAGATGAGAAGGACAAAAAATCCCACGCTTAACACCAAAGAAGCAATAAACGCATAGAGACTGTACTTGGCATATTGTTGAGCACGAACATTTGGTGAATTTCGATACTAAACAATTCATTTCAATGTAGTGTGTTGAGATTGGTTTGAATGGATGTAGTCACAAAAAATCCTAGTGATGAATCAATTCTCAATTCTTACTAGAACTTACCATTACATAATTCACAATCCAAATAATACCAAAGAAGAATCCAATCACAAACATCAACATGGCATTATTGGCATCTTCTTGATTGGCCGCCATTGTTGGGGTGGTTGTTGGGGTGGTCACAGAATTTGTTGTTGTTGTGGAATTATTATTCACATAATACTGAGGTCTTTGTGGTTGGCCGACGAATTGTGCTTGACCTGTGTAGAGTGGTTGTTTGCCGTTGTTCATTCTGATGTGTGTGGTTGTGTGGTTGTTATGAATTGGAGTCAAGGGTTGGGTATTTTCTTTTTGTTGGGTAATTCAGGAGAAAACAACGCCTGAGCTTTAGAGGCCTTCATCGAAGAAAATAATCCAGAAAATAGTTGAAATTGAAGGATTTTAGAACTGATGAGAGAGGAATTGATTTTTGTCAAGTGTCAACTTTCAGTTTTTATGGTCCAATTCAAAAATATAATATTCAAAAAATGGAACGAATCCTAACCTTCCATAAATTTGAATTCCCATACCGGTGGCTTCGAGCACAACCTTATTGTATCCGTGTCGATGCATTGCTATATCCAATAGGGCAATCATGATGAATGTAGCATAACCCTTATTTCGATGACCTTCTCGTGTTGCAACATGATTAATCGAAGCACATTCTTTTCCCATCACTAATTCACCACAAGAAACAATTTCAAAACGATTAGTGGATGGACAATATGCTTTGACACCTACAATGACTGCATCGTTGTGTTTTGAAATTTCTTGAGTGTAACTTTGTTCAATAATGTTGGTGAGAGGTTGTGAAATTTGTGGAACACCACAAAAGGCATCACTTTGACAAGTCCAAAATTGAGAGTATTCTTCAGCCGATGAGATTTCAACAAGTTCAAATATCTCGTCTGTAGTCATGGCATTCGGATTCAATGTATTTAAGTGATAAAAATTGCTTCCATATAATTTTGTTTGTTCAAAATCACAATTTAAATACTCTCTCATGAATCGTTTCTTTTCGTAAAAATAGAAAGAGAGTTGTTGTTTTTCAACCAGCATGGCCTTTTGCATGGTGACTCCAACATAGGCTTCTCTTGGAATTTTCATGCATTTCAATAAATAATTCTTAATTTTTTCACAACAATTTTCCTTAAAGCGCTGCAATTCTTCAATTTCCATTTTAACATTTGGTTCTATAAATGGAAAATATAAATAAGCACTTCCAAACTGCAGTCTTTCATGCATACAAGTACTATTCAACAATGAATACTCTTGCATGGAATCCAAATCCGTTTTGGCCATATCAATCTTGGTATAATAAAATTGAGGTGTTCCATTAATCATAAAACTCTTTCGTGAAGTGGCCACTCTTTCTTTATATTCCAATGCATAGGCTGAATATATTTCCTTGTAGAGAGAGAAATCAATAGTGATTGAGGTCGTTGAGATGGGTAAGATGGAGCTCCTCGATGAAGAAGAACATTCCGAAGCAAATAATTCCATATGTACAAGCCTTGAATGGCAATTCGTAAATTCAAAGAATGATTCAAGGATCATTGGAATGACGGTGGAGTTTTCCTTCTTTACAGTCATGACCTTTTCATAGTTTCGGATCTTTTGGTTCCTATTGGTTGTATCATTATTGTTGTTGTTATTATGATTGTTTAAAATTGTATCTTTATTGCCAATACTAGAGGTAGCACTTGTCCCTTGTGAGGCTGAAGAACAAACGGAACAGTTCATTTCAACAACGTCATGATGATGATGAGGAGGAGGAGGTGAAGAGTACTGGTTCGGGTGTTGTTTCATATGGTGGTGAATATTAGTATATAACATATGAAGAAATGGTTGAAAGGAATAATTTTTTTAAAATCCAGAAAATTGTTGAAGGACATTCGGGGTTAGATACTCTTTATGGTAGTGGCTTAAAGTTTTTGCGCAATTTCTCCCTCAACATCATGCATTGTTGAACCATTTTCGTTCAAGGAGAAAAACAGAGAATTGTTTTTGAGGAAAGGCGTTCCTAAATTGCTGGAAGGAAATTTAAGAGAGAGAGAAAGGTTCGCGTTTTTATATATTTTCAAAAAAGAAAACACTCGAGTCAACTCAAACAGTTGTGTTTCTTCTTCTGTTTCTTCTTCTTTTCATTGTTGGATCGTTGATTCGTCTGATTAATGTCATTCAAAGTGTCTAATGTTCACACCACCCGATTGACTCTTTCACACACTCATCACGACAACAAATTTAAGTATTGAACGATCGATCCTTCTCACTACTATTATTATTACTACTACACAGTTTCTCATCATCGTTTCACCATCCTTTGACAGTCTCATTTAAACAAAATTCAAAACAACAACAACCCATGGTGACATCCTCCTGTCTTGTTGATCGACGACGAGCGTCAACTACCACACGACATTTCTCACAACATTCCTGTCGAAGGCCACATTTCCTTCTTCTTCAACTATTAGTAGTGGCAGTACAAGTTATAGTCCTTCTTGGTGGTCTGTCTAATCTCTCTTTCGAAACCACATCAATGGTTCTTGCATTTCCTATTTGGAAGAATTGTTCCCTAGAGGTGATTGACCCTACAACATTCACTCCTTCATGTTCTTCCATCATTTTACTCAATGAAACCACTCTCTACACTCGTTACGAACCAAGTGTTGAATTTTCATTGTTTTATCAGTTTTTTGATACCAAAAGTTTTGAATTGTGTTCGAATGAGCAACAACAAGTATCGTCAACCAACCTATTATTGTTGTTTTCCAAATATGGAATTGAGAGTTGTGAACGTTTATTTTGTGAGGATTTTCCAAAACTCATTAATAATTTTACTCTTTCGAATGATGATTCAAAGAAGAAAATTCTTGATTTCGATCTTTCCTTGTATGTGAAACAATATTTAAATGATACGTATGGCGTCACTTCTCTACGCAATCAACAACGAGTCGCTAGTGAATTTGCATACATGATGAATTACTGTCAATATTGTAAGAGATCAGATTTTATTGAATTTCACAGAAACATGAGTCAACACTATGCCAATCCCAATAATACTTGTTTTCAATATTTGAAATCTGACGCATTTTGTAATTATGGTCATTCAAATGCTCTCGCGCCGTGGAACAAGTCAACATGGATGAATGTATCATCATCACCACCACCACTAATACTCGATAGTGATCTTCAAATTCCACTCATTTATGGAAATTCTCTACTGATTCAACCCTCCCTTAATTCATGGATTTGTTATTGTGGAAATTCAAAATATGGTTTCAAATGTGATTACTTTTCTACGACTTTTATTGGATTCACTTTTCAAGCGTATCCAGTGATTGCATTTGTTTTACCTCTTTTTTTAATTTTTGTGCATATTGGATGCGTGATTGTTCCATCTTTTTATAGAGGAATTTTGAAAGTGAAAGATCATATGAAACATCGAATGGTTAAATTTTATAGAGCTTTCTATGATGAATTCTTTACATTGAATTGGTTGGCCTATATTTGTATTATACTTCATTTGGTATTTCTATCTTTGGAAAATTTGTTTGCAATTGCCACGAGTCAAATGTTTCAATTGAAATCGACAATGGGTAAGTTGTGAATGGAGATTTTTCATTGTTCCTTACTCTCTTCAATCATTCATTCACACACTAAAATCCATTCACATTTCCAAATTTGTCTCCTATCCTTCTCAACAATCCTTGTCCACCAAATTTGCACATTCCCATCAATCACCCATTCAACACCAAAAACATCCACTTGACCTTCATACCTTCAACATATTCAACATGTTTCAATAGGTTCTGGATTTTTTAGAGCCATTCACTTGTTATGGATCTTTACAGCTCTCTTTTCAACCTTTGTGATTTGGTTTAATTTATTGATGGGTGTGAACAAGGGATCCAAATCTACCAATCGCATCAGCAGTCATGCAAGTGCGAGTGTCATTGTGTTACATCCTGCTCTCAAAATTCTAGTTCTCATCTTTGCTGCACTCTTCCTTTTATTGTTAATTTTACCAATTGTATATCTTGCCATTCCATCCATTGCCAAAATATTCAATTTAACCTTCTTTTCTCTTAGTCTGGCCATTACCATTGTATTTGTGAGTGGATTCTTTATATTTGGAGCACGTTTGTACTTGTTGTTGAGAAAGGCGAATCATCTCTCAATTTTTCAAATCAAATTTACGAGAGCCATCATGTTCTTGACCGTTGTGGCAGCCTTAGTGTTCATTGAAATTGTTTTAATCATGATTGAGTATGGATCTGGACAGGTCATGTTGGGATTATTCTATCGATCGGTGAATTTCAATATAATGGATGTGACGTGTTGTTTGGTAACTATTGGAATGATTTACTTGTTTACTCCCATTGAGGATTTGAAACAATTGTATGGTGTGAATTGTTGTTTGGAGAGGTTGAGGAGGTTAAAGGGAAGGGCCACTTCTACTCATAATAATAATACAAGTAGTAGTATTGGTAATAATAATACGATTGATAATAGTAGTAATAATAGGGAATTGCCATTGACAACAACAACAACGACGATGAGTAATTTGTAGGCCTAAATGGTTCGATTCACCTTCAATAGACCTTCTTCATTCCAGTGAAGTCATGAACACCAGCTGGTATATATGCGAGCATTGAGCTCACTTTTGAGGAAGTAACCCATTTTAGGATTCAGGTAAGGCAACACGAGTGATCGTAGTAAAGATGCCGAGGACGATTGTCTTGAGAAACGATTGTCTTGGGAAAGTCCTTTCTATCAATACTAACAACATTGCTTACAAAAATACTCTCTCACCATCTTCATCAAGGGCAATTTAAGAATATCATCGACTTGTCTGTCAATAGGTTGACTGTAAAGAAACATTTCTTGAAATATAGTCAAGTTGGTTAAATATTTAACTTAGTACGTGAGCCCTCCTAGCTCAGTCGGTAGAGCGTTGGACTTTTAATCCAACGGTCGTGGGTTCGAGCCCCACGGAGGGCGAAAGAAATTTTTTGTTCTCAACTTTTATGTCATATTTGAGGTCTTCAGATCAGATGATAACATTTTCTAACAAACATGGAGCTCAAAACAATCTCAGTGAGTATACGACGTTGTGTAAGGTATTCCAAATTATTTGGATAAGAGTTCATGTTATCTCCTCATAAAATGATGAGCTGATTGAAAACAATCACAGTTAGATATTCAATTTAAGCAGGAGGGTTGTTTTTACTGAACTTTCGATGTATTCTTTGGAAATTCACGCTTTTTGTTCCAATTTTCGAACAACAATTTCCTCTCTTCGAGCAGAAGTTTCACAAATTTGAAGTAAAAAACACATACTTCATGGAATTGAGTCCCAAAGAGGCTTCCAACAAACAACCTCATGTATTAGGCGTTGATGTAACAAACGAAAATTGAATGTCTTACATCGTTTCATTCACCAACTCTTTCTGCGACTGAGAATGTGATGTTGCATAGTTGTTCGACGCCCAGAAAGGAGTCCTTCAAAAGTTCTCAGTTAGACATTATGGAGAAATAATTCAAAGGAGTTCCCTGTTGAGTATTTTCAATTCCGATTGCATTGTTTAAAAGTGTATGGTTTGACATGTAATCAGTTGACTAATAATGGCTGAAGGGAACTACATTGATCATTCAGATCCAGATGTGAATCAAGCGAAAGAGTTTATTACTTTCCATAAGGTATGTCCAATTCAATCCAAGTAATAAACTAAAGCATGATCAAAGTTTCTGTTCAGTATTTCTCTTTTATTCGTTTTTCTTCAAACTTGTTTCCTACGACTTCACTTGTCTTTCCTTTTTTGAACTTTTTAAGGGAATAGTCTCCAACATTATCAAGAGATAATGAACTCAAGCATATTCTGGTCATAATTCACCTCAATAAACAATCTGAATCTAAAAACCTATAAATTACAAACCATTCATCTCGAACTTATTTTCAACAAAAAAATCAAAAGCAAGATGAACAAACTGTCACTTGTCTTACTCTTCGCCTTACTACTTTGCAGCAGTCTACTTGTTGCAGGATCTGACTCTTACCGCCCAGATCCTTACAAACCTCGCCCTAAACGACATTGTCGTAAAAGTGTGTCCTTCACAAGTACGTCCGTGGCAAATGTCTCAAACACAAAGTCATTGGTCGTAAAAGATTCTGTGACAAGTATGCCATTGTTGGAAAATATCCTTGTTTAAAGCATAAGAGATTCTCCAAGTGTGACAAGTACAGCAAACCATTCACCAAATGTGTGAAACACAGATTTAGAAAATTCTGTGCCAAACATCAAACAAAGAAGGTTTGCGATTCTTATGGATTCCGTAAATTCTGCAAGAAATTTGGAAAGAAGAGATTCTGTTCCAAACATAGAAAGTTCAAGAAATGTGTTGTTTGGGGTAAGAAGACCACTTGTAAGAAGTTCAAGAAATTCCCAATTAAGAAATGTTTAAAGAAGAAGAGATGTGACAAGAATGTCGATTCCTACGCTCCAAGAAAATGCAGAATTATTCGTAAATGTCGTGTGGTTGGTCACAAGAAGAAATGTATCAAACATCGAACTAGTCGATTCTGTAAAAAGCATAGACATTTCACCAAGTGTGTCAGTGCAAAATTCGCAAAAAGACGTTTCTGTAAGAATCACAAGATTGTGAAGAGATGTTGTCTTTTCAAGAAGAGAAAATTCTGTGCCAGAAAGAAGAGATTCCCTTCTAAATGCATTCACAGAAAGCATTTCAAGAGATGTATCAAGAGATCGAAAGGAAGAAAAATTTGTAAGAAATTCAAATTCACCAAAGGACGAAGAGTATGCAAGAAGTTTGCAAGAAAGAAAGTCTGTGCCAAGAGAAGAAATATTTGTAAGAGAAAGCACAGAAAAGTAGATTCTTACAATTAATCAGAGATGAATTCCATGCACCAATTTCGAAAAGTAATATTCAACCTTGCTTGTGAAACATTGGCTCTCTTTGGAATACAATGCTTGTAATGCTGTTGGGTGGGTGCTTTCATCACCACCAAACTTCCATTCTCAAGATCATGAGAAATAATAGAGCTTTTGGAAGACTTTATGGAACGAAATTGAAGGTTCTTGTGGCTCCAAGAGAAATGGATACAATGATTGATCCTGAAACAAGATCTCCCTCCTTATCGGAATGCCAACCAATATAATCCATTCCATTTCTATATTGATTCACCAAGGCATAGTTAAAGGTCTCTTTCGTATACCATTCGACTTTTGTTTTCAATTCCAATAATTCTGGAATCCAGTCCTTTCCTCTCTGGCAAAGCTTTTCTTCATATGACCTGTGGGAGCGAGATGATTGTGGTTATGACTCAAAGTCAACCTATTCTCGGTGTTGTCGTTTGCTACAGCAGAAATCAAGAAGCCTTCTTCTTTGTTATGATGATGTAATTCAGTGATGGGATCTTTGAATGTGGATGTATCTTCCTGTACGAGCAATTCTTCATCATCATCCTCTTCAATCTCTACAATCCATACTTCATCTTGTTGTGGGTGTATGGCCCTTTCGTTAGGGTCGGAATCACCATTGTTAAATTAAAAAAAAATGACAAGCCTAGTCGCAAGATCCCTCTCTCAATCATCACGCAAGCCGATGCGCTATGTGCTGCAAGAAGCCTTGTTGAGTATTGTTAAATCGGAAAGTTCTGTTGGACAATTACTAGACTCCTCTCAACCACTACAACATTTAGCAATAAATAAGAGAAGTAGCGAAGCTATTTATTATTCGGCACAAGAAGGAGGACAATTTTATAAGATTTTATTTTCTGATGATGAGAGTGGAAAGAACAAAAAGGTAGGTAATTTTAGCAATGAATGCATATGCAAAATAGTGCCAATTTTTATTAATTTAACATGGAATCCACGCAACACTGTTAAACTCGACTCGGATTACATTTCTTTGTAATTTTAGACCATCCAACCGGATATGAAATATCCAACAATCAATCAAATTTATTTAAACAAAGCAGGTAATAGACTTTTAATAATCGGAGAGTACGACATCAATATTATGAGTGTACCTGGATTTAGATCAAGTGAAGCAGATGTTATTTCCTCCACCACCATATTTTCCTTCTCATTATTATCTTCAGTATTGGAAAGTTCTAACACAATTTTGAAAGCTTGCTGGCATCCACATAGTGATGACCATGTTGTAGTGCTGGATTCTATGAACACCCTAAGAATTATTCAAGTGACCTCTGGAAAAATTGATGAAATTCTTTTACTCGACGACGAAACCTCAGAAAAAGTTCTTTCGTTCACATTTGGATCAAGAAGATCGTGGGAGAGATTTTCGATATTTTATGTGTCTACCTTTAAAGAATCATACAAATTATGGGTGCTTTGTCCAATTGTTCCTGAAGGATGTATTGTTTCTCAAGATTTCTTGAATGACATTATTGATGAATGTGAAAGCGAGCCAGAGGCTACTATGGTCATGAATTATCTCCCTGGAATTGTGAACTATGCTATTGAAACTTCAAACCATGAACAAGAAATTGTACTCAAACCCAATACGAAGGACACCACATTCTTTACTGGAAAAATTATACCTATAGATTGTGAAATTGATTTTAGCTCAGATATTGCAGATATGACCAGCTTAAACATTTCCAAGTCGTTTCCAACTTGTTTTGCTTGTGTAGAAAATTCTGGGACCATTAGACTTTTTGTTGTATCTGACAACATCAAACCCAAATGGAATCTACAGTCAAGATTTGCCTCTTCATCATCTTCTAAGTTATATTCTCCAATTCCACATGCTGTTAGCGTTACCTCTCTTGATAGAATTATTCTTCCTAGGGTTTCGAGGCCATGGCTTGTACCTCATCCAACATCATCACAAATATTTTATTGTGTGCATGACGGTGGATGCCATGAAGTTATTTTTCCTTTTATTTCTCACATTGAGAAGACCTTTTCTGGTGTAGAGCAAGAGCAATCAGAGAACGATAAGACTGCTGTACTACCTTTATTTAAAACTCAAAAGTAAGTTTCCATTTTTTGTTTAATGCTTTTAACTCCATGTAGATTGGAATATCCAAAAGGTTTTGCTATTTTGGAGGATTTGGTTAATGGAATATCTATATTTTACATTGAAAGCAGAGCCAAAAATGTATTACTCTCTTCTGGTAGTGTATTTAACTTTAGACCGGATGAAACGGATGGCACACTACAGAAAGACAATATAAAGTTTGGCACTGACACATTTCAAAAATTACTTGAAGAAGTTACAAATGAGCTCTATAACAGAAATACTAATGTAAAGAGTAAGGAGGCTACATTGCAATTAATGCACAATACGCAGTGTTATGATGTTGCTATCGAACTTTTTGAACAAAAACTACATTCTCTCTCAAAACGATACAACAATCAGCAACAGTCAGTGCAGATATTAGCGAAGAAAGATGCCCATTGCAAACAACTACAACAAGATATCCACACAAAATACGAAAATACTCTGAAAAAGGCCAAAGACCTGCACAAACGACTCGAAAAATGCTACAACATCTTGTTCCATCAGCAACTCAGCAAAGAAGAAAAAGAATTTATGAATGATATCAAGCAAAAATCGAAGTCGATTGACACCTATTCGTCAAGAATTGACAACTTGAAACACCAAATAGAATCTTATATACCAAACCAACCCACAGGCAAAACCTACTCGCCCGAGATAATCGAAAAAGTGACAAAGTACCTGAAGAAGACCGAAGAAATTTTAGAAAGTACGAAACAGCGCTTGGAAGAATCAAAAGAGTAAAAAAACCGTGGTTGAAAATTAAGCTATTGATTGTTGTTTTTCTTCACAAGTATTACATCGCCTAACTTAACTTTTTGGCCTTTTTGAATATTGAATGCAAGGTTATCATCTTCGTTGCTTTCAAAAATAAGGATAATTGTGCTTCCAAGCTTGAAGTATCCCATTTCTTCTCCCTTTTCAATAGAGAGCCCACCTTGCACATAGTTTCGAGAAAGAACAACAATCTCTTCTCCTTGTTCAGGATCCTTGATATGTTCTTCTTTCGTCTTTTTATCCCAAGTGTCTACTTTTTCAGATGAGCGTTGAGGAATGGCTGTCGAAGCATTCTGTGCCTTCTTTTTTCTTGGCCGTTTTACATTCGTTCGTAGAGACTGAAGTGTGAAAGTCGTTAATGCAATCAATTAATTAACATCTGAAATGCCAAACTTACGTTATCAAAATTCACAACAAATGATCCAACGTTTAAAGCTCCAACAATTACATAATGCATATTTCCATATGTCCATTTACCATTCAAAACAACTCTTTCGTTTTGAGTAAATAGGTTAGGATACCTATTAAGATATAAGGGCATTACTGGATACAGCTTTCCATAAATATGTTTTCGTGACTCAATGGTCATGTCACAAGGACTATGAAACCGGTGATAATCTCCTGGTGCCAAGTATAATACACAGTAGTGCAATTTCTTCTTCTGTTTTGTGTTTTGTGGAGTTGAGGCAATGTCATCTTGTGAGCTTGTGTTATCAATGGCTGGCTCCGTAAAATCTTCCCCAACAACGATTTCATCTGTTTGTTTGCAATATCCGCCTCTGCTTTTTGATGTAGGAATTTGATAATAATCAAAATAATGACCTGTGTTTGACTGTGTGTTTCTCTTTTCTTTTTGTAAAAGTTCTTGCATGGAATAAGTAACTCCTTTGACTTGTGGCAAGAAAACATGTTCATATGTTTCGTCCAATTCATTCAATTCCACACAGAGAGTACCAAATCGTGCTACCGTTCCGTCAACTGGACTCACCATCTCAGCGTGAAGATAATCTCGTTCGATTTCATTCAACTCTGTGGTTTCATCCAAATCATATTTTTGAAGTATCTTTCTCTTGTGTTGGACACTCAATGATGGTCTTGCTGAAGGCTTTAACTTTCGGGAGAAAAAGTCTTGAAGACTTGCATATTCTTCGAGAGGTTTTTCAATTTCTTCCATATTTACCGAATACATCCATCCATAGACATTGTAGATGAGAGGCCTGAATAATTCTGGATAAATTTCTGTACTACCGATATTACCCCAGCATCGTGATATGAAATTTGTTGGAATGGCTTTTGATAGTAATTGAAGAAACGTTTGTTTTTGTTTTCCTTCTATCCGTTCCGTGTCATCTCCATCATTGATCAGTATTTCATGATGATGGGAAACATCCATAGAGGAAGATGCCATGATGATGATGAAACTACGAATTACAACAAGCAAATAAAGGATGGATGATGATTTGGTGGTTCAAAACCAACGAGTCCACTCAACAACAATAGCTAAATTCGAATTTTTTTGATTTCTGTTGTTGCCTGACCCGATTCTCTTTTTTATCCAATCCACTTACAAATTCAACAATGATCACATCAAATTCAGGACAAACACTTGGAAATTCAAATAGTGACGGACATATTTATACATGACAAAACACGACCACATCTAGAACAAATCATCAAGATTTTTGTTTTCGCTTTCGTCATCTTGTCCATCACCAAAAAAGTCGTCATTGGCATGTGGATTTCGATTCTTTTTAACGAAGAGGTTGTCATATGACTTTTCTTCAGCTTCTTTTTTCCTTCTTTCATATTCTTCTTTTTCTTTTTTTGCTCGTTCTTTCGCTTGGAGTTTTTGTTTTTCTCTTTCGTTCTTGTCTCTATTAGCTTTCTCTTTTTCAAGATCCACTTCCTTTTCAACTTGAGTTTTGTTTAATCTATTCACAATTTCCTTATTCTTTTGGATAATAACATGGCGGACAGCCTTTCGGTCGAAAAAATCCAACCTCTCCTGTATCCATATCTCCAGTCTTTTTTAAATTTGATGCCATTGTGTAAATGACTTTAACTTGTTGTTCTTTCTTTCCTTGAATTGAATTATATTTTGTTAATTGTGCTAAATCTTCAATAACTTCCTTCGGAATATCGTTGATAGTTTGGCCAGGCTTTAATCTCAAATAGACGTGAGCAGAACTGAAGTTATCAACGTGAAACCAAACGTCCTCGGGCCACGAATACTTGATCAGATCTTCGTTTTCATATTTATCCCTACCCATGTAGACTGTGTACGTGGGATCAACACACGTGAAGAAGAACACCATTTTTGTTGTTTTTTCAAAATTTTTGTTTAAAAATTATTGAAGGTTTGTGGTGAAATCGGAATGTGGCGTCCCTTTAAACTTGAGACATTCGACATGGTATTTTCACAACAATTTATAAATCGTTGTTAAATTATAGAACTAATAGTTTTAAACGTGGTGATGATTTAAATTCAAAATTGTTATTATTTAAACTTCAAATTTTATAGCGTCGAAATGTGAACTGAAGCCTTCGCTCTTAAAAAATTCCAATTAGTTTATTGTTAGCACCATTGGTCCTGGTAAATCCGTGAGGATTGGGGATTGTTTTTGAAATGGTTTTTTGAATCTTGAGTTTTCATAGTATTTGGTGTGACATTTACCAACTAGTAAGGTGAGAATTATTTGGATTTCAGGCCAATTTTGGTAAATATTTGGTAAATTTTTAAGGTTGGGTATTTGAGTATCTCGAATCATTACTCCGTCATGGTGGATGATGAAAACTTTTCTTCTATCACAGTATCTTGATTCTTGATAATCGTTGAGGATGCATCTTATTGATGTAATTTCTAGGAATTTTGTGTAGAAAAAGTCCCTAAAACATTGAGTGTTAGGGCAATAGTATATAAAATGTTTTAGGGTTCCGGGGCATTTGCAGTGAGCGCATTGTCTTTCCTTATGTTGTTTGATATGATTACTTGTCAGATTTCTCCAAATTGACCATTTAGTCTCTCCTTCGCTCTTAAAAAATGTCCAAAGAACTTATTGCGGAGGGAGTGCAAGACGTTAAGGAATTATTTGCTGAGGGAGTTCAAGATGTGAAGGACAAATTTGTAGGAGGTATCAATATGATGAACAAAGCTACAAACATGCTCAAAAAGAAGATCAAATCGGAGGTCGGAATAGCTAAGGAGGTGAACAAGAAGGTGATCAGTATTTTTACAGGACGAGAAAGTAAGTAGATTGTTCAGCTTAATGATAATTACCTCGTTTAATATCCACAGAAACGTTGGAACATCCATCAACAATTAATTTCTCCGATGATGATTTTTATCCTGAAGAATGTAAGGGTTTTTATTATTAATGATTATTGATATTGATCATCGTATTATTTTACCCATAGATACGGACACATTGTTTTCAAGGGCCGAACACAAAACCATCGAGACCAACTGGCTATCAGGTCTGCACATGGAACAAACAAAAGCAAAAGAGAAGCTAAAAGAGCTTGTTGCTGAAAACTATGTCCAATTTATTGAGGCTTCAAAAGAAGTTTCAAATTTTATGGATGTAGATATGATAGAAATTGGCAATTTGGTGAGCACTATGAAAAACATGTTATCTCAAATAGAGAGCGTCGACTTGTCATTAGCCGGGAAGAATTTATATTGCTCTTTTACGAGTATAGACTTTGAAAATTTGAGAGAGGTAGAAGACTCTTTGCTTCCACAGCTGGAACTGCTTACCTCTCAATTAATGTTCACTAAAGCCTTTGAGTTTGTTCAACTTATTGAAAAGAGACTTGAATCCGATGAAATAGTATTATCTGACCTTAGTTATAGATTTAGCCGGCAAGAATTGACAAAAACTTTTCACAAAAAGAAGCTCGAATTGGGAAACAAAATAGCTGATGCTGTGGAGAATGGTTATTACTCACAACAAGATGTTGCCCTATTGGAAGCGTTATTAGGTACAGAAGCAGCAATTACAACCTATTTAGGAGGGAAGAATATCTTGATAGCAGAAGTTTTACGCAAAACTGAATGTAGAGGAAACGTAGAAGATTATACTACTAGAGCGTCCAAACACATCTTTAAAATTATCAAAAAAGTTGCCAAAGAATTTAAGCAATTATTTAAAGAAGCATCAAACACATCATTCCTTATAGAATGGTCATTTACGGTCCTGGATCAATTTATTTCTACAGTTAAGGTACAAATCCTAGGCCCTTCTGATTTTGAAATAGCTACAAAGTGTATTAGCTCCATACTAAAACAGGGAGACTTGTTAGAAAATAAGGGAATGATAGTGTCTTTTCATTTGCATAAATTATTGCTCCCAGATGTGGAAAAGCTGATGAGAAAGAGATGCATCGAGATCAGAGACGAAATTTCCGCTGTTGCTTCCACTGAACTTTGGCATCCCATAACCATATCCTCTGATGACTTTATTTCTTCTCTTCCAGAACAAATTTCGAAACTCAAAGTTGGCAAAAGTTGTGCGTTGTTCCTAGACCGATTGAAATCTTTTATTGCTCATTGCAGCTTGATTGTGTCCTCATATGTAAGTGCTTGTTTTCAATAGTTTGGAGCTTACACATGATAATAGTCTTTTGATTTAGTCACTCTTTGCATATCAGAATTGTTTGAGACAATTTTATCTAAATTATATGCGATTGGGCTATCAAAGAAGACAAGTGAAAAACAATTCTTCATTATTCTGTCTAGCATTAAATATATTTTGGGAGGAATACTGGAAGAAATATCGGCAATGGTTCAGGTAAGTCATAATTACGTTCGAATATGAATTTCTAAACATTGTGAATAGTTATTGTTCAACCAAAATTCTCCTTTAGAAGTAACATTACTTAAAGAAAAATTACACGGAGTTGACACAAAGCTATTACAAAAATACTGTTTAATACTTGCACAAAATGTTGTGAATGACAAAATTGGCTGGAATTCATTTTACAAGACTTCTCTAGAACTTCAAACTGATGGAATTTCCAAAAACTTCAAGCACGTGCTTTTTTATTTTTCCAAACTTGCTACATATATCTCAAACAACTTTGAAGAAAATGTTCCAGAAATAATGCGCATGGTAGTAGCCTCAATGGTTGAACAACTAATAGATCCAGAAAGCATAATCTTGCATTGGATTTCTTCCGAACCAGAAACTATTAATGACAAATGGGAGAAAGCCTTGAATCAGTTAATTTTGGACATCTCATTTCTCAAGAAGACCTTGAAAGAATTAGATCTTTTTGAAACAAACGTAAGTTTTTTCTTCATTTTTCAGTTTAAATTGCTCAAAATTGGATGTAAAGACTAAACAGCAGATGAACACACTTGTAGACTTTCTACGCAGCAAGTACAACCAAGAAGAGAAGGCCATGACAGACAAAGTAATACAAGAACAAGTAGATGCATTCATTAAGGCTGATGAACATCTCTCTCGTGCCATTACTATTTGTAAAAATTTACACCATTGAGACCTACAAATCTCCGTACTCACTTTGGCGCCACCGTTGAATTTGGCGCCTTCACTTAACGTTTGTACTACAACAAAAAAAATGCACTCTAGCTTTTTCCTTAATCATCGATCATCACGTCCCAAGAGGGATGATATAGAGGAGGACGAAAATATTTTGGTGGAGCTTTCAACCAAGGACGGAACAAGAAACGTAATTGTTACAGGTGCACAGCATGACATCCGAAATCATGAGGAGGAGGATCTCGGCAAAGATATTCACGTGGTTGATTTTTCTCTGCCCCGAGAAGAAGGCAATATTTGTAATACCCAAACTGATCAACATTTCCAAAATTCAATGTCACTTGAAGAAATTACCAAACAACGAGAGTTGCAACAACAACGCTTGGAGGCAATCGAGCGTGATTACTTGCTTCTACGAGAGAGAAATACTCTCACAGTTACTGCAGACACATCCAGGAACGTTCATTTGAAGAGCTCACTCTCTTCATACAGAACGGTAAAGTTTAATGACATGATAGAGAATCAGGAGGAGCACAAGGATACGACCAAAGTGGCTACTCAGGATTTGACTCAAGTAGAACAAAGAGTTCATGCTATGATAAATGAAGTTAAATTAGACGATGACAACTCAAGCGTTAGCTCTGAGGAAGAAACAAAACCAGATTACCAACACTTCTTCAACAATCCTGAAATCAACAATGAGCAATTAGACGAAGCAGAAGAAGGGAAAGAATACAACTGGAATGATATTAGTGACACATTAACAGTAGTTTCTGATGTCTCCGACTTTTATCAGGACCTAAAAAACAGTAATGAAGACAAAGCTGAAAAGAAAAAAATCACTGTACCTTTACCCTTTTCATTTGAAGAAAGAGAATCTATGAAACCAAAAGGCATACATCGAAGAAAAATGGAAGAATACATCGGAAAGATAAAAGCTGAAGAGGAGCACCATTTAAACAAAAGATTTAAGGCAAACCCAGTACCAAAGACAACCAAACAGGCATTATATGAGTCAATTAAGATGAGGACTGAATACCAATTAAAACTACAAAAGAAAGCCCTCCAAGAGATGACTAAAAGAATAGCCAAACCATTTTATTTTGCTGAAAGGGACAAGTTAAGGTTAAAGGAAATTGAAAAAGAGCGACTGCGAAAGAAGGAATTCGAAATTCAAGAACACACAAGGCAATTTAAGGCGAATCCAGGTTTGTATTTGACATTACAATACTAGCCAAACTAACACAACATGTCAGTGCCATCTCACACCTTTAAGCTTATGTTCGCTTCAAAACTAGAGGCCGAAGCAAGAAAAAGAAAAAACAGAGTTAAAGAAAGATCAGAATATCTGCTAAGAACTTCATCACTACCGCCTCGAATGGAAATGTGGGAAAAGGTCGCTAATAATCAAGTGAAAAGCAAACCAAAAAATCCATTAGATGACGAGCTCACGTTAGCTCCCAAGATTAATCACAACATACCAGTAAGTAACTAACAAAAAACACGAAACGATTCATAGGGTCATATAAAAGGATTTTGAAGCCAAACAGCGAGAATTCCAAGAGCGCCTTTATCTTGCCAAACGAACAAAAAAGCCAACAAGCCCAAAGCCGTTTCGACTCCATAACTCGATGAGCGAAAAAGATTTGAAACGAATTGCAGGAGAAATAGGAATAGATGATGAATTTCTTTCGACATACTCCACACTTGACCTCTCTAAGCGCGAAAGCCAACCAAAACGCCCTTCATCTGCAGTACCCAAGTCCTCAAAAAAGCCTATGGACACATATGCCAGCAAGCTGAGGAACGACCAAATCAAAAAACAAATTTCTGAGAGAGAAGAACGAAAGAAGCAACTTGAAAATTTAAGGCAGGCGCATGTAAAACAGCAAAAACAGATTTCAAAGCAAGTAATTCCAAATGTTGAGCAAGAACCTTTTCGACATTCAGTGCAAACCAAGAGCTCCATTGCCAACGAAAAAAAAAGAGAAACACCCCAATCTTCCTATCATACTCAACCCTATCTCTTTGAAACCAGCTTGAAGAAAAAGGTGAGAGAGAAAGTATTACAAGATTTAAAACAAACACTGGAAGAAAATGGAACATCTTATTTGTTGTCGTCAATAAAGATTTAACAAATTTGTGATCCATAGTATTTTGCAACTTCGCTTGAGCTTTATCGATCCTTGTCACAAAAACAACCAAAAAAATGCAAAACAGCCATCAAGCAGAACAACGAATCCGCACACTGTACCGATGGCTGAATCCACAACAGACAGCACAGTTTTTCTCTTCGGGATCTGCAACAAGTGTTGGCTCTGAAAAAGAAACCTCTTCAAAAGAAACAAAATTATTTCCAAGCAAGGAAGAAATTCTGAAACGAGCCAAATTGATCGAAGAGAACAGATTAGATGATGAAGAGCTGTATAAATTTAGCTGTCAATTTGGACCTGTGAGTAAAATTAACAAGAGATCAAAAACTTGATCTCTTGAAATTGATAGAAAATAGTGGTTTTGATTTACCAGCAGAATATAAAATGTATCTAGATGATCTAATAGAAAATAATGATTAATTTATCAGATTGTCTCATATTAAGTTAGCGAAAATTATGATCAATAGGTATACTCATCGGATTCTCCACATCGAAGCTTTTTACCAAAAACTCTTCCAACAAAGAAAATCAAAGTTCCAATACAGGCAAACAGTGAGTGAAGGAATGGTGCAACAGCACACCAAGCCATCTTTTTCTCTGCATCAACAAGATTAACTATCATAATTACGGATCCAGATATCACTCCGCCAAAAACAATAAATAGGCCAAAGAAAAGCCATCCTCTAGCAAAATAAACAACTTTCACATCATGTTCATGATCTGTCTCCAAAAACAAATTATCCTTTGGTACGATATTGACTAAAACAAAGCCGATGGCACAAATGATACTCGGAATCCAATTGACAAAGGTTGACTGAAGAGATGATGGTATATTAATATTTTGTGAGATGTGAAACCAACCTCCGAATTTGGTATTAATTGACTGTCGAGAAGACATAACCATGCCACAGCCAAAAGGAAACCAGTCGCATAGGCAAAAGTAGTTTGGGGGACTTTGATTTGCATTTTTTTGAATGGAAATGGAACCAAATATCTATTTGCAAGGTTCCAATTCATTCCTATCACGATCGAACCCGTTCAAGTACTTCCACAACTCATGAAAAATTGAAATAATTTAATAATTTAAAGAGTGTTTTTTAACTCATATCTCTCGTTTCACTTCGAACCATCTTCTCAAATAATACACTTGTACTCCACTCAGGCAAACAAGTAAAAAGATAGAAAAGATGTTATAGTATGTCACTCTTTCATTGGTTGCTTCACAAATATTTCTGTGGGCAGCCTCTCTTGAACGGAATTCTTGTTGTTCATTTTGAATATGGCTTAATCCTTCCGACAATTTCATAATTGTTTGTTCAATTGGATTTAATTGATCCAATTTGGCAATATTAGCATCAACAAAATCACCAACAGAAATATGGAACGACACAGTCTTTGGTGTAAGAGTGGAAATCTTGTTAGAGAAACAAAATTTGTAAATTCCTCTCTTTTCTGCATTGACAGAAAACTTTCCTTCGGATTCTCTTTCTTGTTGATGCAAAATTTCTCCATCAGGATCAAAAACACTGTTTGTAGATGTTTAACAAAACATCAATGTATGAGAGTGTTGATATTAGACAAAGACATTCAAATATATTACATCCATCAAAAATTATTAATAAAAACAACAACCGATGATTGGGGAGTTGAATATTTGAATCCATTCAAAATAAATTCCGTAATGATGATGATGATCAGGAATTTAAAACATGTTGTAATATTACTACATACACTAAATCAACATCCAAAAATCCTCCCTTGATGACTTGGAACTTTAAAGACAATTTGGATGGCTTATCAATACTTTCAAAAAAGCATCGTTCCTCAGCTGGATCTAGAGTATATGTCAAGCCATGAACAAGTCCGATACTTGCTGCTATAACAATCAGCACGATTGCTGCTGTAGTTGCAATACTGGGTTTCATTTTCATCAAAACAAATCCGACTAAACGATCGGTGCTGAATTTTTTAGTTTTGAAAAACTGTTGAGCTGTCAAACAACAGAGTTGTAAGAAATCAATTCCAATGATCGCCTCTAAGAGCAACACTGGAGAAGTCCACCTATCGATTGGCTTTTTTAATTACAGACATGAAGACAGGTAGGGAGGAGGTAATCTCACATGTGCTTGTGATGAATGAGATTTTAAAAAAAGGAAAAAATGTCTTGTTGCAGCAATGCTCAATCATCATCATTGAGTGGTTTATTATTTTTCGGAGGCTTGACTCTTGCCACTGTATGGATGGGCAGAAAGAGAGATGTAAACAAACAACAACAGGAATCAGATAATACTACCATTGAATCCTTTATTCCTTTTGTTAGAGAAAGAGTTGAAATTGTTGCTGGAAAATTAGGTATTCCAAGCAAGGATATCTACCAAATGCTTCCTCACCTGAGCAAAGAAACTACGGAAACAAAATTTGAAAAGTCTAATCTCCCTCTTTCTCAATTCATTGATCATACCATTTTGAAAGCAAACGCAAAAATGAGTGAAGTTGAACAATTGTGCAAAGAGGCTCTCACGAATAATTTTGCTGCCGTTTGTGTCAATGCTTCTAATGTTGCATTGTGTAAGAAATTGTTGGAAGGCTCAAATGTAAAGATTGCTTCTGTAGTTGGATTTCCTTTAGGTGCAACCACTGTTGAGAGTAAGATTTTTGAAACTCGTCAAGTCATAGACCTTGGAGCTCACGAAATTGACATGGTCATTAATGTTGGAAGATTATTGGATGGTGATTATCAATACATATATGATGAACTCAAACGTATGGCCGATGCTTGCATTGAGAAGGGAGCTGTTTTGAAAGTCATTTTGGAATGTTGTTTGTTGAATAAGGATCTTATTGCTGATGCTTCCATTATGTGCATGTTAGCGAAATGCCATTACGTGAAAACAAGTACTGGTTTCAGCACTTCTGGTGCAAAGTTAGAAGATTGCAAGTTGATGAAGGCAGTGGTTGGTAATGTCGGTCTTGTCAAAGCTGCTGGTGGTATTCGAGATAAGGAAACTGCTTTGAAGTTTATTGAAGAGGCCAAGATTTCAAGAATTGGTACTTCAAGTGGAGCTGCCATCATTGGTGGTATGAAAGCAACAGGATATTAAAAATTGTTGCTGTAATTGTCTAATAATTCAAAATAAAGTGCTTGGTTTTTCAAGTCTTTTCAAGCACTTTATTTCATATTTTGTTTCTGAGCTTGTAATCGAAGTTTAAAGCAAACATCCCACTTATCGAGAGTCAGTATATGGTTGGTAAGATGTTGAGAGTTCAGGATTAATTTAAAATTTTGTGGTTTGCAAATACCAGCCAATACTCCCTTAATGGGAGCATAAAACGGAAAGACGAGCTGAATTTTTGAGAAAATCTCAAAGCCTTTTTCCAATTCTGATCGTTGCAGTAATAAATTACCAAGTTCAAACATTAAATTGACATCCCTAACACCACAACCTGACTCATGATTAATAGCAGAGTAAAGAAGTGATTCTTGTTGCAAAAGCTCTACTTCACCGACATAACCAAACTGTGAAGCAATGACATATTCCAGAAATGGTTCAAGGTAGGTGTCTTTGAATTGTGGACGCAACTTGGAAAGCTCATCTCTCAAGTTTTGCCTGTCCAAGTATTTTGCATCATGTTGAGCGAGGATCATTCGTGTTCGTAATGTGTTGATCTTCACATTTTTCTCAACCTCATTTACTGGATAGAGAAGTCGAATTCTCATGAGAGAATTGCTTGAAATATCACCCAACATGAGTAAAATCGTACCACATGGTATAAATGAAAGATGTCCATTTCCTTTAAATTCTGTTCTTAGAAAATTCATAATGAGTGGACTTGATTTCATCTCATCCATAGAAATACGTCCATCCTCTAGTAATTTTAAGAGAAGAGAACCAAAGAAAAAGGATTCTGCATGTTCATAAGGATTTTCATATCTATTCTCAATTTTTTTCATGTATTCATTTTCCTCTTGAGATAGTTCAATGCCTCTTTCGATTTTTTTGAAGAGCATCACCCACTCTTCGCTCAAAGTGATCTTTTACAAGTTGAAAGAAATTTGATCTATCTTTTAACAACTGTAGAGTTTTTTCCAAATCGTTTTTAGGAATCGGTAATGATAATTCATAGACAATTTTTAACAATGAAGAGAGAGTATTCGTATGTGCCGTTGAGAGTAACCAGCGCTTTTCATCTTTCACAATACTTTCAATAGTATCTTCTTTTCGAACAAGTACATTCGCTGGAGTAGCAAAACCATCTCTGAATAACATTGTGACTGCATGCTCTATCTTTTGTCTTTGTTCAGAAATAATACCATCTTGATGGTGAAGCTGATCGCATTTTACAACCAAATAAATGATTGACAATATCTCTTGTACCATTTTTGATGTATTTTCAATTTCATTCATCTCCTGATTCATATTCTTATACTTGTTGATCTTTTCAATTACAATATCTAGCAATGTATCAAAAGCTCCTGATTGTACCATCATTTGTATTCCATCTCTATTGTTCAGTTTCAACCAATTCATGATATTTTGAACTACTTTTGGATTGACTTGATCTTTTTCTTTCAGTACTTGATTTAAATAATAATGAAGAGATTCTCCACCTTCAATCATGGAGGATGGATATTTTAAATAATAATAAAATAAAAGAATTCCAAAGAGAGAGCCTGCAAGGAGACATGTTTTCCAAATCATTGAAAATTCTTTGTAATGATTCTTTTGAATCAATTGATAATATTCAATTTCGTTATGTTTCATATTTTCTTGTACATTGGATGGTATTTTAATATTCGGAAGTAATGAAGTTTTACTTGATGATGATGATGGAGGATGAGTCGTATGTTCCGATAATTCATGATCAAGGCTTTTTCTTTGAATCAATGATGAAGAATAAAGAGCTGCTGCTTGTTTATGGCCATGTTGATCTCTGAAAAGAAGAAGAGGCTTCGTTCTTAATGATGATGATACCAACATTTTGACTCCTTTAAAAATGGAGGTCTGTTTCATCAAGAACACCCTCATTCCATTCCGAGAGGATACTTTTATCATTTTTTTAATGTAACTGAACTGAGAAAGAGGTCATCTTTGCTTTTTCATTCCTTTTATTCATCCTGTAACTCGGAGGGCTGATAGTCTTGCTATGATATGCACAATCATTTGACAGCAAATGGACCAACAACATACACCATTGATTTGTACCTATTTACCTATAAATCCTCCTAAAAACACGAAAATTTCGTCATTTTGAAAAAAATGTCGACCTCTCAGACTCTTCTTCGATTTCATTTGCCACTATTTGCTGTGGTGATTCTCCTTGTCGTCCTCCTTATGACTGCATCATCAACATTGGGTAATGTGAGAACCATGGGTGGTGCTGATCGACCAAATGATTTCCGAGATCAAAAGGATATTGCTAGAATTGAAGTATGTGTCTACGATTAATGATAATAATAGGATAATCACTTGAAATTAAAAATGGGCATAATGATTCGTTTGTTGATGATGATGATGCATTGACTCTCACAGACATGTGTCGGATCATGTTTGAGTAGATATTCTGGTCCAAAGGAATTTATTTCCAAAAATTCAATGAAAATGTGAGTTTCAGTGATGACAGAAAGTATTTTATACATGCCATATAATATTTAATATTGGGAATATTATTGTAATACCAATGGTATTGATTCAATTTGACTCATGGTGGTATTCTTCTTCTTCAATTAGGGCTGGATTGCAAGTACTCTTTATTGGTGAATATCCAAAATTGTACATTTATGGAGGAGATCAAGAAACAAAACAAGAAATTGACATTCGAGAAAAATCAGCTGAAGAAATTGAAAAGATTCTTTTATCTGCTGGATGTCAATATAGACAATAATCATTCTTGACATAACAACAATAATAAACACCAATCTCAGCTTACTATCCGAAAATGAGTGACTACTGCTTGAACGTTGAATGACAATCGTGTGTTGTTGCTCTCTCTTGCAATGTCAAGGAATCAGAACTCTCATTAATAACTATTGTTGTGACCAATGCTTTGCAATTCGGTTTGAATATCATGATTTCCTTTCCAAGGTTCATTCACAGCAGCAGCACTTTCATTCTTCTTGTTACTGGCATTTTCTCGATTCTTGAAAAATGTCTTTCGATCAGTTGTCATTTTCAAAATTTGATAATAATCAGGATAAACCAAATATTTCACTCCATAAAACAACAAATCAAAAGCAAGTGGTGTGACAACTAATAAAATGTGAATAATCCAAAACTTGGCTGATTGTACTGCCATGTACCAAACATAATACATGTTTGATGTTGTGAGTACCATTGGAATTCCAGAGTAACTGAAATTAAATACATAAAAGGTTAAAAATGAGAAGGCCATGCACAAATGGTGCACAATGGTGAAATGTTCCATTTCAAAGTAACATTTCAAATTCACAACACAAAACACAGAAGATGTTACAAGAATGGACATGACCCAAATACCATCTTCTTGTCCATTCGTTAAAATATTGAATTGTCTTGCGTATAAGGCAAAGAAGAAAATGATAGTCGCATGAACCACAGCACCAAGAATCCACTTGATAAAAGTATACCAATTGAAAATGTTTTCTTTTCTCAAATTAGAATACAGAGTTGGTCCAATTTCTGCATCTTCTAAATATTCTTCGTGAATATCCTTTTCCATTAATCCAAATACAAATGGATTCAATAATGTGAAAAGTAAATTATAAAATGTTAATACATAAGAGTCAATAATAGTTTGTCCAGAGTACATGGTATAGAATGTAAAGTAAATTTGAATAAAAGTAATGACAATATTCTTGTAGAAAGAGTATTGAATGAATTGAGCAGATCGTTTGAATGAATAACGTCCATGAATGACGAGTAAACGTTTCAACATGTAGAATTTTGGAATGGCATAATCAGAGGCTAATTTTGCTTGAGAACCTTCTTTACCCATGACACCAACTCCGACTTTGGCTTTTTGAATCATTGGGACTGTTGATATATAGATATACCACATGATTTTAAAAAGTAGGAGTGGGGTTGTAGTAGTAGTAGTAGTAGT